CTGGTCAGGTGCCGACACCTTGGCATCACCGTGGCACATGCTGGCAGTCATACTAATCACTTCGGTCTCAAACTGGCGCAAAGAGGGAAAGGCAATCGGGTTGAGGCCATTCTCGTGGGCGAACATGTCGTATGCCTCCTCCAAAAGTTTGGCGCTGACGGCATCGCTGCCACGCTCATCCGAAAGCTTGTGGAAGGCCTGGCGAAGAGTCTCCCAATGTTTATCTCCCTCAGTGGTACTACCGTGAGACAAAGAATGGGGTGAGCCAACACAGGTCGCTTGGTGCAGATTTAGTGCTTAGCTGCGCACGTGCGCCAGCGTTGACACAGACGATCCCGGGCCCGTATGCCCGCGCCCCCCCCCCCCCCCCCGCTGAGTGGGTTGCAAGGGAACGTGGCACTGGGTTCAGCAAAAGGAATTCGTTCGCTTCCGTGCAGCATGCCCTTGCCATCTCCCGGGGCTGAACAACGAAGATCCGAGTGGGGGTACTCACTAAACAAAGGCGAAAAGGGAGCCATCTTCGGCCGATACGTCCTTGTTGCGGAGTATTTCCATTTCCTTGAGGATTTCCTCCGGGGCCATGCCCTTCTCCGGGATCGTCTTGATGGTGATGGCTTTGTTGTTGTTGCTACTCTCGGCGTCATCATCGGCCAGCATTTTTTGCCGCGCTTCGCCGGCCTGCATGGCCAAGACCCAGTTCAGGGCAGCCTCCACGCCAGGAAGAAAGGTGCGAGCACCCACAACAACGGCTTTGGCCACGCCACCAGCACCCTGTTGCAAAAACACCTTTGACAGGTAGTATAGGAGGCAGCTGGCGGCCACATAGCCGAGCAGCTCCACGCTGTTCGTCATGGCGGCGGCGATCGCAAACACCTTTGATCCCTCGAAAAAACGTGCCAGACTTTGGCACTAAACTGCTGACCACCACACACACACACACACACACACACACACACACACACACACACACACACACACACACACACACACACACATCCGCAAGTCTTGCTCGAATGCTCGCCGTGCGGCGCTCCTTGTTGCCGCTGCCGGAAAGGGACCACCACAAAGGTGTGCGTGACTTGACTCCCTATGACCGTTGACTTGCGCCCTCCTGGTTACCTAATGTTAGTGATAGGAGTGGCTCTGGAGAAGGGCGCAAGATTTTGTCAGAAAAACCTTGCAGATCAAAACACGACTCGCACGACCATGATCGCAACGTCCATGATGGGAAAATTTAAAAATCGTTCGATTGTCACTCAGCGGCCATGAGGTGATAGAGAGAAAAAAAAAGAAGACATCGGGAAACACTGCGTACACGCGCACACACATCCACACGCACAACAAAATGAAGTCATTCACATGTCCATTGGGATGGCTCATACCGCAGACGACATGTGCCGAGCCAGAGCAATCACCGCCTATCCCATCGGTCGACTCGGGTAAACCGGTAGTTTGAAGCCATTTGGGCCTGCAGAAAGGGCCGCAATCAGGACCCCAACAGGACTGACTGAGACAAGCGTGCAAACACGGCTTGCATCAGGAAACATCACAAAACAACCGACTCTTGTTGATCGGAGGAGCTGGGCTGCGCTTAGCGCCGGCCTGCGGCAGGCTTCTTCGGCTTGTTGCGACGGCGATTCTTAATGTTGGTATCACTGTAGTAGTTCTTAGCCTTGGTTTTGTTGGTGGTCACGCGCTGCTCCTTCTCCACGACTTTAACTCGCTTGCGCTCAGTTGCTGGCGCTTTAACAGACCAGCCATCATCGGTGGCCTGCGCAGCAGCCTTGCCCTGGCTACTCGGGCGGCTGCCTTCCTTGCGCTTGGCGCTTGGTGGGGTCTGAACCGCACTGGCCTTGGGTGACTGGCTAGCGCTTGTGCTGTTACTTGCGCTGGCCTTTGCCTTGCCCTGTGGTTCATCACCTGCTTCGTCCGCCTCATCCAAATCGGACCAGCCGATTTCCTCATCCTCGTCCTCCTCGTCACCATTTGCATCGCTCGCCGCATCATCCTCGTCGAGCTTCTTGGCAGACGCCAGTTCCTCCGCCTCATTATCAACAGCTTCATTAGTTGTGGCCTCAGGGTCGGTCGCAGAACGTCCCTTCTTATCAGACGCATCGTAATTGTTGGAGACAGCAATGGTGTGCAGCTTCTGCTCGACACCCATGAAGTTGGGGCGTGACTTGCTCTGCTCGTCCGTCAGTTTGGGCGGAGGGTTGAAGTATGGGATCTTGCCCCGCTGCCAGTCATGCAAGACCATTTTGGCTACCGTAGACACGTCAGGCTCACCGCCCTTGAGCAGTTTACCAGACTTCTTGGCCAGCTTTTCCAAAAAGTCAATGTGATCATCTGACGACCAGTCATTGATGCCATAGGTGCGCGTAATGTAGTCGTGCTTGGCCCGCTGCAAAATTTCCGCCACGTGATCCTCGGGAGCTGACAGATGCTCCACGCGCACGACGCCCTGAAAAGAGTCACCAGTCGCGAGAAAAACAGTCGTTGTGTGAGCCGGACCACGCCATGCCACGCCCGGTAAAGCAGAAGAGAATTTGACTCAGATGCCAGCGAAGCCACCTCAACAAGCATCACTCATGCCTCACCTTGAGAACGACGTCCGTCTCCGAGTCATCGCTAGGATAGACCACGCCGGGGCAATCAATCAAAAAGATCTTGCGCATGAGCGTCACGTATTGCCACACCTTGGTTTCACCAGGAATGGGTGCCGTCTTACAAGCCTTTTCACCTACATACACAAGCGGGTAAAAATTGACGTGAGCAAGTGAATGTTTTGCAAGAAGTTGGCTGGAAAGAAGCACCGGTGCATCCAAGTAAAATACCAACCCTTGAGCGTGTTGATGATGGAGCTCTTGCCGACATTGGGATACCCAATCAAACCAATGCTAATCTGCTGCTTTTCCGAGTGCAGTTTACCTAAAAGCAAATGACAGAGTACAGGGCCATGGCATAAGCAAGCAGGGAATCGACAGGCGCAAACCGGTCTCTGCACATCAACTCTAGGCCACGACGGCTGCCTCAACACACCGAATTGACGCAGCAGCTGGATGAGAGCACCCTTGCCAAACGAGTTGTTGATGTTGGCATGGAATGCCAAAGTCGGGTATTCTGCCGACAAGACTTGGACCCAGCGCGTCTGAGCAACAATAACGCAGTGTCATCATGATGAGAGGAGGATGAAACTGGTTGGCAAGCACATGCTTTCTCACAAAACACCACGTACCGTCACCCAGGTGGGGACCAGATCACACTTGTTCAAAACAAAAATGAGATGCTTGTGCGTCTTCTCCTCCTTCAAATACTTCTCCACGTGAGGAGAGCGCGTGCCTTGCGGGTCGCGGGCATCCAAGACCTAAGAGCCAGGCCGCAAGTGCCACACATGATGCACATGCAGATGATTAGAAGAACAGGATCTTCGGACGACTCAGAGCTGTCACCATCGATGTAACATGAACAGACAAAACTTTGCGACATACCTGGATGAGGACGTCGGAGGCATCGACCACCTTGTAGAGCTCGCTCCAGATACGTTTCGATTGGCCGGCGCCAAAGATCCAATCGCGCACGTGCTCCTTCTCGCCAGAAACCTCATTCTGCTTCAAATCGCGATCCTTGGTACTGTCATATGACTCGGCTGTTGTCTCAGCGTGCTACAAAAAAGTCCAACCAGCAAAATCAAGCCAGTCCATCGTGTAAGCATCCAAGCATCACACACAAGGCAGACGTAGATCATGGCGAGGAAATGCCAACCTTGGCCAAGTCTTGCATGCTGCCCACAGAAAGCTGGGGACGCTTGCGCTGGGCTTTGGGGCCAAAGGTCTGATCGAAAGGTTTGGTAGCCAAGATGTCCACCGCCTTGGCCTTGGCGGGCTCCTTAAGGAGCGACATGGGGAGCTTGCTCTCACGCATGATAAAAGTGTACGGATCCTTGCGTGCCTCGATGGCAGCTTCACGGTAGTTTTCCAGCTCGGTCTGGCCGATGACGCGTGTATTGCCAAACCACCGACGGTTCGGCTCAACCTGTGTCCATAATCACGCAAACGCACGTCCAAGTGCCGACGTAAGCGAGCGACGCGACCATGACGAGCGCCTCCTCGACCCTACGTCTACATGTGTGTGTTCTTACCCGGGCAACTGTGCCAGACGAGACGGCGCGTTGGAAGGGTGCCGCAGAGATAATCTGTAAACAGCCATAATCATGAATGAGTACCAGGGCTGCAAGCTGAGGGGCCCCGACCCTGTCAGCCGATGAAGGCTGCTTTCAACGAAGGGAAGAAATTTAGAAAAGAAATAAAAAATTACAGAAACAAAGCAGAAAGAAAAAACGAGAACGAAAGCAGGTTGCCGAGAGCGACCGCGGCGTTGGGCATGGTGCTTGTACCTTGCCCTTGCGATCACGGATGGCCCGACCACCACTTTTGTACATTTTGAGGCGATTGACAGTTGAGCGCGACCGCATGTGCGGGTCCTTTTCGTTCTTTTGAGCGCGATCTAGCGCATGAGATGGGGTGCACGGGCAAAGCCTGGGTGAGCCCGTGGAAAGCAGAGGACTTTGGCATATACCAGCCGACTCCACGGCACAGGGTCGGCAGCCGATGCACACGAAGCCGGAACGTAGTGGTGCCAGAGTTGTTGCAGCAAGACAGGAAGCAAGGTTGACGGCACCGACCAGGGTTCATGCTTGAGTTGGACTTGCTGATGCGGCCTTGAACCTTGTTGCCTGAGCGGGTGCCCGAAGGCCCCGAAATCTTGGGCTTGGCCATGTCGATGATGATAAGAAGAAGAAGAAAAAAAAAAAAAAAAGACCAACGTGCTCGGCGCCGACCGACGAATCAGCGCGCACGGGACTGTCTACAACGTCACACCGCGTCGACAAGAATGTAAGGCTCGTGGCCGGCAAGGCATCGCATAGGACCGGTTGACCAAAGGGCTGTTCTCTTTACGAGCTATACTGATGCTCTGATGGGCAAGCTTCTGCCCTGCGCGCAGTGGACAGGGCACGACGGGCTGGCCTTTTGGTCGCCAACACGCGCAAACGTACCAGAGTTTTGGAATGGCCGGTCACCCAAAACAAAATTGTTGCCACACACACACGCGTTTGTGTGAGCACGCGGGCGGTCGAGCAATGTCAGAAAAAGATATGTCAGAAAAAGGGCAATGTCAGAAAAAGAGCAATAGCAATGTCAGAAAAGACAAATTTGTCTGACAAAATTCGGGTGTTTTCTCGGGCGTCAACAGCGTCCCGGCCCACCAGGAGGGCTCGACGGCAAGTCGCCAGTGGAACAAGCGACAGCAGCACGCCCCAGCGAAAATTGGTCAAGCGTATCGACGTGGACCATGATATGCTGGCAGAGGGACGGGCTTGGGTACGAGAGAAGCGCCGGGAGCTGGGGCGCCAGACGTTGACAGTGGAGGTTTTGGATGTGGTATCGACCCACTTGTACCTGCGGCACCAAGCATGGTTGACCGCCCAAGAGACTGACACGCCTTCCAAGCATAATTTCGCCCACGAAGTTGCTGCTTTGCTTGGGCGCAACAGTAATCTCTGTAGCTCTGCGTGGAAAGCCTTTGCTGACGATCGCGAGCTCCACCTTCCACCCGCGTCGGCGGGACCGCGCGGTTTCAAGCCTCAGCGTATTCGTCGGACAAAGGCGCTGCGGGTTGCGATTCGCAACTTTCTGTACTACAGTGAGGCCCGGGGCGAGCGTGTGGTTGTTGATGATCTGACCCGCTACCTTTGTCAAACTGACCACTTTCCTGCGCACATGTGCGAGGTCAGTGGGAAAGAGCGTCTGGCGGTCCGACGATGCGTCCAACGCCTTGTCAATGATTTGGGATTGCGCCATGGTCCACGTCGTGGCATCAAGTATCGTGAGAAGGGGCATCGCATCGCCTTGCGGAACAAGTATATTCAAACCATGCTTCAAAGTCGCGATGGACACCGCATCGTCTACGTGGACGAGAGTTATATTCTGCATCACCATTCTGACCCAGAGGAGGCACAGCAAGCGACCCACGGGCAGCACACGGGCCAGCGCATTTGTTTTATTGGTGCAATCATCGGAGCCGACCCGACTGTTCCTGAAGCCCAACGGCTCGAGCAGCATCACGCACAACTTCTCGAGAACACGGTTGACATCTTTGCTGCCGAGCAGAACGCTGGAACCCACGACTATCATAAATCATTCACCGCAGAATACTTTGCAGGTTGGATGGACAAATTAATAGCGGAGTTGGCACGGTTAAACGTGAAGAATGCCATTATTGTGATGGATGGCGCCAAGTATCACAAAAGTCTGCCGCCGACCGCCCCGCAACGATCTCAACACAAAGTTGACTTGATTGCCGCCTGTCGCCAAGTGGGCATGGACGTTGATAGCAATCTATATAAGAAGGAAATTTGGGCTCAGGCCCGGGCTTGGATTCGAGCCAATATGCGGCCAGAGACCGTGACAAAGGCTGCGGCGGCTGGCCATGAGGTTCTCTTTTTACCGCGACACTACTCCGACCTGCAACCGATCGAATCGGTCTGGTCTCACATCAAGGGGCAAGTGGGTCACCGCAGCAAGCACACCTTTGCCCAGGTCAAGACTGCACTTGAGGAGGCCTTTCAGAATCTGAGCCACGAGAAAGTGGCTGACTGCATTGACCATTCATGGATGACCCTTTGCAATCTTGCTGCGGTACTCGAACGACTCCAGGCTAGAGCCACTGATAGTGAGAGTGACTCTGACAGCGACAGCGATAGTCAGTCGGATGGTCAATTGGAACACGACGAGTAGCTGCTGCCTTCCATCAGGATGGCCCGGATGGAGGAAGACCACGCAAGACAAGCACGGGGGGTTTGGGGTTGCAAATGCTTTTTCAAGACATGAATTGAAGGACAAAATAAAGCGATCCAACCAATCAGCCTCAAAAATATCTTCACAACCGGCCGATACACTCTCCAACTTGAACGTTTTTGCGGGGAGATTGATTTGTACGGGCGGGGAAGCACAGCCCAAATTTGTTTCAGTTTACAAGGGTGCGTATCATGTTGGTTGTTGCATTGGCAGGTGCGTTAAAGAGGCGCATGACGGCATGCGAGCGCTCGAAGCGGAATCAGTCCACTAGCTTGGGTCGGCTGAGCCGCAGAATTTTGCTGTTCCTGGTTCACCGCACCCAGCTTTGCATCAGAATTTTCGGTTTGATGCGTGGCTTGATGCGAACCAACCCCAAGATTTTGTGCATCGATGACCAAGCGCAGTTGCCGACATCTGCGTCGGCGGGCACTCTCACGTTGCTGCAGTAGGCGGCGGGCTCGCCGAAAGTCTGCTAACACATGGGGCATGGAAGCCATCGCCTTGCGCATATGAGGTATGGTCCATGTTGACAGGGCTGTGCTCAGCCATGGGAGCCCTTGGGAAAGGTCGACATCCTCGCTCAGCGGCCAGGTGGTCAACAGGCTGGCGAGATGGGGCGTGCCATGCCACGTGGTGGCCTCCCGGCGTAGTGCCGCTGCCCGCGAGGAAATCTCAAGCCTGGACCACGTGCAGGGCGGATAGCGCAGCTCTGGGCGGCCTCGACTGCGAGCTCGCTTGCAAGCCGGTTTTGGCGTTGATTGTTGGCTCGGCGTTGGCGCTTGATCAGGGGTCGCCGGCATGTCCGCAGCACTGCTGCTGATCCTGGACTTAAAGGGCGACATGGTCGGGGCAGTTGGTATTGGCACAACATGCCGAGTGGCACGCGGGTTGGAATCGGGCGACAGCAGCGCCAGGCTAGGTTGGGGCGTGCGCACGGCCTGCCCAAGGCAAAGGGGCGTCAGTCCAACAGGCTGCCAGGGCGATTGGCTCAGGTCATGGGGTGGTGATCCAGTGCTTGGTGTCAGTGGTGTTTTGGGTGGGTCGCAAAACGAGTTTGCGCTAAGACCAGCCATGGCTGGTGAAGCTGGCTGTTCAGACGGCTCCTTCCGATGCAGGCCTCGTGGAGACTGGGGGCTGAGGGCAGGCGACTTCATGGTGACGGTTGGCGTGCTAGAGCCACTTGAACTGGCATGAACCTGGTGCATAATTGACTGTGCCGAGTGTTCCCCGGGGTCAGACAGGACCAGGGGGCGAGACATTCGAAGGCAGGCTTGCCACTCAAAAATAGCATTTGACATTTGAGAACACTGGTGTGGGGCGTGTGTTGTCTCGTCTGATCTGATCATGCCCACCAACTCTTGTCGACAAATCAAGACGAGTATTTTGGCGGGAAAAATCATGGTTTCAAAAGTGCGTCACTTGTCGCACTTTTGCGTTCTGTTGTTTGCAACACACACAACACACACACACACGTAAACATCGGTTCGACGACAGTGGCAGCGCCTTGAAGGCAACAGCGTCCGACAGAGCTCCACCTTGTATGCTGCAGCTTAGGCGGGTGCTGGTCCATCGATCCTGGAGACGTGAGCGGAGGACCACCAAAGGTGCACAGGCTGTAGAGGTGGGGCGTGGTACTGAAGGGTCGTCTGACGTGGTCGCTCATGATGGATGTGGATGTGCGGCCCAACCTCTTGGCTTGGTCCTTTAAGGACCGTTCGCCGCTGCTCGAGGTGAGCGCTCCGGCCGCACCCGTTTGCACATGCGCGGCGGTCATCTCGCGTCCAATTTCCAACCAGCTCACAAGCTTTTGGGCAGGTGTTCGCCAACGACAAAGTCATTTATGGCGGACAGCACAGCGAAGCAGAGAGAGAGGTGGCAGCCATCCGGTAGGCCTCCTGGTGCTTGTCTCGCAACAATTCTTGCTTAAGCCTGTGCGCCACACCTCATCAAAGCTTCCTCCGTGGGGTGTGGTGTTAGCACTTCACTGCCCATTCCATCAGCTGAAGGCATCTTCTACTTTGAGGTGTGTTGTCTGGCAAAACATCGGCCCGTCGCCACACGCCCTGACGTTCTCAAGCAATTTCAAAATTGATGCCTGCCCCTGCTAGGTCTCCATCATCAATGCCGGCCGACCCGGGTAGGCTACCCCCAACCAGGCCACAACAAAAGCCTGGCGTACCAAGGCATACAAGCGCGATGTTTTGGCTCAAGCGCACACGCGGAAACTTACGTTGGCTTGTGGGTGCAGGTTGATTTCCATCGGGCTGGCCAACACAGCCACACCCTCCTACTCTTCACTGCCTGGTGCGTGTCTTGAGAGTGAGCGCCACCAAGCGTAGGACAAGCTGCTTGGCCGTGGATCAAATTATGCAATAATTTGTTTGGCATACTTCATAGGCAAGGACCGTCATTCATGGGGCTTTCGGGGTGATGATGGCCACTTTTATGAGGTGGATGGCACCAACTACGCCTATGGCGCCCCCTACAGCACGGGTGACGTGATTGGGTGCTGTTACAACAGCTTGGATCACAGCATGTTCTACACATGCAACGGCGTCACCCTCGGTCTGTCTTACGCGCCAGTTTGAGGGATGCGCCCGTTGCTTCGTAAATTGTTTATCTCGCTCGGATCTCACCTATTCCACTGGCGGCTCAGGCGATATTCGTCTGGATATGCCGAGCACACAGCTGGAAACGCTTTACCCCCTGCTGGCCATTTGCTCCAACGGTGCCGTCACCGAAACCAATTTTGGCGCTCAACCCTTCAAGTTTCAAATTGATACATTCAAGGCGGTGGGTTGCTTAGTTCGCATGGGTTGTAGTCGCAGGAACTACTCGGCGACACCAGGGTCAGCACTGTAGCTTGTACGCGTCCTGATCAATTGTGCGTGCATCACATCAGACAATCCGTGCCCGCCTGCACGAGGATATTGTACGACGCGAGCTAAGCCCGCAGGCCGTAAGCAGTCTACCCAAGGTCAGCAACTACCGTGCGCTTGTCTTGTTGCCCTGTCCGCGTCGAAGGCCGGCTCCATACTACCAGCGTTGCCAGGCCCACTGTTTGTCGCGGGCTTCTGATACTGGATGCTTGCTCAGTTGGTGGCTGATTATCTTTACCATCGCGGTTACACTGAGGCACTGGGCAAGCTATCGGCGGCCACAGGCATTACCATTCATGCCAACGTTCAGCTCAGCCAAGCCCGTCGAGGTGCGAACGAGCGACAGATGTGGGGCGAGGCGAGTCAATTCTCATGGCTACCGGCTGTGCTTTTGGCCTCTTGTAGACATTCAACGCCACATTGCGCGCGGCGAAGCCGCCGTGGCCAAAGAGCTGCTGCAGGAACGATTTCCCATCACGTGGGCCCGGCATCCCGACTTGCGCCTGGATCTCGAGTGCCAAGAATTTGTTGAGCTCGTCTCTCGCTATGCCGGTTCGATACTCTGAAAATCCGTTTTCAATTTTCATGGGCTAGGGCAGTCGTATTAGACCCTTCACTGGGCGTGTGCCTGTAGATGATATGGACGCGCATTTGGAGGAGCTAATGCAACGAGGCCGCCAGCTTCAGCTTTGCATCGAGGACGAGGCATTTCATGGGGATGGTCCACGGCAACAGCGCATTGCTACACTCATCACTCTGTTGGCCTACCCGAACGTCAAGGAGAGCCCAGCGGCCCCTTTGTTAGAGACGGCCCCGCGTGAGCAGTTGGCATCGCGCGCCAACGCCCTGATTCTCGGTTCGTTCCCCTTTGGACTGGTGAAGCAGCGCCGTATCACAGATGGGAGTATGTTTATCATTGGATCTATTATATTGGCCAGCTCAAACGACACGCTTGAACATGTTGCCGCGCAGAGGACCTCAAACAGCCCAAATACTCGGTGCTGGAGCGCATCACAAATCACTCTGAGGTACCGCTGGGATGCACATTGTATTGTCGTCCCATTAAAACACAGTCCTGCTGTCGGCACGCTTGCTCACACCCTGCCTCTATCGACACGGTAGGCCAGCGTTGCCTGTTTGCGGGATAAGGGCGTAGGATGTGCCAACTTTCTGGAACTGGACACGTTCCTCGCTTAGGGCAGAGCCCACCGGCGGATGTGGTTTTGAAGATGCTTGCGTACAATGCTCTTATGTGTGGCCAGTCGTGCCTCTAGTGCAGGACGCAAGTTGTGCGTCGGTAATTGACGATCGTGCCGTTTTAAGACCCGTAACCACGACCGCCCATAAGCGGTTGCAGCTTCGTGACCGCCCGAGGCAGCCAGCAGGAGTTGCACGGCCTCTGTGGCCTCCAAATGCTCAAGAAGAAGATCCACAACTGCGTTGCGTGCTCGAGACCACAACCAGGTGGCGGTCAGGCCAATGGTTTGGGCGGTACTCTGTGCTATACGAGCCATCACCTGAGAATTTCCAACCAAGGAGGCATCGTACAAGCTTTGGTGATGGGTGTCAAAGGCATCTGCCAGGAAGAGAGGCGCGAGAACGCGGCGCCCAAAGGCGGCCTCGACAGCCAAAGCAATGGCGGCCAGATGCTGCATGGCATCGCGAGGAGGTGTTGTCGTAAGGGCCAACAGGAGAGGGAGCACTGCGAGCTCCAGCAAGCAGGCGACGAGGGCCAGCGCGCCACGGCGTTGGCACTCAACCAGGCCCTCCGCAAGTTGAGGTAGCTGATCCAAGGTGAGCGCCGGACTGATCAAGCGCACGGCTTGCTGAAAGTCCTCGACATTGAGTGAAATCAAGTCAGCTACAGCTGCGGCCTGTGTGGCAGTCCCAGGCTGGGAGCGCACCAGGCCCTGAGAGCTGCTTGGTGCTCCGGATGAGTTGTCACCAATATTGACAGTGGCTCGTAAGCGCCAGGCGCGCGTCAGGCGACGCACAATATCTGCAACACCAGCCCGTTGCGACGGCGCAGGTCGAGCCTCCAGGCTTGGTTCAAACATGTCGTCGTCGTGAGGCCCTGGCTGATGTGGTGAGGCTTCGGGGCTGGGTGACATGCGGGCGGGTAACTCCCGTGCAGCCGGTCGAGGTTCATTCGGGATGGCTTCCGCAAAAAATTCGGCATCCTGTCCGAGAATCGCGGCACGCCCTTGCATGGTCAGGACTGTACGCAAGTGAGCCTCATGCGCTGCGGCGGCCTGGGCAGCCGCTTCTTGCTCACATGCACGCTCCAGCAAATGCTCGGCTGCACGCCTTGGGGTCGAACTGGTCGGGGAAAGCAGTGTCCCAGACTGCATTGCATCCTCAACAAGACACCCCCGGTCTCGCCATCCGTTGACAGGAATGGGTGGCACGTGTGCATCGAAGATCTCAAAGGCCTCAGCAAAACGTCGCTGGGCAATCAAATGCTGTAAGACCCCCTCCATTGCCCCGGCTGACGTTGCCATCCTTGTCGGTTTGTGGCGGTGCAGCAAGCATCAGCAGTCATGCAGTTGTGACCCGATCCATCCTCCCCACTCCCCGGGGAGAGCCTCTCATCATGCCTCACACGAGCATGATCAGTCTTCCAAGCCGGTCTTGCCCGCCGCCATTTCGACTCGCACTTCTGCGAGGCCGATGAATGATACTGGAGTGAGCGAGACAGAAAGAGAGAGAGAGAGAGAGAGAGAGAAAGAGAGAGAGCAAAAAAAAAAGAAAAGTGTAAGCGAAAGTAAAACAGTTGTCACACTTTGTCTTTGTGTCAACGCGGATGAACGTTCTCTCTCACGAAACGGCGGCGACGGGTGGCAGCAAGGGGCAGTGGAAGTGGGATTGACACTGGCATCGGCGTTGGCAGCTGGGAAAGCGCCACAAAGAAGATCGGGGAAGGGGTACGACGAAGAAGCGTCGTTTGAATTAGACGAGGTACGAGGGACTTTCGGCTCTGAGGGAGCGAGAGGAGCTTGTCCATGTCAGCGGGGCGCATGTGCTTGACCTACTGGAACAGCATTGGTCGTGCGTCTTGCCTCTCACTCGCGATGCGTTTGTGGTGTTTTTCTCAACCTTTTGTTTGTAGGCGGTGGCTCATTGAACAGGGCGCCCGTCTCCAGTTGCGTCATCATGGAGCGCGACAAGCTCCATTTTCTGGGCAAGGAGGCCCCGCCCGGCTATGTGGCCGGTATTGGTCGTGGGTACGAGGCTTGCGATGGCTGACAGAAGAGCATTACCTCCCCAGCATGGCAGCGCGCACAAATCAGGGACAGCGCCAAGAAGGGCGCACACCTGTGTCGCACAGTTTTCGGTCCCATCACAGTGCATGCCAACCAGTGGGACCCTCATCTCTTTCAATCTGCGTGCCCCCGCAGTGCCTCTGGTTTCATGACCCGGTCTGATATCGGTCCAGCTCGCCCAGGTGGAGAGTAAGTCATACCACGGCCGTGCACATTTTTATTCATCCTCTTCTTCTTCTTCTTCTTCTTTTTTTTTTTTTCTGGACGTGTACAATGGGCCGGGTTGTCGCAATCCCACTCACAGCCGTGCGGCGCCGGTGTGCAGCAAAGCCAATGCGGTACCAAAGGAAGAAAATTTAAACGACACCAACTACGACGAATTTTCCGGATATGGCGGCAGCCTTTTCAGCGGCGGTGCCTACGATGCTGATGACAAAGAAGCTGATGCCGTATACGACGCCATTGATCAGCGTTTGGATGAGCGGCGCAAGGAGCATCGCGAGCGCCGAGAGCGAGAAGAACTTCTCAAATTCCGTAAAGAGCGACCCAAAATTCAGCAGCAGTTTTCCGACCTCAAAGTGCGCGCTTCCTTCAATCGCCACGTCATTCTGGGACAATCATGCCTGCCTTTGCTTGGATTGATGTCTGCTTTAAAACGGGGTTTGTGCTCACTCCCACAACATTGTGCTCATTAGCGCGATCTGGCAGAAGTGAGCACCGAGCAGTGGGCCAATCTGCCCGAGGTTGCAGATATCGGCAAGAAAACAAAGCGTGCCAAGCGAGAACGCTTCACTCCCATGCCCGATAATCTGCTCGGCACTGCGGTATGCCCTGGTCTCGCCACGCTTCAGTCTAGCCACTGCCGTGCACCTGCTCACACCGCGCCTTTGTTGCCCACCTGCCCTTGGCTGATGCAGACGGCGGGCGGTCACACAGAAATTGACTCACGTCAACAGAAATATGGCGGCCTGCAAACCCCCATGCCTGGCTCGCAAACACTCATGCCATCCTACGCCGGTGCGTGTCAATTTCTTGCTGCAACAAGTCGCCGTCATCACCCTCATTCCGACTGACATCTTCTCTGCTCGCCCCCCCCCCCCCCCCTTTTTTTCCCCTCGACTTCTCCCATAGGTGACCTCGATCTCGGCGAGATCGGCCGTGCGCGTAACACCATGATGGGAGTCAAGCTGGATCAGGTCTCCGACTCTGTTACGGGACAAACCGTTGTGGATCCAAAGGGCTACCTGACTGACATGAACAGCCTCAACCCCCAAGGCACCGGAACTGTGGCGTACGTGAGATGGGCCACCAGGCCTGCGTTTACCTGCTGCCCCTTGCTCGGTGTTGATCTCACGCATGTGTTTGCTGGTGTAGGGACATTGCCAAGGGCCGGCAATTGCTGGCAGCGGTGCGCAAGGCCAACCCCAACAACGGTACCCTCCTCATGTCTTGATCACTGTCTCTTGCCTGCGCACACACACTGTGGCACGTACTTTGGCTTGCCTCACCAAATCAACTCCATGCTCGCACCCTGCTGGACCGGCCATTGGCTGACCTGTGTCACAGGCCCAGCATGGATCGCCTCTGCTAAACTAGAGGAGCAAGACGGGCGCATCCAGGCAGCGCGCAACATGATCTTCAAGGGTTGCGAGCATTGCCCCAAAAACGAGGACGTGTGGCTCGAGGCTGTTCGTTTGCAGCCGCCACAAAATGCCAAAGCAGTCGTGGCCCAAGGCGTGCGCGAGCTTCCTTCATCTATTAAGCTCTGGATCAAGGCCGCCGAGCTTGAACAGGACCACAAAGCCCAACGTCGCGTCATGCGCAAGGGTATGTGCACCTACCTCCACCCGTCCCTCGGCCCGTGGCTTGCTGGTGCAGTCTTTCGTGGCGAGGTCTCAATGCTCTGATACTGCCTTGTCAGCGCTGGAGACCATCCCGGACTCGGTGAAGCTGTGGAAGGCAGCCGTGGAACTTGAGTCCCCCGAAGATGCCTGCATCCTTCTTGGGCGCGCCGTGGAATGCTGCCCAACCTCAACAGAGCTCTGGCTGGCGCTTGCCCACCTGGAAACCTATGACAATGCACGTAAGGTCTTGAACAAGGCTCGCAAGGCTGTGCCGACCGACCGTCAAATTTGGATTGCGGCCGCGCGGCTGGAGGAAACTGCCAAGAAGTTTGAGAATGTTGAGCGCGTTGTAGCTACGGGTATCAAGTCGTTGCAAGCCAACGGCGTCGAAATCAACCGGTATGTCACGCGCCTTCCCAGCTTCAGGATATCTATCCAGCTCACTTCGTCGGCTCACCGAAGCATTGGTGTTTGGGGAATCGGTGCTTTCTTTTTCATTTTGATTTTATTTTTGTAATAGCGACCACTGGCTTGAGGAGGCCCAGCGTTGTGATCTAGCAGGCAGTCCAATCACTGCCCAGGCGATTGTGCGAGCCGTCATTGGCTACGGCATCGAGGACGAGGATCGAAAGGAAACTTGGATTGATGATGCCAAGAATTTTGTCAACCACGAAGCCTTTAATTGTGCCCGTGCCGTTTACGCACAAGCACTTGCCGTCTACAAGGTTGATGATGAGCTGTGGCTTGAGGCGGCTTTTTTCGAGAAGGAGCACGGTACCCGCGTCTCTCTCGAGGAGCATCTCCAGGCAGCTGTGCGCCACTGCCCTCAGGCCGAGGTGCTCTGGCTCATGGGTGCCAAATCGGCATGGAACCACGGCGACGTTGGAACGTCCCGTCAGATTCTGGCCGCTGCTTTCGAAGCCAATCCTGGCAGCGAAGAGATTTGGTTGGCCGCCATCAAGCTTGAGTCTGAGAACAACGAGTACATGCGCGCTCGCAAACTCTTGGAGCGCGCTCGTGCCAAGGCCGGCACAGCGCGTGTGTGGATGAAGTCTGCCCGTCTCGAGTGGGTTCTGGATGACATCCCACAAGCCTTGAGCCTCTTGGATGGTGCCATCCAGCGCTTCCCCGATTACTTCAAGTATTACCTCATGAAGGGGCAAATCTATGAGCAGTGCAAAGACATTGAAGCTGCACGACAAGCCTTTGCTGAGGGTTTGAAGGCCACTCCAAAGGATGTGGAAGTGTGGCGTTGTGCCGCTGAGCTGGAGGTTTCGCAAGGTATGTTTGGATGCTGTTTTTTTTTTTTTTTTTTTTTTCTTTTTTTCATCGTGCCTACCATTTGAGGCACAGGTAGGGCAGCGATTTTTTTTTTCTTTAAGAAGGCTGGACTTAAAGATGTTGACAGCATTTTGGCTCATCTTCAAGCTCAATCTGTCTGCCTTGCCGTTGCGGTTGCTTGTGTGCTTAGGCAATTTCACCCGCGCTCGAGCGCTGTTGGAGCGCGGTCGTACATACAATCCCAAGAGCGATTTGTTGTGGCTTGACTCTGTGCGCGTCGAGCGCCGGGCTGGCAACCCCCAGGCGGCAGAGACTGTCTTAGCCAAAGCCATGCAGGTACGGCTCGGTTTTTATTTTTATTTTTATTTTTTTATTTTTTTATGTATAAAACATGGCTTCTCTCATGCGCTTGTGTCGTCCCGACGGTCTCCCAATACGCACCATGGCCCGTCGATGCTCTCAATTTGTGGGATGCACCTAAAGGACGTGCCGCTGTCTGGCAAGCTGTGGGCTGAATCGATTGCCATGCAACCCAAGGCTGGTCGCCGCACCAAGTCCTTGGACGCATCGAAAAAATGTGGCAACAGCCCTGAGGTTTTGGTGGCGCTGGCCAAGATGTTCCTCTCGGATCGTAAGATTGCCAAGGCACGGCGCTGGCTGAACAGCGCTGTAAAGCTTGATCCGGACTACGGTGATGGCTGGGCTGCCTATTACAAGTTTGAGTTACAGTATGGTACAGAGGAACAGCAGGAGGAAGTGGTCAAGCACTGCCTGAACGAAGAGCCACGCCACGGCGAAGTTTGGCAACGCGTTGCCAAGGTAAGCATGCGCGCATGAACGTTATCCCGGAAAGTTGGTGTTGTTTCCTCTGTTGTATGAACCACTGTGCACTGGAGACACACAACTTTCCGTTTTCAGCCGTCGAAGGATCCTGTTGACCAACGTATCTCTCTCTCTCCCCCTCTCTTGTCTAGGACCCGCGCAATTGGCGCCTGCGTGGCAAAGACTTGCTGGTCCTGGTGGCCAAGCACATGGACATTACCTTCAAGTAAATGACGACTGCCTTTCACTTTCACGGCATGGAGCGACTTTGTACCAGAACACTTGGGGCGACAGAAACAACAAGGGTGGGAATTTCGGAGCGGAGCGCTCCGAAAATTGATGGATGAATGAAAAGTTTTCATCGGAAAAAAGGCTCCGAAAAGTAGGATCCAGATCAAAGAGGATGAATTAAAAAGCGGGTTGAGGAAAGAACACGAGCGCACATGCGTGGGCTCTCCACTCCGGCAGGAGCCAAGGGCATGTGCACGGGGAGGAAACAGACAAGATCAAACAGATTGGTCGAAAGGCAAGATTCGACACCGCACGTAGAATGAAGTGGTGTGAATCCAAAGGCACACAACAAGGAGCCACAAACCATTTGGCTGCGTAGCCAGGCTTGAGGGCCAAAGTTGCAGAGGAAACTCAAGCAAAATAAGGCAGAGAAACAAAAAGAGCCGTAAGCATGGACATCGGGTTTGGCTAATCAAGAGACAACAAACAAAAGAATGACAAACAACTAAAAGCAAAGACGGGAAGGGAAGAAAAGCAGACGAAGAAGAAGAAGAAAAGAGGTTGTGGAAAAACCCGCGGGAAAATCAGACAGAGCAGACTGATAAGAAAGGGACGATGCTCTTCAAATTGGCGCCTTAGACGCGATGCCGCCAGACCGTGGCATAGGCCTTGACGTACTCAAACTTGCGGGCATGCTCACGGAGCATAAAGGGCATGTCCATGACCTCGAGCAGCTCGAAATTGTCATTGAGGGAAGCATGCAGCGTGTCAATGGAGCTGACCTCACCATCGAAGGTCTCGCGACCACCCAGCCAGAGATCCTTGGGTGTGTAGCGTTCCATCCAAGAGAAGGGGGAGGAGACAAAGAGGAGGCCACCGGGCTTGACGAGGCCACGCGCGCCTCCCAGGCGACCCAGCAAGCTGCCTGGGCTGGAGAGGCGGTCCAGAACGTTGGCTACCACCACGGCATCAAAGTTGCCAAGGTCAGGTGGTAGGCAAAGGGCATCACCATGCTTGAAGGACACGCGGCTGCTCTGGTGGCTGGGCGTGGCGGTGAAGTGCATCTTGATATCACCTTCCTCACGCACGTACGACTGCAAGCTGCCAGTCTCCTGGATTTCTTGCGCTGTCTCAATGGCATTGCTATTAATGTCATAGCCCAGAACCTCTGGAAAGCGCTCAGCCAAGGCAAAGGCGACGCCGCCGACGTTGCAGCCAATGTCAAGAGCGCGCTGTGCCTGGTCGTTCTGGCCAAGATGCTTGAACAGGGCATTGGCAACGCGAGTGGGATAAGCGCGGGCCTCAGCGGGAAGTTCATCGCCAGAGCCGTAGTGGAGATGGATGTATTGCCGGACGACCTCGTCGGCGGCGTACTTGCGCTCTGTCTCATCCTTGTTGGAGCTGCGGAAGGGGTTTTGACCGACAAAGGGGCCTTGGTTGTCCATGCACGAGGTCACAAGCTGGGGTTCGTGGCGGTTGGGCTCGACGAGACGGAAGCCAGAGTGTTGGAAGAAGTGGGGCCGGAAGTGGAAGCGGGCAAACATCGAGGCCTCATCACCGCAGGACATGTAGGAGCCACCAAGAATCAGGTTGTGCTCGCCATCAAAGCAGGGGAGGGTAAAGTCATTGTAGTAAGGGTGGACGCGGAAGCCAGGCAAGGCGCTCATGTGATCCTCATGCCATTGCCAGACATTTCCAAAGACGTCATGGAAGCCCGAGCTGGCGGGCTTGAGTCCGTCGACGGGGCTCTCCGAGCCATAGGCGAGGTTGAGGTTCATGCCAAATTGTTCGGGCATGGCACGGCCGTCAGCCACCATGCTGGGATCACGGTCAACGCCGAGGCTAGTCTGGGTCATGGACTGGTCACGGATGCGATGGTGTTCAGCCTCAGTCATGAGACGATACTTGTTTTCGCCAGTGAGACCAGCCTTGCGCGAACGCCAGTTGGCAAAGGCCTTGGCCTCGTGAAGGTTGACGTTGACGGGCCAGTCCCAGGGCATGTCAATCTCCTCAAAAATGGCACGGAGGCGGTACTGGTGTAGACCGGCAGGACCGGTGCTAACCCAGAAAGTGGGCCATTTGACGTTGCGGAAGCAGCGCCACTTCCATCCTTCGGGCTCCCACACGCTCTCGTCCAAGTAACCACCGCTACGCAAGCATTGAAGGCGGGCATTTGCAGAGAGATGAGGGGAGAAGAGGCGAGAAGAGGAGAGAGACAGAGAGAAAGAGAGAGCAAGGGCCCAAGGCAAGCAAGACGAAGCAGATCGCACCTCTTGACAAACTCGAGGAATTCACCGTTGGAAATCAGGTACTTGGTGGCATGGAAAGACTTGACATGCATCTGCTTCTCACCATACTCGTTGTCCCAGCCGTAGGAGGGAAAGTCACGGGGCTTGCCCAGAGTGACAAGACCGGCGTCCACGGGCAGAAACTCATTCTCCGGGTAGTGCTCGCCTTCCTTGACCAAGACGTTAGGGGCTGGGGCGCTTTGGTGGCTCGGGTGCAGGGGCGGAAAGTTATCCGGGCGGCGCAGGAGGGAGAGGGGAAGTTCGCGCATGAGGACGCTCGAGGTCTCCAGATGAATCTTCTCGTGCTCGGTGCCCATGACAAGGGCCCAGAAGGGGGAAGCTTCGAGTTGGCTGATGGTGTCAAAGGCAGGATGGTTCTCAATGGCATCGACAATCATGTCGTAAACTTCCTGGCGGTACTGGCGCACTTCTTCGACGGTGGGCCAGAGCATGTCGTTCTTGCTCAAGTCGTCCCAGAGCATTTCGTCGACGCCAGTCTCAAAGATGTGCTCATAGTACTCGTTGATGGGGGCGGAGATGAGGCCGGCCACACGAAACTTGTTCACGTACACGGAAGCGGGGTGGGCGTAGTAGAAGATCTTGGGGTGACGCAGGTTGTGGTAAGGAGGGCGGTAAAAGGGTTCCTCGGTCTGAAGGCCCTCAAACAGAACCTCGGTCATGGTCCAGGTGTTGTCAAAGTAATCGCGCAGCTGTTGGCGGGTGACGGTGGCCAGGTTGGGCTGGGCCAGGGCCCGGATGACGTTGTCCTCGTCTACGCCGGGGCACACGCCATAAACTGGAGGTTTGCCCGTCCACCACTGCTCGGGGCGAGGCCCGACAAGATAGTCGGTGGCGCCATTGCAATTGACGTTCCACGATTCAACAACAGCCTGATGACCTTGTTTGGCAGCGGCGGCAGCTTTCAGCGCACCGCTGAGTGCAGGGGTGGTCGTGCTCAGACAGCGACGCGCCGTCAGGCGCAGGGCCGTCACAATCATGCTTGTGACTTTGTCTGCTCAAAGGCAGCCACAAAATTCGACCCAAACGGCGTTGCAATTGTACGATCAGGACAACCGGCAACGTCTGCGATCCAACTCCCTCCCCACACCGAGCGCAGCAGCAGCAGCAGGGCGGGCAGCCACAGAAAATCGAAGAAGCAGAAGGAAACGAGGAGGAGGAGGTGGAGAAAAATGTCTTTGTGGGTGTGTTTGAAAGTGAGACACACGTTGGGTTTCGATGGCACGGAAATCTATCACAACGGAAATCTATCACAAGCAGACGAGAGAGAGAGAGAGAGAGAGAGAGAGAGAGAGAGAGAGAGAGAGGGGAAGAAAGGAAAAAAGGAAAAAAGGAAGGGGAAGAGGAAGGGGAAGGAAAGGAACAAAGGGGGAATAGAGGGAGTGGATGGCTCAAACAAAGACGTGGGCCACGTGAGACTCTTTGACGCTAGCGGGGTGGCTGTGGAAAAATGACGGTTTTGGGTCAGGTTCAGCCGGGTGTGTCGACGGCGGGGACTCAAGAAGGTGAGGTGATAAGAAGGGAGGAAGGGGGTGCAGGCTTGAGTTGGCTGAGGGGCTTGGTACAGCCCAACGATCGCGGGCGGGTCGCAGTTGGTCGAACGGCGCGGAGCCGGGAGAGAGACAAGTTAGCTCTTGCTTGTGACTTTGACTTTGGAGCAAAGGTGGACATCCATCACATAACATCATCACAACGAACACACCATTCCTGGAGGAAATCAGGAAACAAAAGGAACAAAAAGGAAATCACACACGCACACACACATATACTGTACACAAGAAGGGCGAGGCTTACATCCGGATGTACAGAACGGAAACACATGCGCCTAACTTGATCATGTAAGACAAAGGGGCCAGGGTATGCAAGCTCACGAGCAGGGATTTCAAAGGGCAGCGCCAGGGATCCGGTCCAGTCCGGTTGATGTCTCTCCAATGTAGACACAGAAGGACACGAGGGCTGGGTAAGGTTCGGCCTTGTTGTCCAGAGGTGGACCCTTCTCGCCTCCCAGCCCTGACAGTTTTGCCAGTTTCCTGGAGAAAGTAGCATCTGACGACAGGTTGACGACACCAGAGCAAGCTGGGTGAGAGAGAGCTGACATCGGAAACCCTAACTTGGTGATTTCTTGTCAGCAGGACTGCTTGCGACCGTTACTCCTTCCTCATGGCATTGTGTGCTTTGGCACCGCACATACCCTGCCGTGCATATCGCAGCCCCTCTGGGATCGTGAATCACAGAAGCATGGGACCATGGCTGCCGATGCGTGTGCTTACCAGGGCTGGACCCCGTCTCGATCAAGACGGTTTGCGCTCTTCATGTTGCGCTGCATGGACAAGAATCAAGGAACCAAGGAGGACACTAAACTCTCACTGTTTTCGTCAGTTGTCAGCCAATCTCAGAAACAGTGGTTGTGAACTGTTATCGCCTATCAACCAAAATTCTGGGCAAAAAAAACTCCGCGCTCAGCTCGGCTCTTAGCTCCGCTCAATCGCCGAGCTGCATGAAACAAGGCTGTTGCGCGTTGATGTGCCGCCACACAGAACGCGATCAAGCCCGTCTTCGAGCCTGTCCGAGCTTGCCTCCCCCCCTCTCCTTCCCTCCGGTGGTCTAAGGTCCTCCACTGGCAGTCATGCAAATCCACTAAACTGCTTTCAGGCTTGGGGCTGCGGGGCTTGCCCGCCACCCTAAATCCCGTCAGCCCTTGAGCAAACTGGGAGCCAAGCCTCGACCTGTGCTCTGACCATGGCGACCGAACGCCACGTCCATGGCATCCTGTACATGGGAGGTCCTTATGGGTCTTCCTCGACACCTCATGACCCGGAGGCCTTAAAGCGTGCCCCGCGTGAGCTGCCAGTCCCGACCCATACCTCACAGGACCCCATCAGCCAATGGCTTCCGCTACCCAACGTCGATGCACGCTGGCTAGCCGTGCATCAGAGTGGCCGCTTGACCGTTTGGCGAGGCGACGCACTCCTTCCTTTTCGTGCGGATGGCCCTCGGTCTGACGAGGTGCTCCAGCAAGCCCACTCCCCTGCCCTCTTGTTGCCCACAGATCATCCCGGGGTGAGCCAACGCCAGCTCCCTGCCGACACCAATCGCCTGCACTACCTCGAAAGTCTGCAGCTCTACCTCAGCTGGAGACAAGGAGGACGCCGCCTAGGCCTCCTGACTTCCGAGTTTGAGGTCTTGGATGAACTCGAGAGCCCCGAGCCCGTGCATGCCATTGCTCACCCGACAGGTGCCCTTGAAATTATTCTTTGTGGCAATCAAGAGCTCCATCGCCTGGCTTTCCGTCGTGGACGTCATCTGGAATTTCGTACCGCCTATCGACCGCAATGCGAAGGCAGTCCTGATAAGCCCCTGCGCCACCTCGTGCTTGACTCCGATGAAGAAACGCATCAGCGCCTCTACGTCGCTATTGGCAACTGCGTAGCCATTCACCGCTGCCTCAGCGGCGAATCCGTCGCCGCCATCAACGACATCTTTGACGCCGATCTCTCTTGCATCTATCCGGATCTCAAGGAGCACGTGCTGCTCGTAGCCTCGCGTCGCGGTGCCATTGCTGTCATTAACATGAACAACTGGTCGCGCTTGGCGACTTGGGTCAGTACCACGGCCCCCATCGTAGCCATCTACGAACACCGCCTCCTTCCCAGTGCCATCCTTGCCCTAGCCGAGGATGCCACCCTGACAGTCTGGCACTACCACTGCCAAGATTGCATCCTTCAGCGCCAGCTCCCCGAGCAGCCCAAAGCGCTCTATCCCCTGCCCCACCACCCGAGCCTTTTACTCTTGCTTGGCACCAACACCTCCCACATGTTTCGCCTCAACATTCTCTATCGCCTTTATAGCCTCATGTTTGAGCGGGTAAGCTTCTTCCCCACGCTCCTCCCCTGCATGGAGCGCTTGAGTCCCGATCCTAGCCCTTGCCCTCGTTTTGGCAAAAGGATATGAGGAAGCCAGGCACGGCGAAGGGCAGCTTGGTGTTTTACGTGGCCATGCCTTTCCTTGCTTCAATGCTGCCTACCCAGGTCTCTTATTTCACGGCTTCTTTGCTGCCACGCTTTGATAGATTACTAGCTTGGCACGCCGCTGGTGCGCGCCCGATGAAGCCCATCTCTGCACCCTGACACATCGGCAGCAGGCCATTGTTCTTGACGCCCAAGATCAAGCATGCCTGCTTGAGACAGAGCGCATGCCTTTTTTGGGTCCGACCCGCAGCATCAGCCTGCTTGACTCTCAGGACCTGTGGTGCTTTTGCTCCACGTCAGGGCAAATCCGCTTCTATTCGACTCAAAAGGGCGCCGATGAGCTCGAAGCCTTGCAGCCCGACTGCCTTTGGGCCCCGTCTCTTCCGCCAAACGGCGCGACATGCATCGCCACACTTGAATTAGCACGCCAACACCCGTTGCCCGAAACCCCTGACCCCCGGAGCTGGCGCGCAGGCTTTGGTCGTGCTGTTCAGCCTCGCTACCCCATGACAGAAGCTTGGCGCACTTGGCGTACCGAGCAGGCGCCGCCCCCTAACATCCACGCTGGCGTTCTCGTCGGGTCTGAGGATGGCCACTTGCGCCTCATCGACCTGCGCACCCAACGCCTGGTGGAAGCCTTTCCAGCCATTCACGCAGCGGGGCTTGTGGCCGTAACTGCCGACGTATCTCAGCCTCCGCCCGTGCGCTTTCAGGGTACAGCACCACCAGCCTCTCTACCTTGGCACGTCGCATCATATGATGCAGAAGGAGCTTTGGTGCTCTGGGCACTCACGCCAATGGCAATACCGCCTCTTTCACCTGACGCCAACTTTGAGGCGACGGAGGAATGGGCAGCACACCCTTACATAACCGTGACCCAGCTCCGAGTCGTCTTTCTCTTGGATCGCATCTACCGACAGGTTCTGCACTACCCGCACCTCATCACGTGCGCACGGCATGAAGAAACTGCTCGTCACGTCGTCAGCGTCCTTGATGTAGCCCAGGACACCACAATCTCGCACCACGTCCTAGACGATCACGATTCACGTGTGATTGGCCTTGACCTCAACCCCCACCTTGATCTCATGGTGACTGCAGAGGATGCAGGGATCCTCAAGCTTTGGTGTGTCAGCCGCAACTCCCTACTTGCCACGATTCAGCTAGACAGCCCCGTGCAAGGCATTGCCATCCAGGAAACCGAGTCTACTACACCTTGCATTGTTCTCGCCACGCGCGGGCACCTTTGGCAGATGCCCCTCTTGCCCTTTCTTCCGCGCCGCTACTTGCGTGGCATCCTCGGCCCGGGACCGCGCCCAGAGGCAGCCTGGCGTGCCAACCTAGTGGATGAACTTCACCACCCTGAGCGCTTTGGTCGAGTCAATCTCTCCATCATGCCTAGCGCCAACGGTCACACCCAGGTGCGTCACCACCGTCGCTCCACATTGGCCGATACGACCCGACATCAAATGAAAACCATTGAGTTGGAACGCCAACGCGTGGCCAGCCAAACCCGCCGGCTGCTGGACCGAGAGCGTGACCTGGTTGACATCAATTTACGTCGTGACAAAGCCATCGAAACCACGGCCGTGCCTTCTCGAACTCGCAAGGCGCAGCGGGCTGCACTCAAGGCCTTTGCTCGTCAACTTCACCCGCGCCTTGCCGTCATTGACGACCTGCACCGGCAATATGATGAAGAGCGGCTGCAGGAGGTTGTACAAGCCTCGCTCTCCACCCTGTCCGATACCGACATGCAAGATCTCCGTGCCGCCGTGGCTGCGCTTCCAGAGGTATTGTGCTCAAGCCGTCGCCTTGACCTCGCACGTCAGCCTGGTGTCCGTTCATCGTGGAACAGCCCTCACTCTCATGGCCCCGCTTGTGGCGTGCTTCTCGATTTGTTTTCCGTTTACCATGATAGAACCAGGCCGGTGCCAGCGAAAGCCTCCGGCGTCAATATCTTTATAATCCCTCGGACCGTCCTCCACCCCCAATGGCCCCTGACCTTTGGATACCCAACTCGGCCGTATGGATCCTCATGAAGCGTTGGGGCGTGGTGCCAGAAGAAAGCCCAGCACCAACCGGGCCACCGCTTCCCGTGCCCTTGCCAGAACCGCTTAATGACCAGGTGACTGATGTGCACCGGCACGGGCGAGGGCGGGTTGATCGACATGTTGGTTTATTCTCCGACTCACGCGTGGCCTGCTTCCAACGGCTTGGCCCATTCATTTAAATTTTATAGCTCTCGTCAGAAGAGGAGGACGATGGGGTAGGCCTGATGGATCTGCTCAAGAAGAACCCTGTCATCAATCTGTCCAGCTCAGAGGAAGATGAAGAAGAAGAGGAGTCGCCACGTCGACGGCGCCGCCGCCGCGCTGCGGTTGCTTCCCGAGGGTTTCAGATGCTTGATGAGCGTGAACGGCCCGCCAAAGCCCAGGAGCCACCTCCAGCAAACGAAAGCGCCAACGATCGGCCGCCGCCTCCGATCAAATCACCCAAACCGACACGCTCAACGCCCAGCGCCCCCAAGTTTCCACCCGTAGCCCCGCCGCTACCTCGCTACTTGTCACAGTTTCGGGAGAAGCATTGGTTCAAGTTCCGCTATCCTCGTGCCGTTCCCAGCACGTTTGACTTTTTGCGCCCAGCGCCGTCGGAAGATGAAGTGGCGCGAAATGTATTAGCTCAGATCCCGTACCGGGCCGTGGTGACCTTTCTGGCCGGCAGCGAACTGTCGTTTTCTGGCCCCCCTGTTCGTAGCCTCCTATCTCAGGCAACATCCACCGAAGATGCCATTTCCATCGTGGAGAGCATCGGCGTTCTCAGCGTTGACTCGCACACCGACTCTATCACCCGCGCAGCGATCCGCCGGACGCTACTAGCTGCCTTGGACCCTGTGCGTACACACGTTCTCTGAGACTGAATTGGCCGACTCTGCGCAATTTGTCCTCACACCTCATCTCTGACCCATTCCTTATTTCCGCCGCACACCCACTCAGGCAAATGATATCCGTTTACGTGGCGCCGTAGTCCATGCAATCAACGTGTGGTGCACCTATTCTCGACGCTGCTTTGATGGTTCGTGTCCACAAGGCAGCTGAAAAGGTGTCGTGATCACAAAGGTTGTGCTCATCGGTTCACTCGCCTTTTCGTTGCGCGTTTTGTGGGCGTGTAATTCTTGCAGATGAATTGGCCCGTGCCTTGCTGACGGCCTACCTTTGCAGTCTACCAGAAGAAGAGGCGGTGCGTCTCCATCCAGAGGCCGCGCTATGCTTGGCAAACGCTATGGTGGTTCTTCACTCACCAATTGCAACTGTGTCATTGTTGTGCTTGGCCACCACATAGTTTCGATCTCTGACCCAGCACTGCTTTGCTATGCATGGGCTGGACGGCGAAACGGATTTGTTATGGCAGCACTTGCGGCAGCAAGCTGATCAGGTAAAACCAACGCTCGGCGATTGCTGCAGCTTTGAGGTGGACTCATGAGCTCGACTTGTGCCTTTTTGCCTCTTGCAGCTCGCGCGGCGGGGTGCGGCCTCACCGCGGCCCCCGGTTGCATCATCAATGGCAATGGCGCTTGACGATGAGCACAATCAAGGGGATCACTCTTCAGAAGTGGGGAGCGCAATGGCCGAGGACGGCTCAACAAACGTGGTATCGACACAGCCAAGCGTTGATGAACGGCAGCGGGCCGCCAGCGCAGCTCGGGAGCTCTTGTCCGACTGGCGCACAAGATTGGCATCTGCAACCACGCTGTCCCGCCGTGGCTCGACGGCTGTGACCATGGCCGCCCCCACTGACGACCGACCTCCTGTGCATGATATTGGCGAGTGTGACGCGATTGACGTGCTACGCTACTTTATCGTACAAAATACGGAGCGACCGGCGTCCGAGCCGCGGGCACGCACGCAGACTCCTCGCCTGCTGCGCAACCTAGACCGCATTGCGCGTGCCCCCTTGGCGACACAAAGCTTCCTGCCACGTCTCGGCTATGTTGGAAGGTCAGCAAGTGCTTTTGACAGCAACTTTCGGAGCCTCATCAGGCTCTGCCTTTGCTTGGCAGAGTTGTTGGGCTGGTCGGGCCGTGGACTGAAGCTACTTGTCCTAACCAGGTGGTTTTCGATGTTCTTCAATTGCCGGGTTCTGTAGGGCGGCGACACCGCGGGGAGAGCATCGAGCTGCATCGGCACGCCTGCCTCCGGTGCGCTCTGCCCCTGATGGAAGCAAAGAAGGCGATGAGCGCCAACAAATAAGACGTCTAGTCGACAATGCCATCGGTTCGTTGCGTTTGGTCAAATTGACGGCCATGATGATATCTGGTTTGCGCGCACAACGTCTTGGACGTCTTGGATGATTTGCCTGGGCTGACGGTGTGAAAACGGAATATTCTGCTCTGGGTTTAGACTTTCGTCGGCTACGCCTACGTCCCCACGATGTGGCACCGAGTGCTGATGGGCGATTTGCCGCTGCGGCTCAGCGGCCATTGACGCAAGGGCACGCCAGTCGCTTTTTTGATCTGGATCATGCCATTCATGGCACTTCTTAACGCACCAGCCAACCTTGTGCCATGTGCTACGTTGGTCGTGCCACCGCGATTGTTGAAAGTTTCTAGTGCAAAAACTGTTTTGACTGGGTTGTATCTATCTGTAGTCGGAGGGATGCGCGGTCCAGAGAGGGAATGATGGAAAGTTGTTGCATTTGCGGCTGTTCCTGACCGACTGTGATTTATCACACCTCGCTTGGATCGCGCTCAATGCAACGGCTAACGCGTGCAAGGGCGTGGTGGCACGCATAGGCGCTGTGCGCCTGAACAGACATCGAGCAAGCGAGTGCCTGACACGAGAATTGAATCATCATATTCATGCACTTGTCAACGAGAGAGAGAGAGAGAGAGAGAGAATAAAAAATTGTTTTGAAGAAAAGACAACGAGAGAGCACAATAGAACGCTTTGCAACTCGGCCCTTCAAGGGCATTTCAAGACCGGAGGGCGGCGAGGCGCTGGCTCAGCTCATCCTGCTCAGCCTGACTGGGATCAGCTTGGGCTTGATCAGGCACTGCTTGTCGACCAGCAGGGGCAAAAGCAGCGGCCAGGTCCATGTTGCTTTCATCTGCCACCTGTTGCAAGAGGTTATCAATCTGGTCTTCAGGCGCCGAGGAGGCAAAAGCCGAAGACATGGCATTATCCATGACACCCGTGCGCACGTCCAACTCCTCAAACTGTGACTCGAATTTGTCCATAACAGCAGCCAGCTGTCAAGAAGCCAGGCATGAGAAGGAAGACAAAGAGGCACCAATGTTGTGCACGTACGGCGTGCATGCGTGTTTGTTGAGGGTGAGTACGAGCGGAGCCGGGTTTGATTGCGGGGACGGCACGACCACTTGCCTTTTCAAGGTCCATAGAAGCCATTGCCTTGTCCATGCCTTTGACAACACTGCCCATTTGCTGTGAGACCTATTGACATCGGTCAAACGCCATATGCGCGTTCCAGAGCGTGAGATCACCCGGGGGTGGGCTAGCCTACGGGCACGGGAGCGCAACACTTTGGCTTGCCATTCGCACCTGTTTCATGGACATGGCACTGTTGAGTCTTGAAACTGTGGCATCAATGCGAGAGGACATGCGCAGGTAATTGGTGGCCTCGGACTTTTGTCGGATGGCACTCTCAGCCATGACTCGGGCTGCGTCTTGATTGCCCTTTTCGAGATAATCCTTCACCTTGCGCTTGCTCTTTTCCATGTCCTGAGCAAAGAGGTTGAACCAATTTTTGAGCCGCGATCGATTGTCGCAAACAGTGACAACCAGACTAGGTTCCATGTCTCCAGCCCGGCGGTGATTGAATGCGTGCAGAAACGTGGCGCTGCAAGTGTCCACTGACCTTTTCCGACTTTTTTGACTGTCGCTCCAGCTGCTTTTGCGTCATCTTCAGATTGAAAATGACATCTATTGATCCCGCAAAGCAAGGAAGTTCAAGCGGAAAGTGAGCAACGACGGGCAGTCCCTGCTTGTCAGCGCTGGAAGGTGGTTCAGACCAGAGCACATACCGCTCATATTCACAGATTGTTCCTGCCCCATCTTGCACGGTGTGCGGGCTTGACCAAGTCAGCCTCGCCTTCTTTGCAAAAGCCACCAGCCCCCCGCGATGTGCTTGACGAGATGCCTCTATCGATGGTGCAGTGTCTGCCCCTCTCTTTTCGTTGACTGTCACCGTCGAGTGTCGCGCCTTGGTGTCACAGCCGCCGCCTTCCAATTGAAATTGGCGATGAGTCCCCGCAAACTGCGCGCTCCTTTGTTCTCTCTCTCAAGCTCTCAAACGCCTAAAAGCTCTCTCAAACTCTCTCTCAAACTCTCTCTCTCTTCTCTAATCCAGCACACGTACATAGGATGTCAGACGAAAATTCGGGGTGGTTTTCTTTTATGCCGACTGGTTTCGCGTTGTGCTTACAGCCAAGTTGCATTCACCTCCTTTGACACCACGACTCAACGAGGTGGAGGTGGGTAGCTAGCTCAAACGACCTTTTGCGCGACGGCTCCGTCCTCCGGGCCGCGCCGTTCTGGGCAGCACAGTATTGTTTGAGATTATTGGCGACAGTGCCTGTCCCATATTGTACCAGACGCAGCCACGCTGGTAGACTGGCGTTGGCCGTATCGAGTGCCAAACTGCCATTGCCAATGTCACTGCAGCTGGACCCCAAGTTGTCACGAGTGCCCGTCCCCAGCTCGACGTGCTTGGCAGCACGCCGACCGTTCAGGCAACGCAAACATGATGGCGCCTAAGGTTTGGGGGTTGCTGCAGCAGTCGCGCGCACGCCTGGCCCCCCTTGCTTCAGTGCACGGGCCAGTGCCTGGCACAGCGCGCCTCTGGTTCTCTTCGATGACCCGTTCCCCGTCGGTCCCAGTGCGCCCTCGCTGGCTGGATGGCCGCCTTTTGCGACCCCAACGTGCCTCCTCAGGCCAGCAGGGCCCCCGTCGAACTGACAGTAAGCCATCTCAGGAAGGCCATCGTGAGCGTACTCGCCGAGCTTGGGAAGATTCTGTCCAACGCCAGCGCAACCGGGAATTCTTTCAACAAGAGAATGAGCGCCCAGGACCCTTTGATCGAGCCCGGCGCTCCGGTAGCAACCCACCGCCAGACCCACAGCAGCCGCCACGCCTTGGATGGCAGGACCTTATTCTGCCGGCGGGCCTCATCTTCCTCATGACCGTGCTGATGGATGACAGCAGCGAGGCGACGTACCGCGAAATTTCTTGGCAAGAATTTTACGCCAAAATGCTGAGCCGTGGTGAAGTGGATAAACTCGTCGTCAGCCAGGATGGCAACTACATTTTTGTTTACCTCCACCCAAATGCCGTTATTCCAGTCCGTATTCAAACCATGCAAACTTGCTGTCCTCCTTGCTAGCCCCTTGGCTTCAGACATCATTGACCCCACCCTAGCCCCGTGCGAGCTTATTGCTGTGTCCTTTGCTCTCCCGTGTCTGCTCGCAGGGCTATAACCGCCAGCCAGGCGAACGACTCCCTCACTTTCGCGTCTCCATCGCCTCAGTCGATGGATTTGCGCGCAACATGGAGGTGGGTTGCGTACTTGGGATATCTGGTCGACATCTTGCCCGGCACTCTTCCGCGAGCCAAAGTAACCCTGGTGGGCTCTTTCATGTTGTGGTGTCACCCTTGAATAGGCCGCTTCCAAAGACTTGGGCATTGACTTGCTCGCCGAAATTCCTGTTCTCTATCTCAAGCCAGACGAATTTAGGTGGGAACGAGGGATTCCTCCGTGGGCGCCCCTCCGTGTTCTTGCTTGCCCCTGTTACATCATCTTGAGACAAGTCACTTGCATCAATCTTATTGTCGTTGCCCTGCGACCCCGAAATCCGGGACCGTGCTCATCGCGTTTGTAGTGATACACTTTTGGGGCTCTTACCCCTAGCTTTCATCCTAGGCACCTGGATACTTCTGTCTCGCTTTGCCGGAGGTATGTTTATGAAGCGTCCCATTGTTTTTCGTCGGACTTGGGGGTGCCCTCCTCGTGACGTACGCCCGCCCGCCCCACCTCTACTTGACCCTCGCCCTTTGGCCTGATCGCATTACTACGCTGAACTCGTCTGATTCCCGCCCCCGACAAGGAATGGGACCGGGGGCAGGACGCGGCGTGGCTTCAACGGCACGCCAGCGTGGCCCCTTTGAGCGCAACAACATGTCAAATTTTGGCAAAATGTCAGCCTTAAAAACCCATCGCGAACTGCCCGACACGAGCTTCAACGACGTTGCTGGCCTCTCTGAAGCCAAGGTCGAGCTCAAGGAGTTTGTTGAGTTTCTCAAAACCCCAGAACGATTTGAAAAGCTCGGTGCAAAAGTTCCCAAGGTACCTGGACGTGCCACAATGCTTTTTCAGGCCTCGAATACCAAGGACGACTCGTCTGCTCACTTGTCCCACCTTACCTGCTTGCTTGTCCAGGGCGCCCTCCTTACTGGCCCGCCAGGCACGGGCAAGACATTGTTGGCCAAGGCCGTAGCAGGCGAGGCTCAAGTTCCCTTCTTTGCAGTTTCAGGCTCGGACTTTGTTGAGATGTTCGTTGGTGTTGGTCCCTCGCGTGTCCGTGATCTTTTCAAGCAGGCGCGAGGAGAGGCACCGTGCATCATCTATATCGACGAGATTGACGCCATTGCACGCGCGCGAGGCAAGAGCAATGGTGGCCGCAGCAATTCGGAGCGCGAAAGCACGCTTAACCAGCTACTTGTGGAAATGGACGGTGTTGACCCCAGCACCGGCTGCATGGTGCTTGCCTCTACCAATCGTGTGGACATTATGGACAAAGCCCTTCTCCGCCCTGGCCGCTTCGACCGTCAGATCTCGTGCGATCTGCCAACCCTAAGCGAGCGTGCTGAGATTTTTGGCGTGCACCTGCGTCCGCTTTACCTCGACTGCGGAAACCGTGCCGCCCTGCAAGATCGAATGGCTGCTTTGACTCCAGGTTTGAATCCTGTCGTACAACCGGGCCGGTTGACCCAGCTCATCGTCATGACGTTTTGCTTTTTGTCCTTTTTTTTTTTTTTTTTTTTTTTTTTTTTTTTTTTTTTTTTTTTTTTTTTTTTTTTCCAAACTTTCTTTCTTCTTCTTCTTTAGGTATGAGCGGAGCGCAAATCGCCTCCGTTTGCAATGAAGCAGCTCTTCATGCAGCACGCCTTGGCCGCAAGGCCGTGGTGGATGCCGATTTTGACTACGCGGTCGACCGCGTTAGCTCCGGAATGGAGCGACGCTCGCGCGTCATCTCCAAGGAGGAGAGAAAGATTGTAGCTGTACATGAATGTGGCCATGCCATTGTCGGCTGGTACCTGCAACACACAGATCCGGTCATGAAGGTGTCTCTCGTGCCGCGTGGTCAAGCCCTCGGTGTCACCCAGCTACTTCCCAACGACCATCATCTGTTTTCCGGTGCGTTCCAATGTTCTCCGCCTTTACATAACTGCCTGTCTAGATTGGAAGCGATCTTGCCCTAGTCCCGTGTGTCTGACCAACATTGATTCGGCGTTCTTTGGTCGTGTTCCCTATAGCTGAGGCTCTCAAAGACCGCATGGCCGTTCTACTGGGAGGTCGGGCCGCTGAAAAGGTGGGCCCTTGTTTGCCAAACGATGCAGCTCAAAGGTCGTGGGGCTCACTGGAGGGTGCAAACCTTGTCGACAGATCTTTTTCGATCGCATCACCACCGGAGCCCAAGATGACTTGCAAAGGGTGACACGGATGGCCTACTCTTATGTGCGTCGCGCCCAATGTCTTTTGGCACTTGCCTCTTTTCATGCACTTGCAGAGAGTTGATACTTGGGTGCCCATCGCATGCTGTCTTTCATGTGTGCTGACTCATCTCATCTTGGATCCCAGGTGACACAATATGGCATGTCCAAGCGCATGGGGCCCATGACCTACCGGATCCCTGCGAGCGGCTCAGAGGGCAAGAAGGGGGTGGCTGATGCCACGGCTGAGCAAATTGATGCTGAGGTACTGAGAAAGACCATGGTTGCCCTCGTGTCTACACGACAGCTGACTTGGTTCATTGCCTACACTACAGCTGACTTGATTCATTGCCCATGCCTGACGCTTAGGTTGCCCAATTAGTGGAAAGCGCCTTTGTGCGCAGTCTTGAGCAGCTGCAAAAACACCGTGACAAGGTTTGTAGCCTATGAAATGGCTGGCATGGCATGGCACGGCTTGGCGTGTGGTTTGATTCAAATGTAATTGGTATGGCTTGTATGTGCCATTCGCATGCCATGTCAATTCTAATCACTGGCTCGCTATGCAATAGCTCGATGCCATGTCTCAATCCTTGCTGACCAAGGAGATTCTAACCTATGAAGACTGCGTGGAATTGCTTGGCCCTCGGCCAGGTGATGCTGCCAAGCCCAGCTCTACGCTTGACTTGTCGGAAAAAGCCTAAATCTCCGTTTCAACTTGCAACGATGCCAAGTGCCTGCGCGCGGTGCGCCACACATGCGGCATCAGAAAAAAATAATTTACGCAAACCCAACTTTTTTGCCTACAGAAGATCAAGGATTCGTGGCCAGCCAAAATGAAACAAGGAAGACGTACCGTTGCCCTGCCTGTACTAAGCCCTGCGCATCCTCGGTAGTCATGTGCAAAACGGCTGCTCGACTATCCAATGATGTGAGGAAGCCACTGCCATGAGCCGCATGCTTTGACTCTTGAAGGAAACCCATGCAAGCACGTACGTGGACTCGTTGTTCCCTTGAAGAGCCAACACCACAGTATCATCATCAACCTCCAGCCTGACCAGGTCGCGCACATGAAATATCAATACCACATCATGAGTATGTGTGTGCGCGACAGCAAAGTTGACCGAATACCACCATTGGATCGAGTTCAACAATGCCCAGTGCAGATGAGGGGCAAGCATCGTGCATGTATGGCCAAGCGCCCTCCTTAACGCAAAAACTGACTTGAGCACGGCCGAGAGGGGCCAGGAACGTTTCACGGCTCCGTCAAGAGCTACAAATGCTAGTCCAAGATTTGACATTTCGAGCTCAGCCTCGCCGCATAGCGCTAAATATTGAAGCACCAGCCCCATCAAAGTTGTGAGGGTAAACGAGTGGGCGCGTGGAATGGTTGGTCGCGAAAGGCATGGATACACAGATGCAGGTGGAGCGGGCCAGGTGACAAACCCCAGTGAAAAGCATCTGTCGTTTCAAGCACATGGACCTTGTATGTTGTGCTGGGCATGGGCGTTGTCGATTGGGCGTGTGGTGGATCCACCTGAACACTCGAGCTGGATGCAAGAATGCCATTGTCTCGGGACTGCCGTGGGCTCAAACGAGATAGCAATGGGGAAGAGACGAAGGGAAGCACGCCAGATAGCGACCGCATTGGCGAGTCTTGTAGAGAGACGCAGCGCGATGCAGACGCAATGGACCGGCTGGAAGAGGCGACGCTCGAGTTGGAATTGAAACGTGACAGAGGAGCTGCACTCAAGGCAACCACACAAGGATGCTTGTGTCAAAGAGAAGTCGAGCCAAGCACGGGCCAGCGCGGTTTGGAGCAACCAAAAAAACCTACGTCGGTCCTCCGTAAAGCCTGAACTATCCCGCTGAATGCGCCGTGGCTTGGTGCTCAGCAGCGTTGGTTCACGGCCAGGTAAATCGCTGAGATTGGACATTGAATCGACGCTCTGCTCGTCTTCATGCAATCGCGCGCCTAACGGCAGGCTTCGGCGCGGTATTTTAGGCTGCAAAGCGGCCATGGTACAAGCCAATCAGATGTGCCACGAATAAGCAAAGAACATGTGTCTTCGAGGGCGTGAAGCAGGATTGTTGATGCAGCAGCGCGGTAACGTCAAACGCAAGGGCATGATTTCAACAAACCGAGACGCTATTGCCCAAGGAAGAGCTGGTTGAGTCCACTTTGTGTAGGTCCATGAGCGAGGCTGAGCAGGAGAGGGTGCCCACAAGACCTCGCGTCGACAAAGTATCATCCAGCACCTGGTGCGTGCGTTGCATACGCTCCCGATGAGCGTTGGATGTCGCGTTTTGCAAATCGCGTAGGGCCGCAATATCTTGTAAAATTTCACTCTGTCGCACCGACGCCCAAGGGAAACACAGAGTACGTGCGATCCATGAGAAGAGTGCGTGGTAAAATAGGCAGAGCAAGCACCGATTGATGGTGGAGTCAAGCGACAGGCAAGCAAATACCAAGCTTTGAGCATTGGGTGAGCGCGTCTTGACGGACGCAAGATGCAGTACATTTGAAGTGGTGGTGCGCGTCTTGTTGCGCTCGCTACGCAGACTGCGACGCATGGGTTGCAAGCGAGGACCAGGGCTTTGGAGGATCGGAGTAGATCGGGGTCGCGGCGTGATATCAGGCCCTTCGGCCGTCGCTGTAACGTAAGCTCCATGAGTTGGAGTGCCCTGACAGGACAACTGCTCCTGTCTCGCAGCCGCCTCTTGCCGCACTGCATCGGCTTCACGTTGGGCTTGATCTGCTTCGCGACGAGCCTCGGTTGCTGCAGTCGTAGCTGCATGCAGCTGATCTTGCAAGCGGTTTGAGTGCTGGTCGGCTCTCAGCAGCTCCTGGCGTAGTTGTGCTAGTTGCTCCTCCGCAGCGCGGCGTGCGTCCGTTTGGCGTGCCAAAGAGTCTTTGGCCGTGTCCAATGCAGAGGAGCGCGCTTCCACCTCTGCGACGAGGTCGTCCAGTTCGCGCCGCAAACTGTTGAGCGCGCGAACATCGGCGCTGCCATGTGCCGAGGTTTCCAAGCGTAAAGCCCGCAACTGCTGTTCCCGGTGTTCTAGCTTGAGTTCGTGCTCGCGCTCAGCGGCCTCAAAGCGCTGTCGCCAGCGCTCCACCTGTGAGATGCACCAGGTCCACAAGATCATCAGAGCGGGCGGAACGCCCAAAAGGTCTCCCGCATCGCACAACAGCAACGCAGGTGGTCACAATTCAAAGTTTGGCCCACTACGTGTACCTCTGTGCTCAGCTGCGCGTGTTGCGCGTCCACAGCAGCATACTTCGCTTCAGCTGCCCGAAGCTGTTCCTCCAAGTCCGACAGCCGCTCGTCTAGGGGTGTGCGCCCAAATTTAGTGCAACTCTCTTAAATTGAGAGGTCCATGCAAGTCGGCAATTTAGCATACCGGGCAGATCCATGCTTTGAACGCTTTGAATGCCTACATCTGCCGTGTCTGGTCGCTGGCGTGGCTATCATGAAGGCACCATGGAGAACAACGATGGATGATCAGAGTGGCATTTAGAGCCGGCACTGCCTGTCAGGCTCCGGAACGTCTGGAGGCCACGCTAACACTGCCAATCAGTTCCAAGGCCAAAAACGGGAACAACAAGCGCTGCCAAGCACCAACCGGAAGATTGACCGCCCTTGCTGTTTCAATGGTTGAGTTGGACTGCGTCGCAGGGTTTGATGCCTGCGTCTAAAGGGGCAGCGGCACTTGTATCAGACCTGCTTCCCGACCTGCCAGCCTGATCCGACATGTGGTGAAATCAAGGAACACCTCAACCACGCACCAGCTGCTCGAGGCGCTCTTGCAGCTGCTGAGAGCTGTACTGGAGCCGGCGGTTCTCCTCTTCAAGCTCGTAAATGCGAAATTCAGACTGTAAATCAGGGTGCTGGACAGGCGTTGGAAGCTGATCCAGGCTATTGGTGCGAAGCTACAGCGCAAGGATTGATTGGCATGTGAGAAAAGTGTGAAAATGATGATGAAGTAGCCTGTTTGAGATATGCCAAGGGGCACCAGCCAGTCTGAAGCGATGAACACAAACCTCGTAGTCGCGAGCTTCTTGCTCCAGGAGCAGGATTTGTTGACGCAGCTCCTCAATGGTGGCTTCAAGCTGGGCATTGATATCAAGAAGCTGCCTTTGCTGGTCTCCTGAGGTGAGCAGTTCAAGCCGAGTGCGCTCCAACTGATTGGCAAGCTCTTGTTGTGTTTGCCGCGAAAAGCTAAGATCCTGTCCATGCCGCGCATCGGCACAACCGTCAAGACACATGTGCGGTGATGCGTGCCCTCAAGAGCAAAGGATTCCAAGGATGCGTGCTGGCAGGCACACGCGCGGTTGAAGTGAGACGTACGTCCGTCAGTCGATGAATGCGCGCTTGAAGCTGGGAACGCTCGAGCTCCCCTTCGCCGTCCGAACGCTCCTCTGCTGGCTGTCAAAGCAAATGTGACGTTGATCAGTTACTGAATCTCCGAGACCGACAGCGAGGGAAGGGGGGTGAGAGTACTAACACGGCGAGACAGGAGTCGCAGCTGCTCGAGTTGATCTGCTTGCGCAGCGTGCGCAGCCTTGAGCTTGTCATGAGCTGTTGTTGTTTCCTGCAGCGAGCCTCGTAAGGTTTTGATTGTGGCCTTGAGATCGTACATGTCTTGACTAGCAAGTTCAAGAATGTCGTCGCGTTCAGCATCGCGTCTAAGCATGGTAGCGCGCAATTCCTGCATATTGGCACGTAGTTGTTGCTGCTCAATGTCTGCTTCGTTTTGCAGCGCCTGCATGGAGCGCTTGAGCTCATTAAGACGCTCGATGAGGGCGGCACAGCCGGCAAAAAAGAGCGAATCCTTAAAATTGGTGGGATTGCCGTCGAGATCCACGAAGAGATCAAAGCTGGTCACAAACTCAACAAAGCTCAGACCTCCATCACCACTGCAAGCACCGGGTGGATGATGACAGAATGGCAGTCAAGGTCACATTCCCGACAAAGCACGGCGGCGCAAGTGTGGCAGCAGCAAAAGGGAGAGGGCTAGGATCAGCAAGCGGGGGCGAGGCGTACTCGTAGTCGAGGCGGCGCATCATGGACTGGAGAAAAGCAGGGTCTGCATAATCTGTGGCATTGCGACTGGAAAGATCATCATCACCTGGGAACACGGTGAGGATAAGCACGCGGAGACCATCCAGAGTTATCAGCCGCGTGTTGTTATCCTCCACGCTGGTGTAGAGTCGCTGGAGGGCATTGAGCTTGTCCTGACTCTGCCCCAGCTCGTCGACCACATCTTCGACGGAATACAACGAGGCTGTATCAGCACTGGGCTGGTTCTGCTGGTGCAAGTAGCTGCGATAGCATAGCAGTGGCAGAAGGCAGGAGGACCATTAAGCCTAGCCAGCTGCGGCATCATATGTGCGCGATGCAACCGATGCAACCGATGCAGGCAAAGGGGGAAAAAAAAAGGCAAGGGGGCACGCCTTGGACATACGTGGCTCGAAGCCTCTGATTACGGCGAAGGCTGTGGCGCAGGGAAGCTGAGCCAATGGATTTGGCATCATCCGATTCGTTATTTTGGTCCACTGTCAGGTGTGCGGTTAGAGCTGTGGGATCGTTGAGGTTGTGAGTCACAGTATGCAAGCCTGGTTCGGGGCTTGAAGGACCGCTACTACTGCTGCGGAGGCCGCCGTCATTGCTGCTGCTACTGCTGCTGCTGTTGTTGCCATGCCCGCTGCTCTCGGTGTATTTGCCATTGCCAGCCTCGCGCGACTCGTGCTTGGTGGGGGACACGGCTAGCGGTGAGGACCGGCGTGGGCGCACGGGCGAAGGTGCATCCCCGTTGTGCAGCAGCGCTCGGCCATTCGTCACCGGGGCGTGTGCGTGAGCAGCCGCAGCCGCAGCTAGGGATCGAACAAGCAAGGATTCGGGGTGTAGTTTGGAGCACCAATTGAGCAAGTGATGGCTCGGTGAGATACGCACATCTGACTCGGTAGGTTCACCATGGCAGGCAAGCCGGTGCTGTGGTGCACGCTGCAAATGACCCACCGCTCCTTGCTTCGCCTTCGGCTGCCGGCTGGGCTGTTCGTCGAACCTCATTGATGAGGTCGGTCATGTTGGAGGAAGACGTGCTTCGGTTCGTGGCAGCCATGGCCACGGCCATGCTTATGCCAACAAGGTCGATGAATCGAGCAAAATAGATGCGCGCACGGACTGCACGGCATGGGCTGCACGACACAGAGTGCTCCCGACAACGGTGATGAGTTGCGCGGTACTAGGATCAGGCTCGTGCTACAATTGAAGATGCCGCAGAGAGTGTGCCACGCACGCTTCAGAGACAAGGCTTTGCGCCTCAGCGGCGGCGGCGCGTGCTTTTTTATGGTCTCGCAAGTTTGAGCACTTTCAAGGGCACGACCGATGGGTGGCCGTTCAGCATTTGCAGCAAACGACCACGAACCAAATGTTTTTGGGACTGACGTGACCGGCACATCGGCTGGTGGCGCTGGAACAAACAAGTGACCGGTGATGGTACCCGCCTGGACTCGACCGGGTCACCGAGCAACCACCTGAATCGTGCTATGCTGTGGCGGGCAAACGAGAGACTCGAGCCCGTGTGTGTGTGTGTGTGTGTGTGTGTGTGTGTGTGTGTGTGTGTGTGTGGGTCGACAGTCACTCATGTCCTGTCCCTTGCCCGTGCAGCTTCTGCAGTGCCAGAGCCGCAGCCGTCGTCAGCCGGCCTTCCACTCTTAGGAGTGTTGCGCGCGCGCTCTTGAACGACTGTCCGCCGCGTCGTCATGATCGGGATGAATTCAACTTGACCCCCAGCATCGCCTCCTTCACCCCTTTTTGCATGCATGTAGGCATGGCTTACCAGCAGTAATTACAGCTGGTAGTAAGGGTGATTGAAAGTGTGTCGATTATCATTCTTCCGTACACGATCGTTTTGATCGATTTTTTTTTCCTCTCATATTTTTTTTTTTTTTATCTTGGCCAAGTCGTCGTTGTCGTGGCTGTGTACTTGGTCGCAAAGTCCATCAAGGTGTGTCCCATTACAAGGCATGGCGCGCCAACGGTCCAGAGCGTTTTGCACCTTGCAAGACCCCCTATGTATGGCCAAGAAATGGCCGACACGGAGGCCACATGAGACGGCCATTCAACCAGGCTCATTCATTGCCGCGAGCGGACTGAGCGTGAACCTCACGCACATACGTGTGGCCCTTAGAATGGCTTCCTTGGCCGTGGAGCGCCTTCAGGAGGAGCGCAAGCGCTTTCGCAAAGACCGCCCTTATGTATGAACAACATCTGCATCTGCCCCTCCTCTGGCGGGTTGCAAACACATGGTTTCACATGAGCAAACTCATGCACTTGCATTCCCGTTTCCATTTAAATGCGCAGGGCTTTTGGGCCAAGCCATTGAATAATGAAGATGGCACCAAGAACTTTCTCAAGTGGGAATGCGGTATGCCCGCGTCCTCACCCCATCTGACCTGCCGTGCCTTGCAAGCAAAGCCATGGTCTCACCTCCTCGCTCGCTCACTAGGCATTCCCGGCAAGCAGGATGTGCGTAGGCTATCCCACCACTAACAACAACAGCACTTGAGCTGACGCAGAACACATGACTTTTGTCTTTACTGTCTCGCTGTTGCTTTATCCTGCTGACTTTCTGGGTGGCTTGCTCTTTCTTCACCTGGTAGACGGACTGGGCGGAAGGCACATATAAACTTATCATGACTTTTCCCGAAGACTACCCCATGCTGCCCCCCAAGTGTACGTTTTCGCTGAACAGACCTAGCGCGTGCCTCCAAGGTGCACCTGCTCTCCTTCTTGCTTTTTTTTTTACTCAAGCTCTTTGCTGGTGGCATGGCCCAACTTGATCGTCTTGCGCCGTCGCAGGCTGCTTCAGCCCACCCCTGTTTCACCCCAATGTCTATCCATCTGGCTCCATTTGCCTGTCCATTCTGGACCATGAGAAGGACTGGACCCCTGCGATCACAGTTGTTCAGGTAAGGAGTTGCCCCATGACATGCACACCCCTGGGCTTGTTTAACGAAGACCGGGCCTCTGCCTCTCTTTCCCCGTGCCCTTTGAGCTATGTCTATGGAGACCGTTGCCGCCACGGTCACGGCAGTGGGCGATGGCAAAGCACCCTGTTTGCTCACTTGATGTGCCTATGCCCCTCTTGACTTCCCCGCTTTGCCGTCTGTGTTTGAATGACCTGGCACTGCAACCCAAGATTCTCAAAGGCATTCAGGACCTGCTCGACAACCCCAACAACAACGATCCCGCACAGCTTGAAGCTCACACTTGCTACAGGTACAGCTGCACCCGCGTTCTCAAACATAAACAGTGTCATGCTGGATTTATCTCGACCCCAGCTGAGACCCCTTGGCCGGTCGCACTCAAGCTTCTCCTGGTACTTGTTTAGGCAAGACAAGGAAGAATACCGACGCCGCGTGCGTGAGCAGGCCCTGAAGTTTGCCACTGCATAGTCATTTGCATGGCAGTGCACCGCAACGCTACCGAGCGGATTCCCTGGCTTTTCGCGCCTCAAACACGCCTCACACACATTGGTGCCACGGCCATGGACGCCCGGCAGCCCTGCGCAGCACGTCTGCCTCGCACTCAAGGACTTGACACCAGAGGCCCTCTACCACTCTTGTACCCTATCAATGTCAGCTGTCAGTTGTGTCCGACCGTGCTTCCCATACGTTTTTTCAAAAAATTTAAACAGATAATGAGGGCCATGGTTCAGTTTGCTCAGGCATGCCACTCAAAGGCAAAAACAGAAGGAAAACAAGAGCATGATCAACATGCCGACAACCTCAAAAGTGACAGGATGGTCTGCACGGGCCTGCCGCGCAGCGAGGAAATTCATCATATGAAAAGCAAAGCCAGAACATGTCTACCAGATCACGCATCATCCAACAAATACCCGACACGAGAAGCTGGATGATCCCACATGTCCGATCGACACGTTTTGCTTCCTTAAAAATCACAAACTTTATTCTTCAAGTTGCAGATTCACTCGGCAGGTCGTCCGGTGACGCGTAATCCCACATGGAGTGCTCCTCCGACGCCATGTCGGTAATATAGTATTCCTACAGCACCGCAACGCCACGCTGAGGTCAGGGTGCCACGAGCCAATGTCACACAGACACACACAAACGCACATGTCGAGCTGCAACACGCGCAAAGCGCAAGCCCGGGGCCTGCCGAACCTGATCTCGAAAGCAGTAGTAGAAAAAGCTCCAAACCTGTCGTGCCCCAACGACCTGAGCCGCAAGCTCCTCGATATAATCCTTCAGCAACAGATCCCGGACGGCACGGTCCGTGATGGTTTCAAACAGAGCAGTTGTCAGGCGCATGTCCGTTAAACAGTCACCGTATACGTGCTGGGCCGTTGGCAGGCCACCAACTTGCTGTGCCGCGCACAACTCCGGCTGATCAACAAACAGGGCCTCATGTCCAGCGTAGCGCTCGCGCAGCAGCTCGTCCAGGAAAGAACGCGTGCGCTGGTAACCCACCATCTCATTGAGCAACATGTCCACATACAAGCGCAATGCAAACATGCGCCCGCGTCCATCGCGCAGACGATCAAACTTGTGATCCATTGTGTAAATTGACTCCATATTCTCCCGCAACTCGTCGTCGTGCGAAAGGGTGGACAAAGAGAGACTGTGTGGCGTCAACGTCTCCACGCGATGCCACACGTATGGTGGAATATACACCGCATCACCAGGGCCCACCTCCAATACCCAGGCCCTTCGGTCATTCAACGCCATGCCACCAGAATTGCTACCCGAAGAACAGGGGTCAAGCTGCGACTTGTGCCAGAGAGGGTGCACGCGGGGAAACATGCGCATGTCCGGCGCTGCTGAGGTGGGGTAAAAGTAAAAGCGCTTGCGGCCGCTCATCTGCACAAAAAGGTTGTAATCTTGATCAAAATGGAAATGGGTCGTGGCCCCGGCCGTCGAGAACCACACGAATTGGCGTCGGTACATCCAGTCATCGGACGTCAGGTAGGCACAAAAGTCGGGTCGCATGTGTCGCAACAGACCCTCTGACACGGAGCTAAAGTAGGACAACTTGGCCGCAGGCGAACCACCTGCAGCTGACGCCTGCGCGGCTGCCACATTGGCCTCAATATCTGCACGTGTCAGGTCCTTCACCTCAAAGGGAGCTTCCCAATGAACGTCGGTCTCTTCGCTTTGAGCCAGGGGTGCAGCCATGTCTGCATCTGAGTAACGCCCATGCCGGCTCACTTTGACATCCTCAAACACATCCAGCCCAAAGTCGTCTAGCAGCGTGCTCAGATTCGTCCAGCGTTGCCGCCCTGCCCAGCCCTGAATGACTTTGCTATGCACCAGCACTGGTTTGGCTGCTGCCACCAATGTCTCCATGAATGGTTCTTCGCTCCCCCGTGCATCCTGCAAACCCGGCACGAGAAGGGCGGCACCAAAGTGATGAGGATGCCCATGGCATTACGCCGTGCAAACCCGTAAGAGTGCATCTCACAGATTCCATCACGTCCATTGGCACGAAAGCCATACCAGATAGTTGGTCATGGGGTCGGCCGCGATGGGTGCACAGTGAGCATCTGGTGCCGACATCACGTCCACGTGCAAGGCAGCCGCGGCTGTCGGTGGACGAGAGGCTGGTGCATATGGTTGCTCATTCACAAAGTAGCCTCGTCCATGAAGCTCGAGTAGCTGCTGAGCAGAGACGGTCCGCAAGTATCCTCCTACACTCAAGTGCAGACCACAACATGTGGCGGCGATTGCAGCCCGTCAGAGACACATATGCGGCGCACAGGCCCATGATTATGAACGTGTCTTTCATGGCCCAAACCAACCTTTGGCGAGGATGTGTGCTTGCAAGGAGTTGGAGGCAATGTCACCCATGGAGATGAGCGCCTTGAGGGTCGGAGCGCGTCGAAAATAGCTGCCATCGGGAAAGGCGCGGTCAGCCTCTGCAAAGCCTACGCGCTGAGAAACGAAATCTGCACCCGGCAGACTCAATACCAGCTGTAGGGTATTCGGCCAATCTTGTATTACGTTTGCAAAGATATCAGGCGAAGGGGGCGCCTCCTTGGGGTCCCAGCCTCCGACCAGAACGACCCATCGGGCACAGGGCGTCAAGCGTGATGCTGTGAAGATGTCGTCCAAAAGCTTAAGCAGCGAAGCCACTGTTGCCTCGCTCGCTGGAGAAGCTGCAACCTCATCCTCGACAGCTGCCACATATATAGCTTCCCATTGCAAAGAAGATGCGATCGTACGGACGGGGCTGCCATGTTGGAGCCAGGCCAGTCCGGCGAGGTGATGAGCAGTACGTTGCTGCTCGAGCTGCTCGACCACACGCACGAGCAATTTCGGGGCCACGCGACCCACTGTAGCGAGGCCCATGATACAGGGATCGGGAGCCGAGTCAGCACCACAGATTCCAACCCCGATCATCATGGACAACACCACGACTGCCAGCCAAGAGCAGCCGCGCTCTCTCGCTGGCTCTGCTGCTCTCAGCATCTTGGTGTTTGATCTACAAAATGTTTGGACATCAACTTTGTTTTTCTTTTTTTTTTTTTGTGTGTGTGTGTGTGTGTGTGTGTGTGTGTGTGTGTGTGTGTGTGTGTGTGTGTGTGTGTGTGTGTGTGTGTGTGTGTGTGTGTGTGTGTGTGTGTGTGTGTGTGTGTGTGTGTGTGTGTGTGTGTGTGGTCTTGCTGCGAATATGCCAACGTTATCATTGTTTGTCAGCTGACTCAGCGGTGAAGATGAGAAATACCAAGCTGGCACGCAGTTTTCAAAGGTGACGATTGTCATTTTAGGGTTGAAACCGAAAAGTGGCAAGAGTAATGAGTGAAAAAAAAAAAAAAAAGCAAGACGTGGGGTGCTGGTGATGGTTTCCTCCCAAAACACCAGAGCCCACCCAGTGCATGTGCACACAGAGCACAAAGAGCAAGTCACAATGCAATTGCCAACATCATGGCAGTTATAGCGACGTGAAGCGAGAAGCTCTCGCGCCTACTTGTCCTGCTCGGCAGCGGTTGCCTCGTCCTCAAGCTCAACAATCAGCTCGCCATCATCCAGCGTCTCACCCGGCTGGGTAGAAAACGCGCACGGCGCAAATGTTCGTCAAGGCACAGAGATCAGAACGGTGAGCCAGGCAAGGAACAGGAATCAGGCAGGCGACAGAGCGGGGACAACCCGAGATGAGGCTGGACTGACCTTGACATAAACCTTCTTGATCTTGCCGGCGCGGGGTGCCAGGAGCTGGTTCTGCATCTTCATGGCCTCCACAATGGCAATTTCCTGGCCTTCAAAGACAGTGTCGCCTTCCTTCACGTTGAGAGAGATGAGCGTTCCCGGCATGGGTGTGGCCACAAAGTTGTCCATCTTCTGAGTCTTCTTCTCGGGCAGGATTTCAAAGCAGCGCTGCTCCTCTTGAGTACGCACGACCACCTCAAAGTCCGTGCCCACATAGGACAGATGAACCTTGTGGGGGTCCTGGCTGACAAGCTGCACAGTAATGGGCTCGTCGTTGGCGCTAGCGCGCAGCACGGGCGCATCATATTCGACATTGGCCAGCTCGATCGTCTCACCACCCTCAAAAACGGCCGTGTAACGGAAGTCCTCGTCCGACTGCTCAATGGTGAAGACTTCACCGCCCAAAGTCACGCAGACCTTGCCGGCGTAGAAGGGCATGGCGGGGGAAACGTCATCCTTGATGTACTCCTGGTCACCGAGGCAACGCGACATGTGCAGGTAAGCGGCCACGGCCACCAGGCTGTGGCGTTGCTTCTGACTTAGCTGGTAGCCAGGGAAGCCGTCGGGGTAAGTCTCTTGCAAAAAGCTGGTGGAGATATCGCCTGAGACAAAGCGCGGCTGCTCAATCACGTCGCGCAGCAGAGGAATGTTGTGCTTCACGCCTGCAGGCCCACAAACGCGTTGGAGCATGTCCAAGCCCCACACAAAACAATGAATCCTCAAAGACGGTTCAAAGGTGCTTTGACATGAGGGGGGGGGGGGGGGGCACCACACATACCACGAATGACATAGTGGTCCAGGGCATCGCCCATGCGTTGGAGAGCCTCATTGCGGTCCTAGAAAGAGTCCCAGAAGATGAGTGAGGGGCGAATGAGAACTAAGGGGAGAGGATGAATGATTGCCAGTGCGGTACGCAGGTCTAGTTGTCGTGGGTTGGCCCGAGAAGGAAAGGACGACGACGACAGCAACACACCTTGCCATAGGTGATGAGCTTGGAAATCATGGGGTCGTAGAACATGCTAATCTCGCTGCCCTCGAAAATGCCAGTGTCCACGCGCACGCCCGGGAGCTAAAAAAGAGAAAAGAGCACGAACGACTCGTTGGCACATGAGCACCGGCAATCAAGACGCAAATCGAACTGCCGCGATCAATCCACCAAACCACCACAGGACACGGCTGGGCGACCAGTGCGTGGCAGCGGACGTCGTACGTTGGTTGGCTCAATGTAGCGGTGCAGATGACCGGTTGAAGGCAGGTACTTGACGGGATCCTCGGCATAGACACGCGATTCAAAGGCCCAGCCCTTGATGCCAATGTCCGATTGTTTGAGCGTAAGGGGCAGTCCTACAAGGCACAATGGTGTGCACATCCAGGGCAATCAAGGGAGAGAAAATCCAAAATGAAATCAAAATCAAATACATGCACCAGCTATAGTGACGGGGAGTGAGGGTGCAGCAGGGAAAGGATCCAAAGGTTCGTACCAGCAGCGACGCGAATCATTTGCTCGACGAGATCGACGCCGGTGATAAGCTCGGTAACAGGATGCTCGACCTAGATGTCCCGAAACACGCGAGTCAACTCCTGCTTGTGGGCCAACAAATGGGCACCCGTCGATTAAGGGTGAGGGGCGTGTACCTGCAGGCGAGTGTTCATCTCGCAAAAGTAAAAGTTGCGCTGAGAATCGACCAAAAATTCAACGGTACCTAAGCGCGCAGCAGAAGACCGGAGCAGTGTGAGTCTCAATCATGTCGGCCCAGGAACAATGATCACAGGCCACAATGACCAACCGGCAGACTTGTAGTCGACGGCGCGGGCAAGAGCACAAGCCTGCTCGCCCATGGCGCGACGGGTTTCCTCGTTCAAAAAAGTGGAAGGAGCCTCTTCAATGACCTTTTGGTTGCGGCGCTGGATCGAGCATTCACGCTCGTTGAGGTAGATGGCGTTGCCGTGGCTGTCGGCCAAAACCTGAATCTCAATGTGGCGGGGCTTATCAATGTACTTTTCAATCAAAAGGCGGTCATCACCGAAACTGGCCTTGGCCTCTGCAGAAGAAAAACGATGGAAAAGCGCGGAGGAGAAGGGGCGCATCAGTTGATTTGAGCGCAATGTCGGACATGGGGAAGGAAGGCTGACCAACTGACCCTGGGACGAGAGGCGATAACCAGCTCGAACTTCGGCATCGTTCCAAGCAACACGCATGCCCTTGCCACCGCCACCAGCTGAAGCCTTGATCATGACGGGGTAGCCAATCTCCTGCGCGAGCTGGATGGCATGATCCGGGCCCTGGACGACGCCAGAGAAGCCAGGAATAATGTTGACACCGGCGTCCTCGGCGATTTTCTTGCTCGCAATCTTGTCACCCATGACCTCGATGGCGTGGGTACCCGGACCGACGAAAGCAATGCCATTGTCCTCCAGTAGCTGGGCAAAAGCCTTGTTCTCCGAGAGGAAACCATAACCAGGATGCACTGCCTGGGCGCCCGTGAGCTTGATGGCCTTGAGGATGCGGTCCATGCGCAAGTAGCTATCGCTGGACTGGGCTGTGCCGATCAGGACCTTTTCATCGGCCATGCGCGTGTGCAGCTGTCGTGGCCACCGGCCCCAGGCAACGGTTTCAACAGGGATAATGAGAAAGGAAGCGCAGACAATCGGAAGGGTAAGGACTCAAGAGCATGAAGTGTGAGTGCAGGCGTATCCAAACCAACCGCATCTGCGTCCGCATCACTGTGGACGGCGACAGTCTCGATGCCAAGCTTCTTGCAGGTCTTGATGACACGGCAGGCGATTTCACCACGGTTGGCAATCAGAAGCTTGTCAAAGAGCTGGGATAACAGCAACAACGCCGATAGCAAGGCAGGCGCACGACCAGCCAAACCGAGGGTGATGAGATGCATGCATGGATGGCGGGGCGGGGGTACTACTGCCTCATTCAAACACACCTTTTCTGGAGCATCTGTACTGAGAAAGCGGAGAGCCCCATACGACGCCTATGTAAGCCAACATCCGATGAGGTGGGGCGGCGCAACGGGCGTCTGAAGAGAAAGGAACCACAAAAGAGCCGCGACGAGTCGGCCTCGGGGTCGAGCGAAGGGTAGGGGGAGAAAGGTAGGTGGTAGGACGAGCAAGACCGAAAACACCGAGGCAGCAAAAGTCTGGCTTCATACCGCAGGTAGGACGCGAACGGCTGGGGCAGCCCGGCGCAGATGGTGGCCGAGCATCATGGCTGCAGTCTGCAGGGCAAGGCGGCAGCAAGCGCGCAGCAACAAAGTGAGCGCGCACGGCGTGCACAGCCAACGTCCGAGGAGTGACTTTGCAGCCCCCAGCGAACCCATATGATAGCACCCTCTGCTAGTTCCAAGAGCTACTCCCCCTTTTCATCCCATCCGTAAGCAGCCATCCAATGCAACATGTCTCCCCCCCTCCCTCTCTGCCTGCCTGCCCTGTCGCCGAGGTCGCTTAGAACGCGTTTGCAGGGCCGGTTTGCATCATGTGGCCGCTCACTGACTGTGCACGGAGAGAAATGAAATGAAGAGGCGAATGCAGCAGCACACCACCCTTGTCATCCAAGTCCGTCAAATGATACACTTTATACGTGGTTTAAAGTGTGAGTATGTCGCACTTTAAAGATAATAAGTGGGGTGGTTACCGGCATGATAAATTGGTCGCAACAGTGGTTGTGACCAGTCGACCTTTTGGCTGCTTCTGTCCTATGGTTGGCGGGTCATACACGGCTGCCTCTGGCTTGATCTGGAGTAACCATTTGACTAATCTGACGTTGTTTGGCTTGGACTGAAGCTTCATCTGGCGTAACCAGTCGTTCTCTAGCGTTTGTGGCATGACAAGCACATACTTTTGTTTCCAACGTTGCTCGACAACATCATAGCCCAGGTGTTTCGCTCTCAACCTCTCCACTTGCCTCTCTGTGCTTCTCAACCCTCTCAATGCTGTTGGTTTTCTGACAACTTCTCTCAAATTCTCCCTCAATCCAGTCAACCCTCTAGACCCGTAAGGGTATGCCTTGAGAAAATTCAATGTCAATACCATGCCGCTCACCACCTCTGAATCTTGTCAGGATCCTCTCTGAAACTCTTGCCATCCCTCAAACAGTTTCAAAAACTCTCATCAAACCACACGTCGCCCGCCACTTCTCTTCTGATCGAGGTGGGTGAGCTCGTTGGGCGGTTGAGGACTTCAACTTCGTCTGCTGCTGCTGCTGTTGTTTCCTCCGTGCACACCACCCCTTCATGCACGCATGGATAACCAGCCAGAGATCATCTACGCCTCCGCTTCCACCTGTCCACTTGTCTTGCTTGTCCTTGTTCTCCCAGACAAGGGTGTGGTTGCACTGCCATTTTTGGCGGCAAAATCAGGCGAGTTGGATGTCTGTCTCAGCGCAGCTCAGGCCCTTCCTCCCTTTCACCCCTCCACCCATCCCCCTCAGCTACATATACGGCGCCTTCATATACCCCCAGCCATCCCTGCCTCACCCCAGCATCATCATTTCCGGGCCCCTATCGTTTCCAATGACTGGTTTTCTGTCGTTGTTATTTTATTTTTTATTTTTCTTGTTTTTGGGGCGAGAGGAGGGTTGGTTCCTCGTTTGTCATGAACTGTGGTTCTGGGCAAGCCTGCCGCCTATCGTGACTTGTTACCCCACACCTATCAAAGACCGCCCACTGTGCTCCGGTTTCTATTTCCATGGCAGCCTGCACTGAGCTGTTCTTCTTTGCCGTTCCTGACTTGCGCACCTTGGCTCACCCCAGATCCCTTGGCGCTCCGCCCGATGCCTTTTCCGTTTTCGTGTAGATCGTTGAGCGGGACAGATCCCGCCAACGCCGCTCTCTGCGTGGAAAGCTTGCCAGCGGCCGCGAGGGCCATTTTCAGAGCTCTCAGATCTGAGACTCTGGCATGTGGCTTGGAGACTGCTTTCTGCCACCCTCGCCATGCCCATGACCAAAGAAGGTCAACCTCGGTTTTACCCACACCTCTGTGCTGATTGCCCGAAAAGCTTCGTCAGCTTGCGGCCTCTCACTTGCGCCTGCCGTCTTGCTCGTCTGCCCTTGTACCCCGCACAGAGGCCCTTCGGGCCCTGAAGCTGCTCACTGACATTCGCAATAGCGTGCCCAGTGAAGAGACGGCGCCCTACGATGCCCTCATTGATGTCATGCAATCCCGTCTCTTCGTCGCTCTCCTCGGTAGGCCTTGCTTATTGTTGCTCCTCCTGTTCTACCTGCTCCGCCTCCTCCAAGAGAGACGCGCCGGGTGTTTGCGGCGCTGAACAGAGTTGGCCAATCTTTGCCTGTGAGCTGGCGAATCATAATATGGCGTCCAAATCTTTGCCTGTCGCCCCAAACAGAGCTGCAAGACTTTTACTTTGATCGAGTGGTACACCGTTCCAGTGCGAGCGGTGCCTCGCCCCTGCGTCCCCGCATTTCCTCCATTGGTGGCGGGAGCAGCGTGGCTCCGCAAGACCTGGAGTGGGAGCATGACTACGATGTCGGGGCCGGCACCTCTTCAGCTCGCGGCGACGCACCCAGCGACAACGACAGCGCCCGGTCCCCTGGCGGCTCTGTCTCCTCGGTACGCCTCGTGGTACTTTGGGCGTACCTTGTTTGTGCTTGGTGCAGCGTTCTCCGCGACCTGCCCTCCGTCCCCATTCATTACTTCTGATGTTGCCTTGACACGTAAATAATACGAACCCCACAACACCATACATAGCAATCCCAGAGCTCGCGGTTGGAAAAGCTGCGGATGGAGGAGGTGGTGCTACGCGCAGGCTCGGAAGGCCTGGGCATGTCCATCACGGGTGGCACTGATCGGCCCCTGGTGGCTGGTGATAATTCCATCTTCATCACAGATATTGTACCTCACGGTGCTGCCAACCGCACGGGCCGACTGACCCCCGGCGATTCAATTGTCTCCATCAACGGCGTGAGCCTCGAGAACAAGACGCATGGCGAAGTCGTGGCGCTCCTGCGTCAAGGCGGTGCTCTTAATGTTCGTTGATGCCGGCTCCCATCCGTTTTCGTCCCCCCACTCAAGCCCCTTTCACTTTGCGCCCATGGCAATGACAGCCTCTCCGCTTGGCCTCATTTGCTCTTATTCTTGCCGCCAACATTATGCACTGCCAACTTGAACTTAGATGGTGGTGCTTCACGGGGCGCTCAACGCGACCAAGCCACGTGCGCGCCAGGAGTCGAGTGCCTCGATCATGATGACGCACACCGAAACCATCAGTCTACACCGCCAGCATGGCCGCGGACTGGGCTTTACCATTGCCGGGGGCCAAGGCAGCCCCCATATCGCCGGCGATGATGGCATTTTTATCAGCAAGATCATTCCCGATTCCGCCGCCAAGGAAGACGGTCGCCTCGCCGTCGGCGATCGGGTCCTCTCTGTGCAAGGGGAATCCTGCGAGAAAATTACCCATGAGGTGAGTTGTTCCACCTGCACACATGACTCGAAAATGGAGGTGGCTTTGAGAAACACACGCACCGTGCCTCGCATGTGCAGGCAAGAACCGTTCAGTAACTCACAGCTCGCTTGGCTTGCTCACCCGATTTTGACGTGTTACTATTTTTTTCCTCTCTCTCTCTCCCTCGTTGTGCCGCCTCTCGTTCTCTTGCGCAATTTGTTAGCGCGCGGTTGAGATGCTGCGCAACCCTGCCAGTCCGATTGTGCTCGTTGTGGAGCACAACGCCTTTCACAAGGCCACAGCTGAGCTGAGTCGCTCGCTCGGCCTCAAAAAGCCGGCTGCCGTGCCCATCACCCGCACTGGCACGCTCAAGTCGTTTGGGCAAGTCAACGCAAGCCTGCAGCTTGAGGCCTCGCCCTTTGACGCGGCCGATAAGATGTCAGATCTGCGCACCGTCACTCTCTATAAGGGCAAGGCTGGCTTTGGCTTTAGCCTGCTTGGCCCTGCCAAGGCCGGGCCTGCAGAGGAGGGTGAGCCCGTGGGCATTTTTATCTCGCGCATTTTGCCCGAGGGTGCTGCGATTGAGAGTGGACAAGTATTTGAGGGTGATCAGATTCTTTCCATGAACGGCCAGGACCTCGCCTTGGCCAGCTATCGCCAAGCCGCCAACCTGGTCAAACACATTACTGATGGTGTCATGACCCTCAACCTAACCGCCAACCCCGGCATGTACGACTTGTACAAGCAGCGTATGGCCGCCGTCCAAGCCAACACGATTGAAACGAGCAAGGAGCTCAATCAAATTCCCCAAGACAGCCTTTGCTTGCGTGCCCTGTTTGATTATGACCCTGCGCAAGACTCGAGCGTCGCCTCCAAGTTTCGCAAGAAACACCTTTTCCGGTGCGTCCGTGCTGACCGTGCCAGGGCTCCTTGGCCCATATGCCGCCAACCGGTGCTTGCTATCCTGCATTGAGCCCCGTCGCTGACACCACTTTTGCCATGCTTGTCCAGCGTTACCCTACACGACGTGTTTGTGCTCATTAAGGACATTCATGCTGATTGGTGGGAAGTGCAAGATGTCCGCACCAACGTCAAGGGCCTCATCCCTTCCCGTGCTCGGTACGACAGTCACGCAATGTTCGGCGTCGGGCTAACGGCAAGGGAGAAGAAAGAAGAAAAAGCACGCAGCATACTTTTGACGTTGCTCTGTCCTGCCTGTGGCGGCGTCCTCTGATTACCCCTTGCCTTTGAAACTCGATATTTTCTAGGGCTGAGCGCATGCTCGGCGACATTGCCCATGATGGCTCGAACAGCAACGAGGCAGAGCATGAAGCTGTCTTGGTTTGTGTTTGCACAAGGGCTCGGTGAAGCAAACCCGAGAGGGGCAGTGCTTCCGACGGGGGAAATACCAAAGTTTGCCTCTTTTGTTTGCTCACCCACGCTGTGCGCCATGGTCGCCATGTGCTCTTGTCGATGCTACTGTTGTAGGGCTCTCAAGGCAAACGCAAGCGATCCTTTTCATTCCGCTTTGCTCGGTATGTTGATCTCCGTTCCGACTTGACCCGCCAGCCCCACTTCCTACGCACCTTCCTTGCGCCCTGACGATACTAGCGTGCTGCTACTGTTGTTCTGCTCCTTGAATGCCTTCAACGCAGGCGCTTGAGCTTTGGTCGCCGCAAGTCGTCATCCAACGTGTCCAATGGCTTCTCCGGCCGTCGCCGGGGTGTGTACGAGGCAGTACAGCTGCATCAGGCCACAACGCAGGAGCCGCGGCCCCTCCTCGTGTTGGGACCCTCCAAGGACCACATCACTGATAAACTCATTGACGAGTATCCCACGGTTTTTGGTTCATGTGTGCCACACACGACGCGCGACCCGCGCCCAGGAGAGCGCGAGGGCGAGGATTATCACTTTGTGAGTATGGCTGCTATGACCAAGGCCATTGAAGACGGCGAGTTTATCGAAGCGGGCCAGTATCGCGCGCATTTGTACGGCACCTCTATTGCCTCAGTGCAGCAAGTCGTGCAGCAGCAGTTGAGCTGCATCCTCGACGTGTCCGTGTCGGCCATCCCGAAGTTGCATGCCCACAAGCTGTTCCCCATCGTCATTTACCTCAAGCCCGACTCTGTGTCGTCGCTGCGCCAACAGAACCCTCACTTTTCCGAGGAAACGGCACGCGAGGTCTTTGCACTTTCACAGCAGGTGGAACGGGATTACCGTCACCTGTTTACAAAGGTGATTTCCAATCTGGACCTGGATAGCACTTACCGCCGCGTTCTGGATACGCTCAGCATGCAATCTCGTGAACCATTTTGGGCCCCTCTTGGGAAGGCCCAGCTGCCGTGAGAGCCCGACTCAACTGTCAGGATGGCAGATAAAGCCTGTTGGCTCATGAATTGGGAGCCTCATTTGTGTGTTTCAGTGTGGTCATGCCGTGGTGTTGCCCCTCTGCCCCAAGGCTCTTGGGCGCTTGGGTTGTGACTGTGTGCACCTCGCAGTGTTGTGCTTGTACTATTTCAGACCTCTGCCGGTGACTTTTACACTGTTGAGTTTGCTTAAAGAGTTGGATGGTTGATTGATTGGTTGGTTGGCTGATTGGCCGGCTCGAACGTTGTTGTCGTTTTTTCTTCTTCTTTTTTTTTTTTTTTGTTTTTCTTGTTTGGAGCGACTCTCCTTTGCACGGGAACCGTATTATTTTGACTTGACGGTAATGGCTTGAACAGCTCGCGCAGGTGCAATTGATGGCGGCTTCTTCAAATATCACCTCGAGGCAGTGTATTGCCGACCCCTTTGCCATCACCCGACCGTCGTCAAAAACGAGCCTTGAGCCAGGTTCTCGTGGCAGCCTCCTTGAAAGTCAGCTCAATCTTGTTTTTTTCGCGGAGGGTCAGCTGCTGTGAGATCCGGGCGCATGACAATAGCAGTGGCAAAGAGTAGGCCGGCTGCCCAAAGAAACTGGGTGGCTGCTGCAGGCTCGGGGTGGAGGTGGCGATAATCCTCAAGGAGGGGGGCCAGGAGCACATAAATGGGCCCACCCACCGCCGCGGCAAGGGGCACGCAGGCTTGCATGATACCTTTTTGCATGGAGAGAATGCGACCAGTCATGCGGGCAGGCACGTGGCCATGGATGAGGGCCAAGCGGCACGAGCGGGTGGTGGGAATCAGCATCATGTAGACGGCGGCAATGGCCAACAGGAGCCAGGCGGAGGGCACGATGGCGCAGGCAGCAAGCAGTCCAGCCTGGCCCAAGCTGAGCCAAACGTAGAGGCGGCCCGGCCACTGGCCCACCTTGAGCAATTTGGGAAAGCCAAGGCCAAGGATGGCCCCCGCGCCGGAGAAGGTCATGACGTAGCCCAGGGTGGCGCGGTCGGCCAGAGCCAGAACAAGAGGCATCATCATGGTTTGGGTGACACCAACGGCCAAAAAGCCTGCCAGCATCAGCGCACCAGCCGCTTGGAGGATTCGGTGGTTAGCCACCAGCTGCACGGCCTCCCGGGCATCGGCCACGAGGCTCCAAAAGGTAGCAACCACGCCATCTGTGGCGGCTGGCGTGTCTGCTACTGACGCTTGCGCCTCTTTTTGAATGGGTGGCATGGCAGATGGCGCAGTGATGCCTTCGCGCTGCTTGCAGAAAAGAAGGACGCCAGTGGCCAAGGCCCAGGAGATGCCCCCAAGAGAGAAGACAAACTTGAGCCCAAAGTGTTCGAGAAGCTGCGCGCCCAAGAGCGGGGCAATGAGCATGGAGAGCGCAGGGGCAGACTGGGTGAACATGGCCATGTCGTCTGGAGAGACGTGGGTCCGCATGAGGGCCTGAAAGGCGGGAAATTGCATCACGTTGGCTATGGAAGAGAGCGCCGAGGCACAGAAGATGATGGGCCAACTGGTGGTATCGGCATCGTCGTGGAGTACGGTCGCGGCCAAGATGGCGGTAGACAGCACGGCAATGATATCGGCCACGAAGATGGCCTGGTACTTATTGCTGCGATCAACAAAGGCTCCAGCCAGTGGGGAAATGAGGAGGGCCGGTACCTCCACGGCAATTATGAAGCCCGTCATGTTGAGCATGCTCTCGTCGTGACTGTGAATTTTGAGGGCAAACTTTTGAATGTCGTCCGCCATCATGGAGAACATTTGCGAGGCCCAGAGCAAGATGATGAGGGACCTCTGACTCATGGTCGCTGACGGTTTGCCTGAAGCGGCTGAAACGCCCGTGTCTCCCATGGTGGACTTGGTCGTATGCAGGACCGCGCTCAAGGGGTGGAAGTAGCCGAGCTCATACGTGGGAACGGGTGCCCTGACACTGAAGACGAAAGAGGTGTCGGAGCGAGCTCGGCTTGATCGCACCTGTTCTGCAAAGGACGGGCTGCAACTTGCCGCCGGCCAAGCGCTTGACCAATTGAATAAACCGTCTTTATCTCTGCGGGCGCACAGGCAAAAAGGCAAACCAAGAGGGGAGTGAACGCGCCTGCTGCTACCTCCCACAAGCTGGCTCGGTGTTGATGTTGAAATAACACCGTCGGGCATGCCAACAAGCAAGCACAGGCCAACGCCGACGAACGAACGCAGTCAACATACCACTCAAACTGCGGACACTAAAAATCCCAACAAATCTCGAATGCAGTGACCATGGTGCTTACAAACTGTCAGCCAAAATGCCAAACCAAAAGGGCGGACACGAACTGAGTGTGGTTGCAAATGCCAATCCAAAGCGTTCCTTCTCTCTCTCTCTCTCTCTCTCTCTCTCTCTCTCTCTCTCTCTCTCTCTTGGTGTGTGGATCCTCCTCCTTTTTGGTACCGCCTGCCCCTGCTGGGTAGATGCTTGTCTTTTGCCTTGCCTTGAATGAGTGAGACGCACTGTGACTCGTGAAATCGAGCTTGGGCTTGGATTGGCTTCTTGCTCTGTGATGATGAGACGGTGGCGCTCATTTTTTTTTTCTTTTTTTTTTTTTTGGCCCTCACATACCTCGCCCAGAACCATCCTAGGACTCGAGCTTGCCAACAATACAACACTTGGGTTGGTTCAATACGCTATGCTATGTGCTTCCCGAACCGGGCTCCGCTTGCCCCGCGGAGAAGGCTGAGTGAGCCTGGGGAGGCTTGCTCTGCCCAATCTCTCGACCTGTGTTTTTCCATGCCCACGCGAGCGCATGGCAGTTCCAATCACCAGCTCATGCGACTACCTGGCTGTACTGCCAAGTAGGGTTGGTCCTTTGGCGTCAGCACCCATCAGTCCCCCACTTGACCTTTCGAAGCACACACACACACACAGATCACCAAGATGCCCAGTGCCCTTGTTCTCGGCGGTCAGTCGCATTGATCTCTTCTTGCTCTCTCTCTCCCTCTCTCTCTCCTTCCACGCCCAAGCCCTCCCGTCCTGGACCCAAACCCAGGCAATCTTGCCTTGCCCATTTTTGTTTTCCCTCACCGAAGCTTGCTTTCGATCTGGCGGGCGGAGAACAGGTGCCGGTTTTATCGGACGCAACCTCGTGGTTTATCTGGTGGAGAATAACCTAGCTGATGTCATCCGCGTTGTCGACAAAGCCATCCTGCAGACGGCGTGAGCTGGCTTGCTCCCCTGTCCTGCTCATATGACCGTGTGCTGTTGCGCCATGACGACTCACGCCTGGCTTGAACGATGCGCTCGTCTAGGTATCTGACGGCTCGCCAACAAGCCGCCTTTGAAAAGGTCGACTTTCAGCAAGGCAATTTGACCCGCGATGCCACCATTCAAAAGGCCTTTGCGCGTGACGGTGGTGCTTTTGATTTTGTTTTCAATTGCGCGGGCCTCACGACGTACGGCCAGGCCCCCGAGGTCTATCAAGAATCAGTCTTCGATCTCTCGGTCAAATGTGCTCGTGCCGCTGCCCAGAGCGGCTGCCGTCGCTTCATCGAGCTCTCTACCGCGCAGGTCTACGCCGCTGACAAGGTGGGGTGCGCTTTGGCCAGTAAACGCGATCTTTTTAGTTGTGCCACTTGCTGATGCCCGTGTGCTGCCTGCTCCCGCACTTCAATCTTGCTCCCACACAGAAAGCATCGGCGGAAGACGGTAAGGTCAAACCGTGGACCGCTTTGGCCGAAAAGAAGCTGGCAGTTGAGAACGAGCTCAAGGCCATTGATGGGTGAGTTTTCATGGTCAAGCTCGCGCTTATAACCCTTCTGCTGACCCAGCGCCGCCGCACGGCACAAAGTCTTTTTGAGCATTATGACTCACACCAAGCCTGTCCTGACAATCCGAACTCTGCCTGCAGCCTGGACTACTGTATTGTACGGCCGGCCAACGTCTACGGCGTCAGTGATCGCCAAGGACTCATGCCTCGCCTCATCACGGCTGCCGTCTACAAAAAGCTGGGCGAGACGATGAAGTTTCTCTGGTCGGATAAGCTTTGCATTAACACCGTCCACGTCAGCGACGTGGCCGCGGCCCTCTGGACCATCGCGGAGCGTGGTGTCAAGGGCGAGGTTTACAATCTGGCAGACAAAGCCAACTCTACACAGGGTAGCGTGGCCGATCTCTTGGCCCAGCTCTTTGGCATCGAGGTCGGCTTTGTCGGCAGCACCCTGTCCAACATGGCCCGCCTCAACATGTCTGCCGTCGTTGAAACCTCCAACGAGAAGCACATGGAGCCTTGGTCACGCATGTGTGTCGACGCCGACATCGGCAACACGCCTTTGACCCCGTATTTGGACAAAGAGCTTCTCTACAACAACAGCCTCGCGGTCGACGGCAGCAAGATTGAGGCCCTTGGTTTTGAATACAAGCATCCTGCCCCCACCCTGGACCTCCTCCGTGACGCCGTTGAAGCCGAGATTGAACTCAAAAACTTCCCCACGGGCTACCTCGTCTAAACAAGCCGCCACAACACGATGCCACCTCTTGTCTGCCTTGTCCATTGAATTAAATTGAACCCGTCCAGCTGCCTCTTGTCACATGTCCCCATAACTCAAACTTCCTCTCGTAGACCGACACCGGATGTAAAGCTTTCATGAGCTCCTCATCATAAATTTTCTCTCTCTATCCCCTTGTGTGAAGAAAAAGAAAAAAAAAGAAAGGAAGACTTGGGTATGTCAAAGTGTGAATAACAACACACTATCGGGACCAGAACGTGGCACCTTTTTGTTTTGTTCTCTCTCCTTTTTTCCACCAGAGGAGATGGCGATGACGGCGTTGAGTGCGGGACTGGCAGCCGCCGGCCGCGCCGCCGCCCGTCGTGGTCTTGGTCTTGGTAATCAGGGTAGGTCTTTGGTGAATTGATTTCATATAGTATTTTGTTTTTCTTCTGTCAGCAAGAGTGTTTTGATTTTTCAACGCGTTTTCGGATCAACTGCTACACCCGTTTGCCCGCCATTCGGGGGTGGCGCCTTTTGCACATCAGTTTGCTCCGCTCGGGTCGCATCCCCGTTTGTTTTGAAGCCTTGGCTCCCAACTTCATCTTTATTCCACTTCTTTACGCTTCGTGGGGGGAAAGGCTCTGTCGGCTGCGGTGGCATGCACACTTTACAACACTGGTTGCTTTTGCTTTTTTTTTTTTTTTTTCTGCCTCATCCTTCGTTTATCTTTTTCGGCACGACCATGCGGCGCACTCATCCTGTGAACCATGATGTCCCTTAGCGACTGGCCCCGCGACCTTGGCCACGCGATTTGCAGCTTTGCATCGTAGCTGGCATCACCAAGTACCCGAGGTGACTCGAAGCAACCTGCAGCCCGTCTCTCGCCTGGCTGCTGTTATCAACATGCAAACAGCACCTCGCTCGTATGATTTCTTCGACGCGGTCGAGCCTGAAGGCGCACCGACGGAATTGCCCCCCTACCTCCTGAGCAAGACTGATCAGCCCTTGCGCCTGGCTTGCGACTTGGACCGTCGCCGCTATGAACAAGCGTGGAACCAGGAGGCAGAGCACCTCATGCCCTCGTTTCAGCTGCAACACCAGGTGGTTCTTCAAGCCGAAGAAGCCAGCTTGGACGCTGAGCATCGCCTTGCTGCACCTGCTCCGTCAACCATGGTCGAGCCCGAAACGGCTGATCTGGATGATCGAACCATCCAAGCCAGCTCGGTGCTGAAGAAGCGGAGGCGAAAGATGAAGCGTCACAAATACAAGAAGTGGCGCAAGAAAATGCGCAGCGTCTTGAAGAAATACAAGTAGTTGCATGCCGCCGCTGCGCGGCCCACACTATCACAGCCATTGTTGTCGCAAGCCCAAGACTGGCATGCCTCGACCCATTCGACGTCCTTGTCTGTGCAGTCAACTCCATTGCCGTGCCTTTTCCGCATGTGCCCTGTCCTCCGTGTGGGTATCTGCACCAGTTGGACTTGGATCCTGCAACAGCCTTGGCCCTGAGTTCACCCACTCCAGCACGGAGACTAGCCTTATGCGTGAACGAATCTGCTCCGACAAGGCTGGTCGCTGGGGTTGAATTGTCTTAAATTCTGTGCCAGCCCATTCTGTCGTCTCTTAGTTGAGTCAAGAAAGCTGAAAACCATGGTCAGTGGCTGGTTGTAGAAATGAAATGCCCACGTCTTGTCAAAATTGAAATCGATTATTGAGCAACGCGGCTGCTTCGCTTGTTGGCACAAAGGAAGGAACACGCGTTACCCTCCCCGAATGAAGATGACGTGAGAGCAAGCACAGGCTTGACCACTTGAATACAATGTCATTCTCATCCAGACAAGATTGTAACTCAGTACAAGACGTCGACTCGACAAGGATCAGACAGTTAAAGGGGATTGAAACAAAAGGTTGGGCAATATACCACGTCGAATCGCTTTTTTACATCACCGCACACACGCCACTCTTGTCCGCTGCGCCCGACGCTGCGGGCGGGGGGTTGCTTTCCGCAACAGCCCCACTTGCAGATCCGTTGCCAGAACTGGCAGCGGCCACCCCAGCAGTGGCCAAGGCCCCCGCTTTGAGGCGTGGCGCTTCTTCATCCTGGAAGACAGCTTCCGTCACCTCGTTCCAGAATCGCTGAAAGCTTAAATCATCCATTTGCGACCATTTCTACATGCAAGAGTACATGATTTCCAAAAGAGTGAAAAAAAGGACGTCTTGAGTTAAAGCCATGCTGGGAACTGGCAGGCGCGCCTCACCGTGCAGAGTCGTTTGAGATCAGACACTTGAGTTTGCAAGCGCGCGAGAAGAATGTTCTGCTTGGCTGTCTTGGCTTCCTCGGCTGAGAGGCGCTCGCGCATCTCATCACACTGCATATCAGAGCCCACACACAAAGAGCAACATGCCATGCCACAAGTAAGTGATGCAATGCTCAGCTGTTTGTCAGCGAGGTGAGGCATGCCTGTGCAGTGGCAAGAACAATATTCCGCACCTCGATTTGGAGCTGCTTTGAGCGAGATTCAGCCGATAAGAGGGCTTCGTTCACCACTTTGACCTTGTCATCGGTGCGGCCCAGCTCGTCCAGTTGTGCATGCAGCTTCTGCCGCTCGTCATCGGCCGCCTTGAGTTGGTCCCGCAGGCGTTGTTCAGCCTCCTGCTTCTCTTGCGCCTGTTGCTCCAGGGCCTTGACGTTGTTGAGAAGGTCGCTCTTGGAGGGTGCGCGCCCAGATTTGGAGCCCAGAGATTTGACCTGCTTGGGCCGATGCTTGCTCAAAATCTGCATCTTGACAAAGCCATTCTCCATCCATTCGATGGTTTCGGCTGTCACCTCGGGAATGCGGACAACGTGGCTAAAGTTGAAGGAGGGATTGGCGCTGTTGGTGACCCAGCTCGTTTCGAATTGATCGTACGTGCCAAAGAGAACGCGCACCGCTAATGCGTTTGAGAATTTGGCCTGCATGACCGAGGCCGACCGGACATCCACCTATACATGATTGGCCGAGCCAAGGATGAGCAAGGGAACCCAGGCGAAGAGTCAAAAAACGATTCGTTTACCGCGCAGCCACAGCCCCACCCCATACCCACCTTGATGTAATAGGCCTGGCCAATCAGATCCGAGGGGTCCTCTAGATCAAAGTCATCCGCCAAGGGGGCACCGTCCGCCATGCACGGGGTGAAGGAGACCTCCACCTTGCCCTGGGGTTGTGCCTGATAATCGATAATGTCGTACTCGCCGTCAAAGTCAAGAGCGTGCGCCAGATGCTTGACAAAGACAGCCGACACGCCCACCACAAAGGTGGCATGCTCTAGATAAAAGGGATCCGTGGCATCCACGGCTGGACCAAACTGAGGGGCCTCCTGATCGGGGTCATAGGACCATTCTTGATAGATTTCTTGCATTCGGAAGCGACGCTCCACAAACTCGCCGCGGTCCAGAAGCCACTCGTTACCCGTCTCTCGCTCCTTGCCCTTGATCATCACTTGAGTGGATGTGGTGTGTGTGCGGCTCAGACCGGTAGTGTCCAGCAGCTGTGAGCTGACCAGCGCGACTTCAAAGTTGATGGCCTTTTGCATCTCATCGCTGATGGCGTTCACCTCAGCAATCATGGGCAACATCTCGAGCAAGGCCTCGATGCGTTGCTGCTCATCCGGATCCTTGCCGTCCATGTCAAAGCCTGAGGCCCGAGCAAGCTCCGATTGAGCAAAATCGTAATCAACCGTTTCCGGTGTTCCCTCGCTCGGTTCAGGATGCTGCGGGTTGATAAAGAGGAAGAGGTTGTTGGTGCCAAAAAGCACGCGATCGTTGTGGCGTAGGTCAGTGGGCTTGTCAATCTTGACACCATTCACTTTGGTCTCGGCCACGGCCGATCCCGGTTCGATGGTGATCTTTCCATCAGCCTGCAAAACTTTGGCATGGTGCTTGCGGATGCTCAGGCCGCTGAGAACCACATCGGGCTTTTCAGCCTCGTTTTGATTCTCAGACCACTTGCCCACCATCACAGTGTCCCCCTCCACAAAATGTCGAATAACTCGGTCCAGAGCTGGATCCTCGTTGAGGTTAATAAAATGGCACACGGTTGCTTGCTTGCGCTTGGCTGCCTCCAGCTCTGCGTGCTGGGCATCAGCCTCTTCGCGAGAGCCTGTCTCTCGATCCTCTTGAAACGCCATCTCCTTGGAAAGAGCCTCCATCTCCAGCCTAAGTCATTGCCACCCAAGCCACCCCGTTTCCAAGGAAAGAGTAAGCCAATGCATGAGTTATCTGACCGGAAGTATTGGGCACAAGCAGTGACACACAGAACAAGCTGAAAGCACATACCGAATTTCCTCCTCCATCTGACGACGCAGAGCCTCAACGTCCACTGAGGCAGCTCCATCACCACCCGGGGCCGCTGGAATGTTGCCACCCAGCTGAGCCTTCAGCGCCTCGACCTGCTCCTTGAGCTCACGAATGAGTTTTTCGGTCGGGCTTTCGTTGACAACGGCCTTATTCTTGATCTGCTTGGCGCGATCGGCATAACGCAGCGTACTGGTTCAAAGATTTCGAGATGTTCACAAAGATGCATGAGGCAAATGAACAGACGCGGGATAAGACAACAGATTCAACCGAGCAAAGAACGATTCCTTTCGCTTTTCCTTGTTCTCTTTCTAAATAAGCCTGAGTGACGCTGACACGAGCTGTTTTACCTCAGCGTTTCGTCGTAGTTGATGCTGGCCGGGGAGAGGGCAGCGATCATGATGGTTTTGGAGTTGCCACCGAGAGCATTTTTTAGCAACTTGGTCAAGACTGAGTCACGATAAGGGATGTGAGCGCCCTTGCGATTCTCTGCCAAGGCGGCAATGACGTTGCCCAGAGTACTGAGGGACTTGTTGATATTGCTGCCCTCCTTGAGACGCTCGCCGGTGGCACCAGTCGAGTCGGCACGTTCGGAACCTGCCAAATCCACAAGGTTGATCTCGGAGCGCTTGGACATTTCCTGGCCGCTATCAGGATCCTTGGTGATCTTTTCAAAGGTGATGCAGATGATGGTGTGGGCGCGCGAGCTGGTGCTATTCATGTTGGTTGAGGCCACCGTTCGGTTGCGGGTGCCAATCTCAATCTGATGCTCGATGTCGCGGTAGGACTCGACCTGAGGCGTTGACAATCAGAGCACGAAAGGTTCGACCAACAGGTGAGGATGTCATGTGTCAAGAAAGCCTCTTCTCTGTTTGCACCCGAAAGCAGAAACAAAGAAGAGGCGGGAGCGAGGGGTGGAGAATGCACGTTGGGGTAAGCAAGACATTGGCTGACCTTTGCGTTCTTGAGATCACGCACGACGAAGCGGCCTTGAGAGGGGTCCTCACGCACGGATAGGCCACCTTGCTTGTTCTTGGTAGTGAGCAAGTCGCGAACCTGCTCATTGTAAATCTCGAGCATGGAGAAAGACACCTAAGAGACGTTGGTCATGGACATGTGAGCGAGCCTTGGGATGGTTGGTAAAGCGCGCCATTCTCTGACAGTTTGGACGCGGTGCGTGTTGAGCAACCCAAACCTTGAAGCGCATCATTGGGTTGTCGGCCTGTTCTTGCATGCGACGAAACAAGTCCTCACACGAAATGGGCACAATGCCTCGATTGACGCCTAATGTTGTTTTGCGCACAGCGTGAGAGCACAAGGTGTCACAAGACGGGCCCTTCACCTTCCTTAAAAGAGGGCCGTGGTAGGACGTACCATAGCCCACCATGGAGTAGGATTTGCCAGAGCCGGTCTGGCCATAGGCGAAAAGGCTGCAGTTGTAACCTTCCCAGGCATTCTCCAAAACGAGCTGACCCAAATCCTCGAACACACGCTGTTGATCGGCATATTTTGGTGAAGTTGGAACCAAGAGGCCATCCTCTCGTTCCTCAAACCCATCGTGAGACCAGTAGCTACTCCGTCGAAACGGTCACGGTGTGAGATTGTGACAGGTTGTGTGCAATCTCGCGACAAAGAAAAGCTGGAGCGTAGGAATGGTGCTCATACCTGTAGTCGAAAGTAAACTTCTTCTCGCCTGCGTCACCACGGATGATGGTTTGTGCACCCTTCATTTCAATGCAGAGCTGAGCATTGCGGTCCTTTTCACGCCGGTTGAAGGGCCGCACCCGCACGGCAACTTTGACATTGTCACTCATGGCACTGGTGCTGTTTCTGAATGGGAGGGGGAGAGGAAGCAGATGAAGAGCGGGGGTCACAACCAACACATGAGAAGCTGCTCAAGAAAGCTCTGGTCGTCAGGTATCGGCCCCTCTTGAAGATATCACGACTACTTTGTACCTCAGTTAGAGAAATGAAGAAGTTGGCGAGCTTGCCTTCAGAATGGCAGGGTAGCCCCTGACCGAATCAATGCCGTCGGCAAGTTGGGAAGAGGGAGAGTAGGGAAGATGGGGGCGGAGGTGGAGGGGAAGGAAGACTTTGCGAGTCAAATGCGTTGCCAAGCACGTTCCTCACAACACACACACACACACACACACACACACACACACACACACACACATCATCATCATCATCATCTTCATTACGTAAATGTCAGAAAGTCTAAATGGCGAAGGCAGTGAGAATATCGCGTTATCATGAGCGTGGGGAGGCCAATTTTTTTCTGTTTTTTCAATCGTACGGTCTCTGGTCGGGTCGGGTTTGTGATCTGGTCGGCTCGTGGTGAGCTGATCAAGGGATCAAAGCATGCCCCCTCCTATGGATGTTGCCCCGGTTGATGTGCCCTTGGAGAAACCCACTCCGCTTTACCTGCGCTCTTCCAAGCAGCGTTATCTTCAGAAAGGTTTGCTGCTTGTCGTCGATTGTGTTTGCCGCTCATGCCCTGGGCTGGCGTTTCACCCTCACTCACAACATCGCTGCCTGGTATTGGTTTTGGGCTTGAAGACTACGACGGTCGCACCGGGTGCCAGGAATATCTGTTGCTTCAATTCAACGAGTTAGTGCTGCTTCGCCTCGGTTGCGGCGTGAGTTGCTGCTGGCAGTAGTATAGCGGTGCGGGAACTGACGACTGTGTACCTCCCCCGCGTAGCATCGCATTGATTGGCATCACCCCAGATCATCGCGTGCAAAGTGAGACCATTGTTAGCTTTAGCTACAAGTGCCCCGGGTTTCCTGATCGCGCCAGCAACAGCGTCTCGGGCAAGAACAAGCGCGGCGCACAACAAATCAAGCGCGGCGATCCCCTCGGTCTCATCCGCCTCGCCTCCGGGGAAGAGGTCACCGTTGCCTCCCCGTGTCCGGGCAAACTAGTCGACATCAATACCATCCTCGTTGAAAACCCTCAATTGCTCAAATCGCACGTATGCTTTGCTTGACCTTGCGCGCGCAAGTGCCTCCTCTGTGCTCGGACCAGCTGCCTCACGTAATAAAATCTCGTCCTGTGTCCCGTGCCGATGTTGGTATCGCAGCCTTTTGAACGGGGCTTTGTCGCTGTTCTTGTTCTAAATCCCAAGGAGCTGCGACGTGCCTCCACTGAGCTTGACGCCTTTCCCGCCGCCTACGAGCAAGTCCCGCCAGCATGTCTGTAAACGCCTTTGGTGCCCGCTTGGCCGTGTTTGTGGCCCTGGCCTTGGTCCCGGCTTTGGTTGCTGCCGATGTTGGCATCCTCTATGAAGTCTGGCACACGACGGCAGCGCAGGCCATGCAGCAGGTTGCAGCCATGCATGGTACCCAACTGACCACTGAACGGGTGATTCGTTCCAATGGAGCGCAAGACCTGAACGACGTGTACGGCCCATACAACATTTCCTCAGACATTTACAACGTTGAACCTGCGCTGGGCTTTTACTGCCTCTACCGCGCCCGCGCTGGAGAACCGGGCCTTGTCCCTGACTGCCCGAACATCACTCAAACGGCAACCGCCCATGCCAAGCTTCTCGTGGACATGGGCATCGACTATGTCATGGTCGATGTTACGAATTGGCCCACCAACACAACCAGTACCGACATTAGCGTGATCCGCCCCACCGAAGTCAGTGCTACCAACCCCCCGCCTTCTTTGCGAACAAATGTGTTGCTGTTACCACACCATGTCTGGCTCTGGTCTCAGTCACTCGCACCGGCACACTGATTGGCCTTGCTGGCACAGGTGCTCTTTGAGGAGTGGTACAAGCTGCGTCAGCAAAACATCTCCACTCCTGCCATTGCTGTCTGGCCCTGCTCCCCAGCCGGCAGTAATACGTGGCAAGTCTTGCTGGACAAGCTCTACAACAACGCCTCCTATGCATCCCTCGTGTATCAGCAGGTCAGTTCATCCCTGGTCATCACGGAGGCATCAACGCTGCCGGGGCCTGTGTTCGCCCATCTGCGCCCCGTGACAACGGCCGTTTGACCCCTCATTGGCATGGCCCGACATGATCTGTACGGCCCCTTGCACAGAACGGCAAGAAGGTAGTGGCTATTCCCAAGAACCCCAACTGCTATGATGAGGGCGTGGCGGCAGCCATCGCTGCCAATGGTGGGCGCAACGACGTCACCACCATCAATCTCTGGGCCTTGTTTGGACCCGCTGATTACGAGGCCGGCACGTGGGGTTTTTTCTCGCCTTGCGTCTCCAGCACAGATGGAACATCGTACACGACATCCATCGTCGGCGAGCCCGCGTGCAACCAACGCCCCACCCTCGATCCTGCAACGGGTGGCATCACTGAGATTTCGGCATCGGGCGCTTACATGGTCTCTCAATCAGCCTTGCCCTTTGCCAACCCAGGTCACCTACGTGGCCTGACCGTGGCCCGCCTCTTTGAGCGAGTGCTGGACCTTCGCCCACCCCACCTCTTTCTCAGCTCTTTCAATGAGCACATTGGCGGGCGACAGCAGCCCGTTTCGTCGTCCAAGATTGCCTTTAACATGGGCTTGCCCAACGACTCGCAACGCGATGTGGTGTGGGTGGACACTTATGCAAGTGAGTTCTCCCGCGACATGGAACCCACTGTGGAGGGTGGCGATACCGTGTATCGCGTGGCCAGTGCCTGCGTGGCCCTCTACAAGGCAGGCCTCAACTGCACTGCTGCCCCGACCGACTTGTGCTGCACGCGTGCGGACAAGGAGGTGTTCGCCAACGTCTGGTCTCTGAGCCACGCATCAGGCAACGTGTACGACACGGTGCTGACCACAAACGCAGCTGAGGTCAGCGCGCTCGAGACAGATGGCTGGGCCGAGAACTGCTCGCCCATCTCTGGCCCGTCCGTCTTTTGCGTGGACACAAGTCTGACGGACGGCCGCAACGGCCCTTTCATTCTGTACAACCAGCAACTGCCCAATACCATCCCCCTATACCGTTGCAATGAGCCACAACAAACGCACCACCACATCTCGACGGATCCAAACTGTGATGGCGACGGCGCGGTCGAATCTACTCTCGGCTTTATTGCCCAGCAGCGCGGTGGCGAAACGCTGCGTGGCCTTTATCGGTGTAAGACACCTCAAGGTGGCTATGCACACAGCTTGGACCTTCCCTGTGATACACCCGATGGTCCTGTACTTGGCTACGTGCGATAGCTCTGCCTGTGCTTAAACGGCGCAGATGGTTCAAGCTTCTGAAACCATGGATCCGTGACAGGCGGAGACGTTGCTTGTCCATCCGGAAAATTGATCTTTTCTCGTTCACCTTCAAGCTTGGGTTCGCCCGGCCAGCATGTGACATCCATGGGTTGGCTTTTTACGGCCCACATGCCTGTGTACACCAGCAATCTAAACCCAGTTTTCATTCAGAGTGAGCCTTTCCCAGCTATGCAATTCAAATCCATCCATGTTGATAAGTCGATCAATTTCGTAATAACGTCTTGAGCCGTGGACACGGCGTGTACAACCCGCGCTGCTGTAACGCCAGCATCAGTCAGCAGCGGCTGCCTTTTCTCGCTTGGCAGCTGGCCCAGTCTGAGACTCGGCTTGGTTTGCGTTGGTGCGGGCGCGCCGGCGCGCTTCTCGGGCTGCCCGCTGTTGCTCGCGCAATGCCGCAGCTTCGCGCCGAGCTGCCAGCAAGGCTTCCTCTTGACGAGCATTCTCCAGTGCCTTATCGGACAACGAACGTTGTCGGGCATCCAAGTAGGACCAGTCAGCGTCGGGCAAAAGCTGCCGGAGGCTGTCATCCGGGTCGCCACCGCCGGACCATCGTACCAGGTTCCAGAACACGCGAGGAGACATGAGGGCCATGTTGAAAGAGCGCAGGTTCTCCCTCGCATCCGGGTCAGCAAGTAGCTGCCGCACGAGCATACGCAACAGGGTGGGTGGTAAAGGCGTGAAATGCTCGCGATGCCGCAAGCGGGCACTGGTTTTGAAAGACACCTCCATTTGCGGCCGTGCTGCCCCGAGTGTCTGAGCGGTGGCTGCACGCATCTCAAACGTATTACCCACGGCGGCTTCTAGGCGCTGTTGTGCGAGACGTTCCTCTTGTCGACGTTGCAATTCGTTGGCCATGGCGCGGCGCAAGTCACGCAGGGCACCCTGTACGTCATGTGTGTCGTTGGTCTCGGCGGCCATTGCCAGCAAGCGAGCAAGGCGATCCTCGGGATTGGAGGCAGGATCACCGTCACCTTGCTCCAGCACAGCGCAGGCCGTGTCTAGTGTCAAGCCTGTGTGCAAGTTATTGGACGCGTGCGTTGCGGCCTGAGCAGCCCTCGTCGCACCGGCGGCTGGGCCGCGCGAGCTGCTGAGGCTGTGGCTGGGGTGCGCCGAGGGAGCATGGGGTGTGGCTCGACGGATAATGAGGGTATCGCAGTTGACGACATGCGTCGCCTTCAACGGCATGGCTGAGGTGGTCAGTGGACGAGGTGGAACACCAGCCAGCACGGTGAGTTGATGTGGGGCCGGATGCCCCACTACCTCTGCGATCCGCCGAAAGAGCTGTTCCACCGATGCCTCGGGATCTACCTCAGCCAACTGCAAGCGATGTGTGGATGAGTGTGTGTGTGTGTGTGTGTGTCTGTGGCAACCAGCAATAACATCTATGCAGGCCCCACAACATCAGCACCCACCTGCTTGGATGTCCCATCCATACGAATACGCAACCGCCATCGCGCCATAGTCGCCGTGAGCCACAGTTCTCAAAAACTCTCCCTTTCTCTTTCTCTCTTTCTCTCTCTCTCTCTCTCTCTCTTGCTCTTTATTTCTCTCTTTCTCAAACCGACCAAACCAATTCATTCTCTCTCTCTCTCTCTCTCTCTCTCTCTCTCTCTCTCACACACACACACAATTGTCAGCACAGCATTGGGTCGGAATGGGCTCGTCACGCTGCATGTCAGGCCCACTGATGGCGGTTAACCGGGGACTGGGACTCTGTGTCATCTTGGCCTTGGTCCTGCCCTGCACAACTGCACTCAAGTTTCGTCCCAATGGCTCTTTCCGTATCGTGCAGTTTACTGACCTGCACTACGGTAAGGCTGGTCGTGCGTGCCGCCCCTCATCGACTTGGGTGCTTGCCGACTCTCACATCGTGTTGCCGGTAACAACTGTATCGTAGGTGAAGATGAAGCTGGTCCCTGGGGTATCGTGGCTGACCACAACTCGACCCATGTAATGAACAACGTATGGCCTGTTTTCAGCGCCCCGCCGCCGCACGCAAACCAAACGTGGCACGCTCGTTCGTCTGCCTGTCCCATAACGCACCTTTTCACGACACGTTGTCCTGATCACGGCGCAGATCTTGAGTTTTGAGGACGTGGATTTGGTGCTCTTTACAGGAGACCAGATCACGGGCAACAATGTTGTGAATAATGCCACAGCCTACTGGGACGAGCTGCTTCAGCCCACCTACCTTCGCAACCTGAGGTACGCTGGCTCTCGACCAAGCTGAACCCTCCTTGTCGCTGCCCATAGCACACCGAAAACACTCACGCTGCGGCTTTGTATCGCAAAATCTGTTTGTATCCCTGTGCGAATGTTCCGTACTGGTAACAGTTTCGCCACGCTCTTTGGCAACCATGATGACAACCCCTTTGAGAGTGAGTAAATTGGCTTCATGCTTCGGCCGGGTGCTAGAGGCGCGGCTTTCTAGACGATGCAGCCGTGTCCACCTCACCGACACGTCGCACCGTGGTGGGACTGGCTTGCCGGCTGATAGACAGCACAAGCCAGTCGACGACATCTCGCAGCGAATTGCTGGCCTTTGAATCCACCCTCCCAGGCTCACTTAGCCAACACGGCCCTGCCAACGTGCCCGGTGTATCCAATTACGTGCTAGAGATCGAAGGCTCGCATGGTGCGCCAAGTGTTGTTCAGCGTGCTCACTTTTTTTCGGCGAGCCCCCGGTACGATCGATGCTCAACCCATGTCTGAATGGTATTGTAGGCACCGTGACACCGTTGTTCATGTTCGATACGGGAGGAGGCACTTTGCCCGAGGTCATCACCCAAGCGCATGTCGACTGGTTTCGCAACGAGTCGGCCCGGGTGGCCGCTCGAAATGGAAACAAGACTCTGCCTGGTACGCACACCTTTGCTCTGCATTCCCGAGACCACCCGCATGCTGGCTGCAAAGCTCTGTCAAAGAGTCAACTCTTGTTCTCTTCTTGAACAGGCATGGCCTTTTTGCACATTCCCATGCCCGAGTTTGCAAGCGTGCAGCCCTCGTCAGCGGCCGCCTTGCGGGCACGACGTGGCTCGGCGACGGCCCCCTGCTTTGGCATGGCCCAGGACGGCATTTCACCCTATACAGACAACAGCACCGGTCTCCTTGATGCCATGGCCAGTGCTGGCAGTGTCCATGCTGCTATTACTGGTAAACGCCACCGCCATCACGTTTTGCTTTCTTTCTTTCTTTCTTTCCTCTTTTTTTTTTTTTTTAAGTCGAGGAAACATCTTGATTATTTGTTGAGACTTTACGTTTCGCGCTGATCAACCATTTGCAGGACACAATCATGGAAACGACTGGCTCTGTCGCCACTCTAATGGCATGTGGCTGGGCTTTGGCCGTCACAGGTAAGACAATGCCACTGGGGTCAGGCCAATGCTTCACCATAGACAAAGTGCACCCATGCCTGGGCTCTTGAGCAGAACGCGGCTCATGCTTGAATGCTTCTTTCGGAACGCGCTGGGACATGATGGATTGGACAATGGGCGGTGTGCTTGTAGTGGCTATGGCGGTTATGGAACATGGGCGCGCGGTGCACGCGTGTACGAGCTGCAGGCGGGCAAGCCCGGTGCTACTTACACATATGTGCGCATGGAGGATGGAAGCATCGAGGATGCTGGCGTGCTCGAGCCCACCGCATCAGTATTACAATGAGCACGCTGAGCGCAGTATAACTTAAACAGCAGCTAAGCTCGTGTCGCTTTGCTATCATCCGCCGACTGGCAGTTTGCTGAAAGATTTTTCCCCGCACTTTCTCTCTGATCTCTTCTCTTTCACCACCTCTGTCTTGTGTAATCCAACATCTGTGTTTTTTTTTCTCGCTGCTCCTTCCTTTAATCTCATCCAAAGGTTGAGGGTGAACTGAATGTCTCACGACTGACGTGTCAGGAAGTTGATGAATAGATCTGAGCGCTATACGCCATTTAGAAGACGAGGGCTACAGGCCAGCAGACCACACCAAGATTGCGGGCTTTGGGGTTCTGGGGCTCAAGAAAAGGCGGGGTGGGCTGAACAATGCTGGAGAATGCTGAACCAGAGGAAAGGAAGTCAGAGGGTGGCATCGCGGATGCACGACCCTTTTGCCACACTGCCACTCTGTCGGTGCCATGACCGAGAAATGGGGGCTAATTATTATTGTACATAAAAATCAAAAGTGGATGCAATCGCGCACAAAGAACACCCGATACTTGTCGCGCGATTCTGGGTCTTGCTCTGTGAGAGGAATTTGAACACGGCCAACATCGAATTTCTAACCAAATTCAAACAGAGGGATGTCAAAAAAGGTGAGAGTCTGGCTTGCGGCTCGTAAAACGGAACAGAGGATTGGGCCAAGAGCCTACCCTTTCCGCTTGGATACGACAGTATTGGCGATAGGACACCACCATGGGCTTGGGCTGCTCGGGTTGTCGCCTGATCGCGCACGCAGCACATGGATGTGGAATCGGCCATGTACCAACGACATGTCGAAGTAAGACCCACGAAAGAGGCACGAAAGGTTTCAGAAAGGCTCAAGAGAGTCGGGCCATCGCGCGTACTGAGGCAGTTCATAGCAGTTGATAGTCACTTCTGAGGGACGGGCAAAGACTTCATCCCGGCCATGACTTGGCTCGCGCCCATCCTTGAGGTGTTCTGGCTCAACGTAGATGGTCAAATCACACAGCTTGGCCTTGTCCAACTCGTACAGCGCCTTGATTTCTCCAATGCACTCTGGGTAGCCAGCCTGCCGTCGATATGACCAGGACCCACAGCCAAGCACGTCAGGAGAGACACGAAAAGATGGAACTGGACAGACATTGAAGGCAGGCGTTGTGCGCAGTCAGCGCTTGACAAAATAACGGCGGTCTCCGGCACGCACCAGGTTGGCACAGCGCACAAATTCGCCGCACTTGTACTCGACCGTGTCAATGGTGCAGCTGCGAAAGTGCATCGCGCCGTGGCGTTCCGTGGTCGGCTCATGCAGGCATATCAGAGCCTCATCAGCGTCCAACATGATGACGGCTGGTGGCAGGCCTCCACCTCGTCGCCTAGCTTCCCGTGTGCATGCAGTCCAAGCTGCCGGCGCGAGACGGATTCCCTTTGGATGCGCCTTCGTCCTGCTGTGCTGCTACTCAACACCCCAAATGATCAAACTTCATTTCCAAGGACTCTTCTAAAGTTTACTGTCGAGGATTTTGTCAGATGAAAGTTGTCAGACATTCGGCCTAAAGGCATAATAATGTGAATCAAAACGTGGAAGAAAATCAGGTCAAAACGATAGTGTCCATGATAGCGAGGGAGCGCGGGCAGGGCGGTCACCTTGAACCTCATCACCTCACGTTGCGGCGTTCAACAGCACTTTTCCGAGCCAACCCACAACGCCATCATGGTATGTGAATGCACGCGACTCAACCAGCTCCGTCCGGGGACGGGCCGAGCTGCCGGGTCCTGGACAAACGGGCAGGGAGGTTCTACAGACCTGCGCCGCCATCTAGCCTCATGGGATCAGGCGTCAGCGAGGGAATGTCACGCTCCTGACGTGCCACATGACACGATTTCCATGCGTTGGGGGACGGGCAGGCCGGCGCGCCAACGCTGTGAGGGTTGTGTTTGGCGGGCGGTGACTCACTCTGCGCGATCATCTGCTGCATGTGTGTGTAGCCCAACCAGATGGACAAGGCGTACTACAAGCGCTTCCAGGTCAAGTACCGTCGCCGTCGCGAGGGCAAGACCGACTACTATGCCCGCACTCGCCTCGTGCGCCAGGAGAAGAACAAGTACAACACTCCCAAGTACCGCCTGATTGTGCGCCGCACCACCAGCGATGTTGTTGCCCAGATTGCTTACTCGCGCCTCGAGGGTGACTACATCATGGCTGCCGCCTACTCGCACGAGCTGCCCCAGTTCGGCTTCAAGGTCGGACTTACCAACTGGTCGGCTTGCTACGCCACCGGCCTGCTGGTCGCTCGCCGCCTGTTGACCAAGCTCAACCTGGCTGACACCTACAAGGGTGTTGAGGAGCCCAACGGCGAGGATTACTTCGTCGAGGAGGCCGAGGACAAGCCCCGTCCTTTCCGCTGCTACCTCGATGTCGGTCTTGCCCCCACCACCACCGGCTCTCGTGTTTTCGGTGTGATGAAGGGTGCCGTTGACGGTGGCCTCGCCATCCCCCACAACCACAAGCGCTTCCCCGGTTACGATGCCGAGGCCAAGGAGATGGATGCTGAGGTCGTCCGTGACTACATCTTTGGTGAGCACGTCGCCAACTACATGCGTGAGCTCCAGGATGAGGATGACGAGGCTTTCCGCAAGCAGTTCGCCAAGTACATCAAGCTCGGCGTTGGTGCTGATGACATTGAGGACATGATCACCGAGGCTCACGAGAAGATCCGTGAGAACCCCATCATCCCCAAGAAGAGCCAGGAGGGCAAGGAACACAAGTCGTACAAGAAGATTCCCCTCTCATACGCTCAGCGCAAGGATCGCATCAAGCAGAAGAAGGAGTCCTTCCGCAAGAAGCTGGCTGCTGAGGCCGATGCCTAAGCTGCTTGAGCTCTAGGGCTTGGTGTCGAGACTCGTGGTTTGTTGGCTCAGCCACGGGTCATCATCGTACCTCGTTTTTAAATCACTGGCAATCGATGATCCCAACCCTAGTTGTGTCATTTTTATTTGTAAGCATCGTAGCCTGTTATGATTCAAATGGAATGTGGAAAGGGCTGCGCGACCCTTTTGACAAGCATGGCACATGAACAAGCTTCCCTCAAGTTGCTCTTCCCTAGATCGCGAGTGGTCATGTCGGGCAAAGTCGCAATGACGCTACTTTGGCCGCCAGTTGACCATGAGGAAAACATTTGCTCAACATGCTCGGTGCTGCTGGTATCAACGAACGATCATAATATCTCGATTTTCATGTGAATTGTAAAAAGAAAAACACTCAAAACCTGAAGACGGATGGAATGGAAAGAAGAGGGGCGCAGCCCGCAGATGGAAGACGGAAAACAGCCTTCCCTACACGGTGGAAAGGTTACAGTACACGGATAGAGCGACCGCATGAGTCTTGATGGGGCCAACGGGCAATGCCTCAGCTATTGCTCATTTTGAGCTCCCGATCATAGCGCAGGCGAAGATTGGGTGGCATCTCGTCCAGTTTATCACTGGGAAGATGGCCCTGCAGGCGCAGCGCATAGCAGCCAGGCACACAGGCATCTACAAAACGCCCAAGGCTTGAGCGTGAGAGACGAGTCTGGCTTCAATGTTTTTAGCCAAAAAACCAAGTCCGTGTTCCGCTTCAGCATGTATGTGCGCCAGCATGATCATACTCAAGCCAACGACATCACACGACGAAACTCACCGTTACCCTGCCATTTGGCTACCCAGCTATCACTCGGATCGATCACCGAAACAATCCTGCGCCAACATCAAATCCAGCGGAAGAATCACTCAGAAAACCCGTCGCGACAAAGAGCAAGGATCACAATGCAGCTTCAAGCACAAGCTTACCCGTAAAAGCGTGCGGTTGTACACGAGTCGATGGCGTCGTTGTTGTCGTTCAAGTCGAGGTAGGCGCAGTTCTCACAGCCCGTCTCGAAAAACTGATCCGAGGTCTACATGACCACAGCGAATGAGGTCAAACCCGCGACAACGGATTGGTGGGCCCAGTACAATACCCTGCCTTGGAGCGCACCCTACGCGAGCGACCCTGACATACCTTGACCAGCCCACAGCTCAAGCAAGCGCGCAGATGCTTGTTGCTACTCGGACACACGTCCAGCTTTGGCTCCATGCTGCACGGTCACAAAGAACGGAAAAGGCAGACAAAGAAAAAAGGCTCGCTCGGAACACCGTTTTGCTGACATATTGTAACTCTGTTTACAACAGGTGTTGTTCGGCCAGTGCATTTCGGCAAAACTTTCCGGGGCAAAAAAGTCGGTGAAACAATAAGTAAAGCGCCCTGTGAACGTGTATTATTTTAGCCTGAAAAACAGGCTTGTAGATTTGAACCCTTGTACACCCCATTTTCCGTTCTGCAACGATACGATTTTGTGCGACCGCCAAAACTCAAGACCAGCAGAGCGTCGACAAATCCAAGCTCAACTCACAGGATTTCCTTGAAGTTCAAGCCGGATTAATCCTGCCCTGCCCTTTCAACAACAAAAGGCGGGAAAAAGACGGCAAAGGTTCAAGCAGGGAAAACGCTGGCACCATTTATTCGCGTTTTTCCCTGTCAACTGCTTTCCGCTATCCACCGTTACATTCCCTTTTGTTCCCCACCGACGTCTCTCTCTCTCTCTCTCGCCTCCTCTCCCCTCTGCCACCACCTACGTCCACCAGCACCCCCAGGCGCCTCCACTTGCGCCGGAATTGTCGACAGATTCGACAAAACGGCCGTTGCCTCAAGCTGATCAGGCCTCGGGCTGCCGTCACACACCGCGAGCTGCCAGCCATCGTCGCTCTGCCCGCGTGCTGGTGCGATTGGCCCAAGGTTGCCCTGCTGGCCTCATTTTCTACGGTCGCTCAAGACACCATCGCTTGTAGACTGCCGTTTTTCTTCCTCCTGAATTGTCGACGTTTTTTTTTTTTTTTTCCTGTCCTTTGTTACTCGCTCGCTCGCCCTCTGGCCTCTTTGTGCAATACGAGACCGTCTCTATTCTCGGGTTCGCAAGACGACCCTGCACTTTGATCGGTGTTTGGAGCCGTGAGCCGTCTTGGCTCTCGCACCAAGCTGCCGTGCCGCTGCCAATTACAACTCGCCCCTCCTTGCTGGACGTGCTCGTCGGTGGCTGGCCCACCCCACGGCACGACTGCCAACCCCTGCCTTCGTGCACTCTTCGGTACGTCCATCGTGACCCGGGTTGATGACAACCTGGCAGCCACCATGCCTGCATCTGCACACACATACCCATACACCTCCCGCTTTGTCCGGCTAAACGGAAGATCACATCACAATTGTCCGTTATTTCGGCTGATCTCCTTCCTCTACATCCCTCTGAATCTCGCTTCCAGTAGCCGTGCAGCTCGATCCACATCATGTCGGGCATGATGGATGCCGAAGCGGACCCAGGCGTCTATGAGCCTGCTGCCCAGCCTGCCCACGGCCATGGTGCCGGTGCCTTGCTCAACTTTGGCCACCCCGTCCCGGGCAGCATGGCTCCTCCCTCTTCCATTCCTTCAAGCCTCCCCCATTCAGCTGCCGTGCCCGTGCCCTCGCATCCAAGCATGCTTCAGCCCTATCCTATGCCACCACACATGATGCCCATGTCCATCCCAGCCTCCTGGGGCACAAGCGGCCCTCTTGCGCCTCCTGAGCCGCAGCTTCAGGCCCCACAACAGCCCCATCGGGATCGTCGCAAAAAACGCAAGAACGGCACCGTGCTAGACACCGAAGCTGGCCCCAGTACGTGTCCAGCGCCACGTAACCGTGCCTTTCACGTTGCCCACGTTCATTACTGATGCCCACCTGCCCCGTAAAATCAAACCTCAGCTTGGTGGAGTGAACAGGACAAAATGATCGTTGCTGCCGTCATTGCACAAGAACAGCGCTTGCCTATCCAACAACGCGTAAGACACGTTTCACTAAATTCTTCATTTCTCACCCCTCTTTGCTATCCTGTTGGAGCAAACGCCACCGCTCAATCATACTCTTTCCTCGGACCCCTCGACTACCCTGTAGTATGAGCGTGAACCGCCGTATGACTGGGACGCAATCGCCCCTGAGGGCATGACGACCCACCAAGCGCGCGTTCGATATCGCCAGCTGTCGGAGGACATCCCGCGTCGTCGAACCAATCTGGAAATTGCCCACATTGCCATGAAAAACTACTACCATGCCCTCATTCGCGGCAAGGTCCTGACCACTGACCAGTTTGCCCGCATTTCACATATGCGTCGGCAGCCCGGTAAACTCAAAGCCAAGGATGTATGTTCGCTCTCTGCTCATTCCATCGGCGCGTGCTTCATCCGCCTGTCTTTTGCAGTGTTGCAGCTCTCAACCCCTCAATCATGTGTGTGCGTGCTCCGCGCGTGCGTGCGTATGCTGGTCTGTCCGTCTGTCCGTCTGTCCACGTAGCTCTACCCGAATATTCCCAAAAAGCCAATGTCAGCCTTCTTGTTGTGGGCTCAGGACGCCCGTGAAACCATTGCCGCTCAAATTGACAGCCGCCAAGCCAAGCACATCCAGAAAGCGCTCAGTGATCGGTGGAAAGAACTCTCGGCAGAGGAGAAGGTTGGTGCTTGGCTTCCTTGCTCTTAAGTCACGTTGTATGTGCCTTCTCATCTTGATTTGCCGCTTTGTCTTTGTTTCTCTCTGCTCCTTCGTGCAGCAACCATACCAAAGCGCAGCCACGGAAAACATGACCAAATACTACGCTGAGATGGCTCAGTTTTACGAGAGCAACCCGCAAGCCAAACGTGACCGCAAGCTCAAGGGCGTGCCTCTCAAAGATAGCCCCATGCAGGAGGCAGCCATGCCACAGGCTGTGCCGCCCCCGCGTTCGGGTATCGAACTCTACACCGAGGATTTGAAGCGTGCTCGTCAAGCCAACAACCCCCACGAGCCCATTGATGAGAATATGATTCACCAACAAGCCTCCCAGGAATGGCATTCGCTCGTGCCTGAGAAACAAGCCGAATACCACCGTCGCGTCGAGGAAATGTGGAAGGAGGTATGTCGCCCCATTGATGGCTGATCTGCCTCTCGAATATTGGTTTCCGGGGTAAACCCATCCAAGGTTAAAGCTTGAAGCCGCGCTCACTTGGCCCGTGATACGTGTCGTGGTGTTCCCTTGTGTATAGTACGAATCTCAACGCTTGCGCCGCGAGGAGCCCGAGAGCCAGTACCTCATGCACCCACCCATGCAACAACAGCTGCATCCTCAGCAATTGCACCCGCAACAACTGCAGATGCAGCAAGGCCAGCCCATGCAACCGTTTTTGCATCCACAAATGCTTATGGAAGAGCAGCAGCGCGTACGTTCGCATACGCAATACATGCGTGCGGGGAAGGTTACAGATGCTGTCGCCCTCAGCACAGGGAAAGAAAAAAAATTGGCCTGCTCTTGTGCGTTGTCATGATTGTCCGTTCTCATCTCTTCGCGTGCATTCCTATTCCTGACCCATAGCAATTGCAACAAGCACCGCCCAAGCCACCAACCAAGCCCACGGCCTACAAAATTTTTGTCGAAGAACATCGCGACTCTGTGGCCGAGTCACTGGCCCCTCACGAGAAGAAGTCAGTACAGGCCAAGCTGCGCGAGCTTTGGAAGCACATGTCCAACAAGGACCGCAAGCCGTACAAAAAGAAGGCCCGCCTGGCAGACGACGAGTACATTGTCGAGATGGCAGAGTACCATCGTGTCTATGGGCCGATCCTTGCCGCGCAAGAGCAGCAAGTCCAGGCCCAGGCGGCCCAGGATGGCGACCCGCACGCGTTGCAGCAACAACATCAGCTTATGGATCACCAGCAAGCTTACCACCAACAACAGATTCAATTGCAAACTCAACAGTATCACCAGCAGCACCTGCAGATGCAGCAGCAATTAATGATGCAGCAACAGCAACAGCAACTGGAACATCAACATTTGGAGCATGCCCAGCTGGCTCAGCATCACCTGGCCCAAGAGCAGGACGATGTGGACCACGTTCAGCACCACCAACCGGCCGTAGTCACCGTGCCGGCGCCTGATCATCCTCAGGCACCCCAGGCGCCGGAGATTCCGGCGCCGGCACCGGCACCTGCGGATGAGCACGACCATGATGAGCCACCAGTTGCATAGGTAGCACCGCTTTCCGAAGCTTGTGTCATGCTCAACCCGACTTGTTTGACGCAGCCCTTTGGGTGTTGTCGGGCCCGCCTTGTATGTTCCTTGTTGGTTTGAAGCAGCTTGGGTTGTACTTATCTTGAGGCTTGCACCCGCGTGCCTTCCATGGCTGTGAATTGTGCATTCTGTGTTTTCAGTCCCATCCATTCTTTTGTTGTCTGCGCCGCTTGACGGCAGCTGCGTTTCCTCCCTCCTGGTGCAGAGGCGAGCGGGAGTTTGTGCGTGAAATCATGTGACGACGCGTGTGTATGTGTGGCTAATCGTGAGTGTAATTGACCCAGCACCTGTCGACATCGATGCAAACATCATTCATGACCAAGCGAACCCGCTCTTCTGCTATTCGTGTGCTTCAGTGCTTTTAAATGTCTACTACCAAAAATTCGACTTCAGATGGTAGAAATGATATTGCAAAGTTCGATTCTCAAACCGCGCAGCGGTTTGAGTAGCCTCGACGCACATCTGACTAAAAGACGGTCATCGAAAAAGTGCACTGGAGACGCACATAGACATGAGGGAACAAAGAGAACCACGGATGCCGCACCGTTCACGACAGTGCTAATCAACAAGACACAAAACTTAAAACAAAAAAAAAACAAAAAAGGGAATCGATCGAAAACCAATCGGGTCAACGGGAAAGCCCAACGACTAATCAGAACATTTATGGCCGGGCCAAGCCCGGCACAGGAATCAACAAAAGTTAGTGGTAAAACTATACGGCCACGCCCATGCCACGCAAGTTCCACTCGAGTTCTTCTTGCAAAAACTTGAGCTACAACACCCGCAACCAACGAGGTAAGGACTGCGCCCGCACACTGTGACATACAACACGTGACTGCCCGGCGCGTTGATGGACGATGAGTGTACCTGGTGATATTTGGCAACGTTGAACAAAGTATGGAGTTTGGTCTGCAGCCGCTCACTGGGCTCGGTCAGAGCGTAGGCCCCGGCACAAGAGCAGTGACGCGAGAGGTGATCACCCTTGATCAGCTTGCATTTAAGGCAGCGAAGATCTTGTAGCTGATAGGCCATGAGCGCTTGTCGGGCCACAGACAGCAACTGCTGCTCAATTTCTTCGCGGTTATGCTGATGCTGGCATCGTAGGCACACCCAGTTCTAGCACGAACAAACACAATTCAAAGAGGAATGAGCTAATGCGCTTTGGTGCAGTAAGCGGACGACCCCCGGGAAGGAGGAAATCGACTCAAGTTTTGGGGCTGTCGCGCCCCGGACCACACAAATTCGACGGCATAATAGCACCTACCGAGGCACCATCACTTCGCTTGGTGACGACCTCGTCGTCGCACAAATTGAGATCATCGTACAAATTGCAGTGTGCGCAGACAAACTGAGGCAATGTTAAACTCATGCAGGGGTTGCGAAAGGCGCTCTCGGCAGCAAACTCGCGCTTGTTGATCATCCGCAACAAGTCCCGCTTTAAGCGCTCATAGTCGCCCTTGTGGGCCTTGTCCATGCTCAGAAGATGGCACGTGTACTTGATAAACTCAAGTGCTGGATTTTGCAATGGCAGATGCGAGCCAGCCAAGTGTGGAAAGTGCCGGCTCTGGTGGCCTGGCTGTGCATCCTCGCCCGGCAAGTACTGCGCACGAGCAGCGGACCAAGGCAGCATCAGACGGCCGTGCATTAGCCCCACACACATAAATTACATCACACACGCCGTTGGTCACAAGAGGCAGGCGTTCGAACAAGGGTAGCACGTGATACCTTATTGATTGTCTCGACGCACTTCATAAGCCACTTGCGCAACTTTTGTCGAATCCGAAGCACATCCTCCTCGGCCAATCGGGCGTGCTCGGCCTGTTGCAAATGAGCACTGCGTGCACATGCCCATTCAACCATGAGAGTAAGCCGCCGAATGGCGCCCAGAGGGGAACAGATGCAACTCTCGGCTTCGCTTCGCACCTTTTGGTCTCGGAGGTCACATCTTTGTTTTGATCCGCCACCTCTGCACGAATTTGACTGGCGGTCATGAGCTCGGCCTCCCGCAGACGCTGCTCACGGGCCGAACTGCGGCGGTGCAGGTCGTTCTGACGAGCTTCGTAGGTCAGATACAAGAACATGCTAATGGTCAAGGCGAAGAGATGTTGCACGCGATCCACAGGAAGGTATTGCTGAATGTTGAAGTTTCGCACCACCTGTGAAGAGCACGGAAAGAGGCGAGCACGAAAAAAAACCCCCCGACGCGTGAAATTATTGCTTGTATGGTGCCACTTCACGACGCGACCTCGTAGGGAGCAACCCCAATCTTCTGTTCTCTGGACACAGCCAGAAGACAGGCATGCCATCGCAAGCACGGCAGCTTTAGACATACCGTAAACTGTGGGCGCCACAATGCTGGATCGCCCTGAGCCACAAGAGCACGCAGGCCTGGCAAGGCGAAAAGCAAGATTCTTGGGCATGAGCTCGGAAAAAAAAGCACAGGTCGCGGTGCAGCAAATCTGGGAACAGGCCGAAGAAAGTCGCGGTTGGTGAATGCCGCCTTGAGGTGCAAGCTCACCTTCAATGATCCCCGCCTCGCCGTCCAAAGGCTGTTGCTCATCCAACACGTCTTGATAATTTTCCAAAATCTCAGACCGCGTTGCCACCGACATACCACCCTCATCATCCGACAGCGCGGTATCAACCCCGTCCCTCTCGCTTGGGGCGCCATCTTCGTCATCCTCCAACACCGGGCGCTTGCTGCAGCAGATGGGTGGGCAAAGCAGCACGGCAACAGATGAGTTGTCAAGAAGCAAAGAGCTTCCGTCCACCAGAGCTCTCTTCAAGGCATACCGGTTGATGGAGCGTGGAGACAAGTGACGGCGTCGCGCGCGGGCGACCGCCACGTCTTCGTTATCTTCCTCATCTTCGTCGTTGTCACCATTGATAGTCATCTTGTCAGCACCCTCCAAGGCAGTCTGAGACAAGAATTAGTCGAAAAGGATGGGCGGGGTCTCATGAGAGCACTCTCGCTGCGTGTTGACGCGCAAAACCCACAACAAAGCACAGCTGAAGTAGCAACACGACATCACGGCCGTACTGCGTCGAGTCGGGCGCGCTTGCAATCACCATCGTCGTCCTCATCAGCCACACCCCGGCGGCCATTCTATATCAAAGCCAGACGTCCAAGCCATGCCGTGAGGCAGTGAGAGAACAAGCAAAGAAGAGCAAGGTTACTACGAAGAAAACTAGACCATACCGTCTCTGATTGTGCATCGATGCCGCCAAAGTTCATGGCATCCATCCACAGGAGCTGTGACCATGCACGTTGCTGTACGTCGAGGGGCAAGGCACACACAAAATCAAGTCTGGCCCATGCACGATCGGGGCTGCATTTCATAGTGCTTGACACCGTAACGTACTGGTGCCAATGTCAGCACGGCAAACAAGTTGTTTTGGCTCAGCACGCTGAGAACGTAATCAATGTGGGCCTTGGCTTGCGGAACATCACTCTTAGCCGTTCTGAGTCGAATAAAATCAAAAAGATGCCCAGGTGAATGTCGTGAGGTGGTGGTGATTGAACAGCGGCGAGAGGAGACGCAAAGTACAAAAGCAAGAAACAACACCAGCCTGTCGAGTTGCAACGGACAACGGCCCATACGTGGCAACAACATTTTCGACTTCACGATGGAATAGCTACGCACTTGAGAATCATACGGTTGAAGGAGGCGTAGACGAGTTCGTTGCCAAGTCGCTTGACATGCGTGATCAAGTGCAAGAAGAGTTTTTTCATCAGATCACGCACGGTGCGTAGCAGTGCCGGGTCGTAGAGCATCGACATGGGATTCTTCAGCCAGCTGTTGTTGTTGTTTTTTGCACCAATAAGGAATTGAGGACATGTCTGCAAGGCAGTCGAGATGGAGAGTAGGCAAGCTGGCGGCCAAAGCGCAATGAAGCACGCACCGATAAAAGTGTTGAAGCTGACCATCAGCCATTACTTCGTAGCGGCTGGCCACCTCGTTGAGCCAAGCGCCCACCTGTGCCCGGCGGATATCAAACAGTCGTAGTGAGAAATACCATCACCAACTCAACGCCATCCAGCGACTCAGGTTAGAAGTGGAATCATGACTGAGGCTTGGGCTGACGCACCAGCGATTTGAGAACGCGGAAAGCAGGGAAGCACTGAGCCGTCTCATCAAAGCTGGTCAATGCTGCCGAGGCTAACGAAAACAAAACCCAAAATATCCGGAATGCGGCGTGAGACACGCATATCACCATAGAGAGCCTGCGCTGGCAGCTGATCCTAGCATGCTAACCCACCGCCAGTCATCATGTCGTGCAGACTTGTATCCGTGACGGTATCAAAGTTGGAAGTGATGCCAAGGCTTCCCTCATCCGACAGTGTCGCGTATTGTAGCACCGCGCAGATGGGTAGGTGCATGACCTCCAACTCAACACAGCAGGTATCATAGAAACCAGGCTGGTTCATCTGCACACCGCACAGCATTAAAGGGAAAAAAGAACATGACGGGTTTGTTTTTTGTTTTTTTTGTTTTGTTTTTGTTTCATGCCGGCAATGGGGCAGTGACACGTGCACATGAGCTCATGTACATATCAAAGAAGCAGATCAAGCTAGGTATGAGACATTTTCTTGCAGACAGGTACACACCGCATACGCGTCTTGTTCATCGTCAAGCATCAAGCGGTTGTCATCTTCTTCCTACAGGTAGGTCGACAAATAAAACGTTAGCACAGCCAGACAGAAACAGCTATCGATCATGTCTCCCACGCCCCGGTTGACGTGCCTTGCCACCAAGATCCGGGCGAGTGGAGGGCGACATCCACAAAACAAAATTGTGTTGTCTAGACAATATAAATCACACACGTGAGACAGTTGAAGACGGAAATAGGTAATATCAAGCACCAAAGAAACACGACACGTTTGATGCTGCACGTGCTAGGACATACTGGAGCTGGCGGGCGAAGAACAAGTCGTGGATGAAGGGTTGGAAGTCGGAAGGTATGTTGCCCACGGGTGCTTGAGCATACCTGCGAGTCCGTGAGCAAGTCCAGACTGGCATAAGCGATGGCTCGGCCCACGAGAATCATGGAGATCAAAAAGATGCCATGCAGGTCATGACCCACCGCGCAATCTCGATGCGATCTTGAAAGATCTCGTGACACTTGGCATAACGGTGCAATGCTGTTTGAACCGTGCTACGACGCCAATCGTGGAATTGCCACATATTGTCACTGGCGTTGAAGGGCTGAACCACAACTGGAAACTCTTTGATCATGTCGCTGCAAGATTTGGTGAGAAGAGAAACCACCCTTGGTCAGACTTAAAGCCAAAAAAATAAGAGCAACAAGGCAACAAAGGGAGAAACGGAAGTGCGGATAGCAAAACTCACATATGCGAAGACATTTGAGACAATGAGGCTGAGCTGTTGAGCAGCACGACTGTGGGTCCATGCTTGGCACCATGATAGCGCAGTAGCTCTTCGTTGATGACATTGTGCGCCTCTTGCTCGGTACGCACGGTTCTAAGCGAGAATGGAAAAAAAAAAAAAAAAAAAAAAAAAAAGAACATCAACAATCCGACGCAAGAACAGGTCCGATTGGTTTTGACATCGTAGGGCTTATCAACAATACTTGTTTTAGCCTCTTGGGAGTCGAGGACAGCATGCAATTGAGAGGAGACTGACTTTGAACGAAAGCTGATATTCTCTTCAGGAAGCATCTTCTCAAAATCCTCCGGCCGCGTGTTGCGCAGGTTGTCCAAGCGCAGGGGGTAAATTTGCTCCCAACGTCGAGAAGCACTGCTCAGCTAAGGAACAAAGATTGAAAACAATGCCACAACAGTCAACCAAGCGTTGTGATCCAAATGAGCAAGTATCATTTCGTTTCGGTTACAAATCCCTGCACAAACAAGTCGCTATTTGATATTGCATTGTGTGACAAGAAATTTGTCGCACCTTGGTCAACGCCACGTCGACTGCAACCATGATGGCATCCGCTGTCTTTGAGAAAACCAAGCAATACAACGATTTGCCCTGGGCACTCGACGAGCTGGGACGTGGAATGTTAAAAGGTTAGTGGCTGTATCGAGCTATGCGCCGCACGGGTTTGCAGCCTCTCGAGGCTGGCGACAAGGGACCACCTTGCAACATACCAGTGGTAGAAAAAGACATCGTGAAAGGCTGAGCGGTCTGCCAGGTAATGGCGAGCACTTTCAGGCTTGGCAGCCAAATCAGTCAATCCAAACTCGCCCTTGGCACCAGCACGTGCTTTAATGGCCTAAAAGTGAAGAGCAACAGGCATCAGTTTGCCAGAAGAGTGTGCCAATACAACGGAAAACAAATAAATGCACGAGGCTATTGGCACGTACTTCGCGTCGAATGCCCGTGGTACAACTCAGCTCCAGAAGAGCCCGCCACAACAAGGGCATTTGGAGCTCATACACGCCCTCCACGTCGCTGTGAGAGAGTTGGGATGCCAGGCGCTTCTGGTCGCGCAGATACTGTGTCTCCGTCATCTCAAACTGATACAAAAATTTACAAGGGTGGGAGCGTGGCAGCTGTCGGGACACCTTGATGTGCTTCTTGGTTGGGTCCTCCTCGTGCATGTTGACATAAAAGCGCCGCGGAACGTTGAGACGCATGGCATGCAGACCCCCTACAACATCCAAGCCATACGGTGAAACTCAGATGAGATGGAACACCTCAAGCATTGAGGAAATCTGATGGAGATATCTGATGGAAACATCCAGACCGGAAAGGGCACTGCATCTCACCGTCAACCAAACACCACAGCTTGAAGATGCCAGGCGTCGATGTGTTTGCAATCTAAAGGTTTTGAACCACGACGTCAGGAACGAAAAAAAAAGCGTCAGACGAAGCCCTGTCTGTCTGAGCAACATGAGCACCTGGGTCCTGTCTGTACAAGTGCCTCGCTCGTGGTTCAGAACCTCCCACCTGGATGATTTGCCAGTGATTGACAATAGCCGCCTCCTGCTTGCCGGCGACGTAGCGAGACAAAGCTACTCATTGAACAAGCACACACGAGCCAGCAGACATGACCGAATCAGAATGCCGTCACGTTGGTCATCATTATGCTGCCCTTGGCACGTTGGCCTCGAAAGGCCTGGCCAATGACAATGCAGCATAGCCCAACTACAAGCCATCGACAGGCACCAACCAGAGTCGCCTGAGGCCACGGCAGTAGTCATGGAGATGCCCAGGCTGCGTTTGCGCTTGCGCTCTGCGCGTTGAATGCTCCACTTTCGCTTTTGATACTTGAGCCAGGCGGGATAATCCTCCGCTGGATCTCCAGAGGTCTCCTCGGCCATAACCTCGCGCCAGTCACCCGCTTGAACCTGAGATCAAACCAACTTCATAAGGAGAGGTGTCCACAAGGGTGCGACACTGATAACAGTACACGTACCTGTTCATTGACAGAAACCATTTTGTTGCGCAGCTTCTTCCGGCGTGTAACGGTAATCATCGGCCCCTTGGGCTTGGGATTCTCAGACATGCGGAATTGATCCTCAATATCGGCCGCGGTCGGCTTGAGGTTCTCGGTCTCGGCTTCCAAGGTTCCTTGAGCCTCCTCGACTGGTGCGGCCGAGAAGTAGGATCGAATGCTTCGTTGCTTGTAGATGTCATTCTTGTCCAATAGACGCTTCTGCAGCCAGTCGGGGTGCTGTACTCGGGGTACGGGGTTTTCCACCTTGCATCGTTACCACGTACAAGCATTGAGTGGCCAACAAGAGAGTGTTCAAACGCTTGTCCGCCCTCCGCCCTCCGCCCCCCGGTGATGTGCCAAAGAAATTTTGGTCTCAGATGCAAGCGAGGCGTACCTTCTGCATGGCGGCTGGGATGGTGATGATCTTTTGAATGGCAGAACCCAAGCGCTCAATGTAATAGTCCCAATCCAAGATGTCCCTGAGCACATGAGAAGCAAGCCTGTGAGTAGAAGTATCACACGCTAACCAAGGTAGGGCCAGTCGGCGTCCAACCACGCGATTATGCTGTCGCCATGGCAAGCGTGAAGGCCCTACCGGATGTCAGCACTCTCCAGTCCTGCCCCTTCTTTCGTCCACAGGCGCAAGTAGTGGCGCTTGACCTGCTCCTCGGCCTGAAAAATGGTAACAGGAATGGCACGCTCGGTCACAGGTGTGCCTTCGGGTTTTTTGGAAATGATAAACTGGCAGGCCAGGCCCTTATCCTTGACCATCTCATCGCCTAAAAACTGCGCCAGGCGTCTATTCGTACGCATCATGACACAGGCGGGACGGCACAACTCGTGAGGGACTGAGCAAGGTAGTGACATGAAAACACCGACCATAGCACCCTATGGACATACTTGGCCGTGCTGATGGAAGTGGACTTTTGCGTGCCATAATCAGCCAGGGTGCGCGACATGCTGCGATTTTCAGAAATGAGGTCGAAAAGTTCGTAATCCGGCAAGCCCTCGCCGTGGGTGTAAAGGATGTCCAGCCAATGATTGGCCACATCTGCCACATGAGCGTAGACCTCCTCCAGCGAGTTGCCGAGCAGGAAGCTATCAAAAACCTCCTTTTGAAAGATTTTGATAATCTTGAGCTCGCCGTTACGCTTAATCTCAAACCCCTTGAGCTCTGCAAGCGAGCCATCCTCGTTGAAGACAGCATAGCTACCACCATAGAGAAAGAACACCATACCACTGGTCGTTAGTACTGAACGTATGGGCAAGCCATCAGGGGCCATCAGGAGCGCACCGCTTCTTCAAACGTTTGTCCTTTTCCTTGGACGCAGGCAGGATCATGGCCTTGTACGGGCCGTCCACTTCAAAGAAAATGGAATTCTCCACCTTGGTCTTAAAGATCAGGTTGCGCTCATCGACCAGGTCTTGATACTGATCGTTGGTAAATTCTTGATTCACCATGATGTTGAGCATGGCGCCTACACAGCAAAACATCGACGTGTGTGAGTACTAGAAAACAACACACACGACCCACAAATGGGCGGGGCCTAAATCATCGAGCGGCGGATGTCGAGGGGAATGGGGGCAACGAAACGACCCACCTGGGTAGCTGATAGTGATTTTGGCTTTCTTGCCTGGGTCGCTGGTCTTGAATGTAAATTCTTCCGGAAAGCTGCCAGGCAGACAGCACCAGATGCCATCTGTGTCAAGCTCAAGTGGACGACCCAGACGCTCCACAATCTCACGGGCCCTGCAAACGATGACCAGATGAGCCCACAGAATAGGAATGGACGTGATTCAAGAGTGTCGACGTGGAACACCAACACCATTTTTCATTGAGCAAGCATAGACAATGCTACGGCCGAAGACCAGTACCATGCAAAGAACCGTACTTGGTGATGATGTTAGCTCCTGTCAGGCACACGACACCGGCCATCTCCATGCTGAACCAGCTAAGAACGAAAGAATCACAAGTAAATCCGAACAGGGCAGGGTCAGCTCGGACTGTGATCACTTGGCTAGCCCGCATTCAAGCTTAAACGCATGTCCCATCCGCACCGAGCGCCTTTGCGCATCACGTAGCCATAAAAGGAGTTGAGGATACACTTGTGAGCCAGCTACGCATTGACAAGGAACCAGGGACCAGTCTTGAGTGAGTAAGCGCGCTACACACGACATGAGAGCCATCAACCTCGTCAGGCGTTGATCTGTCATGCCGTGAATACGTGGTGAAGGTTACCTGCAGTGAATCATAAAGGACTACAAGATCAGACACGCGCTTAATCTCTGCGGGGTCGCCGGACGCTTGCACCTGTGTCAACGGCCATCAAAGAGCAAAAGTAATGGGTGAGCAGGATCAGAATGAGACAATTTCAAAGGCACAGGGTATTCGGACAGGAAGGAAGCACCCAAACCCAGGTCGAAGGAAGACGACTTAAGGAGGAACGAAAGATTGAAAATTGCGAAAACGGCAGCAAAGGTCATACGTCAGAGAGCAGCCGCTTGCTATCCTTCAGCTTGCCCTTGTACTCATAACGTCGATCACGAAAGCTGCGCACGGTGTTAATGTAGAAGGGGTTTTCCCGCTGGCACACGGTGCTCACGCGTTCTTCGATGATGGTGTCTTTGGTGCGCTTGTAGGTTTTGCGTGAGTATTCATCGAGACGCTTCTTGATGATGGCAGCTTGCTCCAGTTCGTGAAGTTCGTGAAATGGGCGCTGTGGATCACCAGGGTTCTCGCCTAGTCCACCAAACAAGTGAGCCAGAACCAAGAAATAAAATAAAATAAAAAAATAAAAAACCGGGCATTTTAGTCCTGTGCACGACAAGCGGATCTTACCCGGAAAGGTTTCCGATTCTGCCTGCATGCGCTGTTGCAAATACTCGCTGCGACCAGCAGGGGACACTTCACCACGCCACATCCAGGTCATCTTGCGCTTGCAGCGGTTCTCTTCGTTATTGAAAGCGCACGATGCACACGTCTTCTCGTCCACAACGGCCGGTGGCTAGCACAAAATTCATGATCAAAGCACCAAAAGTGAGATCCAGATGCATTTGCATTGCCGTGATAGCTGAAACGAATTCTACCTGAAGACGGTTGGTCAAGATGATATTGGGGTACATCGCCGCAACGTCCAAGTGATAAATCAAAGGGACTACTCGAGTGCAAAAGAGAAAAGGCAAAGGTTTCCCACGCGACAAGAGAGAATGGGAATGAAGGACCGCACAGCAGCAAATAGTTTCTTGAACATATGGGCGTTGGGATACTCGTGCAAAACCACACACCTTCAAAACGATTGGGGTTGTCTCTGAGATCTTCAAGTTGCGCAACAAGCTCTGCCTTGACCTCATCGTAATTGACAATCGTGTCAAAATCACGCTTTTCCTCCTCCACGATGGCGTGGTGCAAGGCTGCGTCCAGATTGTCAATCAGCTGCCGCCGCCCCCGTGCGAACCAAGGCGTGCGTTTGAAAAGAAAGAAGAATGTGAGCAAACACCACAGACGAATAAGTTTACAAAATGACAAGTTGCCGCACAAACCTTTTGGACGGCCTCGGGGTCGACTTTGAAATTGCAAGGAATGTCGCTGCGGAAGACGCCAGACTCCAAAGCCTCCACATGTCCACCAATGTACGTCTCTGACGCCAAAAGGTGGTTATTGTGCATCTACGGGACCGCGACAGTCACCAACGTTACTCGCGATCTGCAGACCCATGTTGCGGCGCCCAGGTGCATACATTCAATGCACAACAAGGTACTCTACCTTTGAGACATCAGCCTGCTTCTTGTTTGGCATGACAATGTTGCTATTGTACGCGTTGTTCATCAGCAAGGTCTCGCAGAGCGTGCCCGAGCCTAGAAAGGCACACGCGGGCGCACAGTGTCAGAAATCGTCTTGTGCTTCGCGAGACCGTCATGAAGCCTACCCTTGCGCAGCACGTCGTCAGGCCCCAAAGCAATGATGGTGCAGAGCGCAAAGATGAAGGGCTGCACATATCTATGCGCGTCATCCAGGAAATAGGATGAAGCATGTCGGCGTGTTTGAGAGAATATGACAACATTTTCGTTTGGAGTCCGGCCCGAGCATAATTGGGCAAGCATGAGCTTTTCTCGCACTGACTTTTTGTAGAGGTAATAGGTTGCGACGGCATCTGATACCGAGTAGTTGGCCAACTCCTGTTTATTGCCCGGAAGGAAACACACGACAACATGGACGGTCGCAAAAAGAATTTGGCGTCCGATGGTGAGCGATGGTATGCAGTTGCATAAAGTTGAAAGAGCGGCCAGGAATGATTGCCGTCAACCAAACCTGGGGTTGCTCGGCGGCCATGCGGCAAATCTCTTCATAGTGAATCTCCAACGGATCATAGCGCAATTTCTCGCGAGTGACGGCCTTGAGACCGTGGCTACCCACTGGCAGATAACTGTCGCGCTTTACCCATCTATCGGGGTGGCATGCGAAACAGCACAACACCAGAGCATGCGCCGGATTCGACGATTAAAAACACAAGATTCGTTTTGATGGCATCGCTCACCCTCCGATCCTGGATGCGACTCTCACCGGAAGCAGTCAAGATGGGGCGCAAAACGAGAAAGGTATTCGCCCTGGGTATTGGGGCGAAATCCAATCTCGTAAAACATCCGCATGTCTGCCACGAGCAATGAGCATGAGCGTGGAACAAAGAGACTGTTACGGTTGTTGACGACAAAGAAAGGTCTAGCCTTGCGAGGGTTGCGAGGGTTGCGAGGGTTGCGAGGGTTGCGAGGGTTGCGAGGGTAGTGCTCGCAATTCTCACCGTTAATCTCAGCTCTTCGCTCGAGGAATGGCCAATCGAAGCTGTCACCGTTGTACGTGACCATCACGTGTGGCTTTTCCGACTGAATGTGTTCGAAAAAACGGGCAATTGTGGCATGCTCATTCTCACAGTTGAAGACTTCAAAGTGCCCAGGGAACTCAGGCTTGGGTGTGTACTCAAAATCAGAAATGTCCTCGGACACAATTTCACGATTGATGATCAAGTACCCTTGGTTGTCAATCATGTAGGAAATCATCATAATCTGTTTCGACGAATTTTGCAAGAGGAAGTCCCGTCCGAGAAATTCGTCAATGAGACCAAGCAGGAGCGCTGGGTGCGGACAGTGTTGTGTGACGCGAATGCCAGCAACCAGGTCCGAGAAAACATGTGTACAAACCTGGTCAATCTCGCTGTTGGGGAACTTCAAGGGCAACTTGGTTGTTTCAATGTCCCATGCCAAGACCTTGATGTCCGGCATGAGGAGAAGGTCGGCACGCTCTGAGACATGCACTTGCTGTCCTTGAATGGTGACGGTGTACCATTTGCCGACATAGATGCGGTTGTCAATGCACACGCGCATATGGTACGGAACGTCATACTCGCGCATCTCCAAAACCGAATCCATCACATCATCCACGTGCTTGAGTCGCTCGTCTGCTTTGGCTACAGTGTCGATTCTGAACGGGCCTCTCAATGAGTTCAGAAATCGAGCGTCGGCGTCGACAAAAAGAAAGGGGCGTCGTGTAAGCGGATTAGTGACAAGAAGCAAAACGCACTCAGTTGTGCCCGAACTTGCAAGAGCCTGGGCGTGAGCAAAGTGCTCCTCATCTGCCTGAGGGAGCAAGCGAAAGAGTCGGTCAATGGTCCAACCAGCCCGCTCAGACTGGGATGACAAGGAAAGTCTCGTGCGTGCGTGGTGCTATCCTCATACTTGTCGAGAACGATTTTGTTTGATAATGGGGGAAATTTTGCTCTTGGTCAGCTGCAAGTCCTGCACGTTATTGAACGTGAGCTTCAGATAAGGCTGCTTCAAGCCAATCAAATGGTTGTCCAAGTCCAGGTCCTCCTGCAATTTTATCACAGCAGCAACCGGAATGAACAATAGCTACCAACAGCCCAAGCTCACCAAGAAGATGCCTAATAGAGCATGACATCACACCGATCCGGATTGGAAATGACGCAAACGAACCTTATCAACCAGTTCAATCTTGGCGATGTGCTTGTCAAATTTGCGCTTGAGGTACTGATCAACTTCGCCCTCCGTACCAGCCTGCATGAGTCACAGCATTGGAGCAAGTATTGGCATGAGTCCACGCTGCTGCATGGAATGGAAGAGCCTCCAAGGTGGAAAGCTGTGTTCAAGCATCTTGCCTTGACTCGCAGTAAAAAGTAAGGGGAATACGGATAGGTGGCCTTGAAGCTACGGAATGATCAAGCCGTCACGCCGTCATGAGAAAGGACTGCTGCTAGCCCCCAAACAAGCTCAACCCGGCCTCTGAGAAGGATCGGCAGAAATCTAACCGTTGGCCATCTTCTTCCAGAAAATAAAAGTCCACGGCAGACTTGACTTGGCCAGTCTCGGTGTCACGGAAACTCGTCTAGCGGAGTCAAAGGACAAGGAGAAATGAAGAAATGACATGACCCCAACAAAGGCAGATCGGGATGCAAGGAAGAGCAAAAGAAGGGCACATTGGTAGCTTTGTGGTGGAAATGACACGAGGCTAGCAACACTGTGAGGAGCGAGGAGGCGCGCACTCACGGGCTGCATGTTGATGAGCCAGCCGAGCTTATCTGCGGTCCCGGTGGGGCGATCAAAGCCGAATCGCTTATCCAGCTTATCGTCAGACTACTCGAGCAAAACAAACCAGAGTAGCCCTGAGCATTGAGGCAAGCTGCGCGAGTTCTAAGAGTTGCTTGTGTCCGAAGAACAAGCAAAAGCTGTCGACCCACCTCGGCCATGGACAACAAGCGATCGAGTTTTGACTGCAGAAGCTCGAGCTCGCTGTGATGCGTGAGTCGTGAAATTTAGGCAAGGTCAACAAAGATGAGCCATCAGCAAAACCAAGCAGTGGCATGCTATGTCATTCACGTGCAGGTCGAACACATACGGGTCGATCTCTTGCTGTTGACGCTGCTCGGCCTCTTGCTGCTCCGTGTAAGTACGGCGCGGACCATTGGACCTGTACCTCGGAAGAGACGGTTGGGGACGCAAGATGTAAGAACGCCTTCGCGCTCTGGTGATGGCAAGTTGGATCAAAGACCCTGTGCTGCTTGCCCACACCAGCATTAGGCCAAGGCCAAAGTCCTTATGCATGGTTGCACATACCCATCAAAACCCCGGCCCTGGCCCCGGCCTCGACCACGGCCGTTCCCCCGGCCGCGGTTGGAGAAGCCATCGGCGCCGCCCCTGCATCCACCCAAGACCACGGTGAAGGGATCCAAAGCAGGGACAACGGCTTGAGAGGACATATGCGACCACGAACCGTCCAGGATCTTTGCGAAAGAGGCGGCGGCCCATGCTGGTGGGCAACGCGAAGTACAAACTCCGCTGCTTGTTGTGTGTGGCCGCCTTGGTCGTTGCCAGGTTGCACGCAAGCCCGTGAGGCAAACACGGGATAAAAGCATGAGAAGCCCCCTGCAAGCGGTGCGTGTATGTGGAACAGCCAGCCGTGCGTTCTCTCGAACCACCGAGCACCACGCGCACGCACTTTTTTAATCGACGATCGCTCCTGTCAATCGGGAAAGCCCGAAACAAAATCTCTCCTTTCAAGAGAGAAAAAATGGCGCCGAATTTTTTTGAAACGAACATCGTAACGGTCATTCGTTGTGATAATTTGAATTAATTTGATGCTGAAAAGCAGGCATAAATGATAACCATAAAAACGCCCTTTTGATTTTGGCTTGCAGTTTGCTTTACTTTTTGGCGCTGAGCACAATGCGCTGGCGCTGGCGCCGTCACTTTAAACTCACATGTCAGGGGCAGGTGCGCTCGGGGTCGCGTAGACAATGAGGTGGCTTTCCATGAGAATCTGACCTGGCGACTGTTGCGGATTCGGAGTGTGTCCGTGATACCAGCCATAGTACTGGACAGTCACGTTCGATGATGCATTCTGTTGGTAACGGCCCGAAAAACGCGACATGAGGGAAGCGAAGAGGGAAGAGCTCTTGAAGGCGCGGGGTGAGGACGGCTCTGTGCACGAATCAAGCCGAGAAGACGATGCAAACCTTGGCAATACTATCGGTGACATCCACAACCCAAGGGCGAACATTTTGGCCATCACACCAGCCATCCCGCCCGTAATACCAAGTCCCATGCTGTCGGGCCGGATCGGGTGTTGGTTGTATCCGGCATGGCACGCGTACATGAGTCTGCACGCGACCACGCGCATAACCACCTCAAATCAAGGCCAATGAACGGATAAACGATTGCATACACACGCTTACCTCGTTGGGCTCGGCGCCGTAACGTGCTTGATCGGCACAGCCAAAGGGCGTGCCGGCCGCACTGAAGTTGACATAATGTTCGTCGCCGTTGATGATAAAGTGGTGGCTGGTGGGACAAAATTCACCACAGCCTATCCGTAGACAAAGCGAATTTCAATAAGATCATGCAATACATACAATCATGCGACTGGTCGGGTGCTGTTGGCGGGGACCGGCTTGATTCACCAACCATTCTCATCACTGCCGTGCCCGGTGATGACCGCCTCCAGGAAGACCCGACGGTAGTTGCCCGGGATGGACACCGTGAGCGAAGAACGGTCATTGTAAGACTGGTTGAAGGTACCACCTTGAAACAGGGCGATGGCTGTCGTCGGCCACGAGCTGGTGGGGGGCCCAATCGTGGTGCTGGAGAAGCGTAGGTTGGCACTCACAACCCAGGGCAAGGCCCAGGCTACGGTTTGCATGGTAAACGTGCAGCGCTCTGCGGCCAGCAGCGGCCAGAGTTCGGTGATGGGTGTCAGCCAGCGCCCGATGCGGCGCCGGAACGGGCTGATCCAACGACCCAGCTCTGCTCCGCAAGTAGAGGTGTTGGTACCGTTAATGCTGCAGCACACAAACAGTTGCACGGTGTGATCCCAGACGGGACAGTCGGCATCTGTTGAGCCGGGGCAGGAGAGGGCCATATCTAGCTCGAGGGTATCATAAGTGGCCTGCAGCACGCGATAATCGGGCATGGTTAGTGTCGCCACGGCCCCGGGTGTTTGATGCATGGTCTGTCGGTCCATGATGGGGACGATGAAAGAAGGCTTGGATAAGTTTGCAGCCAAGTCTTGCAAGTAAAGCTGGTACTGGGCCTGCCATCCCAGCATCATCAGATAGGGGTATTTCTCCCAGCCCAGCTCAATCCATCGACCCTGTGCGTCGAGGCCCACCATAAGACCTGCTTCCTGCGATGTATTGAAAGTAGCGTTGAGGATACCCGATGCACCGGCCGAAGCGAGCAGCGCCTGCAGGCGTTGAGCATCGGCGTAAGCCACTGAAGTGACCATCATGTCGCCCGGTGAGGCTTGGGCGGCCACTTGTGCGCCGATGGCTCGAATGTAGCTGCTATTGGATGCTTCGCCCACCACAAGTGCAGCCACGTTGGCTTGGCCACTGCTGATCAACAAGGCATCCAGTGAACAGCTAGGGGCGCCAGGACAAGAGACCAGGCATGGGATTGATGAGCCAAGAGTGTATGACGGGCCAAGAGGTGGAGGGACGGGTCCAGCAAGCGTGGGAATGGGACAAGCAGTGAGGTGAGCGGTTGGCTGCACGCACACCTGAGGAGATCATCAAGGAGCACGAGCATGCCGCGGCTAGTCCAGTTGGCAAGGGCACTGGTGTTGCAGGGATCGGCGTTGTAGCTGAGGTTGACTTGTTGACCATCAACTGGCCAGCTACACCAGGCGTAGAGGCAGTCGAGGCGAGATATGGTCAAATCGGTACCCACAGAGAGAGTAGTGCGGGGCGAGGAAAAGGCAGACAGGGCCGTGGCCAGCACAGGTACGGTGGCTGGCGGGGCCGTGGCCCATTGAACCTGCTGCTGCCACCGAGCACGGCGTGCCTCAGAGATGGGTGCGTCGGCGAGGGCCTGGCTCCAGTGAGCCATCATTGCCGTAAGTGGGGTATCCAAGCTGGGCAAAAACACATAATGCGTGTCTGGCGGGGCTTGCACCAGGAACATGGCCAGGGAGTCGGGATCAGCCCACATGTAGTGGGTAAACGGATCGCTGGCTTCGGCCGTCAAAAATAGCGTGGCAAAGTTGAACGGCTGCTCGGCATTGAAGCTAAAGTTGGCCCCATCAAGTGTAGGGACCATAAAAGAGAGCGCTACATCGCCGGGCACCGTACCCACAACTGGACTCACACCCAAGGCAGCAAGGGCCAAGAGAGCCCAGAGAGCCACCGCCGTCCGCCGCAACCGCCAGACGTGACGCCCTGCCATGATCAGCGTTCAAAAATGTTTGCCTTCCAACTGTCACGCAAAATTTGCCATAAAAAAGCTGACATCGCTCTCCTGTAGTCTCTGTCGAGACGAGGAGACTCGCGCCTGCGGTTTTATTGTCAGATATTTTAAACCAAAATCAGCTGACCAACACACACACATACACACAAGCACACACACACACACACACACACACACAACGGTGTGAAATGAATTGTCAGCGCCACACACACACACACACTCGTGGTCTCTCGCGCGCTTTCACTCACTGACTACTACTTTCTGTTCCTGGGCTCTGTACGACAGTTCCGTCTGGTTGCATCCGAAGACGCACACACGCCCACGAGCATCATGTCTGAGCAAGACGCCAAGAAGGTAAGGCTCCCCACTCGCGCTCGACCCCTCACATCGACAGCTTGAATACTTGGACGCGGGCTCACGTCATGCCTCGTGGCTCGTCGCGCGTGGGACAGGCCAAGATGGCCGCTGACAAGGAAGCCTTTGTCGACCTCTTTCCTCGTCTCGTGGACGAGATTATTCATGGTGTGGAACAAGAGTACCCTGACTATGACAAGGGTGCCATTGCCTGGTTTCGCCGTGTCCTCGAGTACAACTGCCCCGGTGGTGCGTAGAAATGAAGCGCTGCGCACTTTGATCCGCGTGCCCTTGGCTGGCTCTGATCCATGCCCGAGCGTGCTCTGCCGCTGCTTGCCGCTCATTCTTCCTTTCAACCATGATGACCCTCATCCCAATTCAATTCGCACCCTTGCTAGGCAAGATGAACCGTGGCCTCAGTGTGCTCACCACTTTCCGCCACCTGGTCGCCCCTCGCGAGCCCACGGACCAGGAAATCGAGCAGTGCAACATTCTCGGCTGGTGCATTGAATGGGTATGCGAGCCTAAACTTGGTGTTCACAAATCACCGTCCTCCTTTGAGCACCCCACAACAGCTCACCCTCTGAAACCCAACTGCTGACTCTCAGCTCCAAGCCTTTTTCCTGGTGGCCGATGACATCATGGACGGCTCCGTCACCCGCCGCGGTCAGCCTTGCTGGTACAAACAGGTGCGTTGTTCTCCTCTTTCCTGCCTCCTATCTTCTTGCTTCCTGGACCCGACGTGGTCGGCCTTGACATGCTACCATATGCTCACCTCCCCCACCCCACTCAATGCAGGAAAATGTGGGCACGGTTGCGATCAACGACAGCTTTCTGATCGAAGCAGCCATCTACAAGCTTCTCAAGAAGCATTTCAAGTCGACGCCCGTCTATGTCGACCTCCTCGAGCTGATGCTCGAGGTATGTGTGCCAGGCCAAACCGTTTTTGAATTCTTCGCGGCAATCCACGGCCCTTTTTTGCCTCACTTTGACCAAACCTCGCTGGGCCCCCGACCTAGACCACCTACCAGACGGAACTGGGCCAGCTGCTGGATCTGATTACCGCTCCTGAAGACCAAGTCGTCCTGGACCGCTTCACCATTGAAAAGTGAGTCCGTTTTTCTTCTTCCTTTGCTGCCATGCCCGTTTTCTCGATTGGATTGAGCTCCACTGGGTTGAACCCCACTGGCCTCACGCATTCCCTGTGCATTCAGGCACACCAACATTGTGAAATACAAGACGGCATTTTACTCCTTCTATCTTCCGGTGGCCATGGCCATGTTGCTGGCCGGTGTCAAGGACGAGCAAGCCTTTGCCAACGCAAAGGACATTCTCCTTGAAATGGGCATCTTTTTCCAGGTCAGTCAAGCAAAGCATTCAAAGCCTAGACTCACTGTACCTCAACCCAGTATGCTGCTTCGTTTGATGGCGTTTGTGTGCGTGCCTATATGGTTGTTTGCTCCTCGCGCGCTCCATGATTTGCTGTGCCATTCCCATGTCAGGTTCAAGACGACTACCTGGACTGCTATGGCGACCCGAAGGTCATTGGCAAGATTGGCACCGACATTCAAGACAATAAGTGCGGCTGGCTAGTCATTCAAGCCCTGCAGCGCGCCACCCCCGAGCAGCGCAAAATTCTGGAGGTAGGTCCCGTTCCGATCCTCACTTTCACCCATTAAGCTTGGCGTCTGTCATTCAATTTCACGCCCCGAACCGTGCCGGACCATCAACAGGACAATTATGCTCGCAAGGATGCGGCATGTGAAGCACGTGTCAAGGAGCTGTACAAGGAGCTCAACCTCGAGAAGGTTTACAAGGACTATGAAGAGCAGCACTACCACAAACTCATGGGCATGATTGACGAGAAGGCTGGTCAACTGCCCAAGGCCATCTTCACGGACTTTGCTGCCAAGATTTACAAGCGCCAAAAGTAAATGCACACAACCCTGCCACTCTCGATACTGTGCGCTCAAAGACCTTCCTCCAGACTGGGCCAGGTCTTAACTCAATTAATTGATGGAGAAAAAAAAAACAGACAGAGGTATTCAGCAGCATGAGAAGAAACTTGGGAGCATCCACCCAAGAAAGGGTGGGACGAGCAAGCGGGGTGCGTGTGGCCTCTATGCCTGGTTTTCACCAAATCATTCGCTTGCTCAGCAGGCGGATGAACCAGGCGGTGTCGGCATTGCGGCTTCCAAAACAAGACGTGCGTGGTCGACGATATTGGGGGCATTGCCGTCATGCTGTGTCTCGACCCACGCTAGGAGCCGCTGCAGTTCTGCAGCAAGTCGGTCCCCGCGATCCCGCTGCTCCTCCAACTCGCCGCGCATGGATTGCAATGCCGATTTTGCATGGTTCACCTGTGGGGTAGGTTTGAAACGTGAGCAGGTGCTTGCATGATGGAGGTGAAGAGCGAGGCTGAACGGCATGGGCTTGCTCACCAAGACCGGCAAAGAAGTGAGCACACTGACCTGCTGTTTGGTAATGCCTAGCTCGCGCTCAAAGGTTGATGCTCGAACAAGGGCCTCAGTCAAGCGCTGGCGCAACTGAGGCTTGGTGCCGCGTGCATGAACCGATGGGGGTCGGTTTTTGCGCTGCTGCATCGATTCAAACTCGTCGCTGTACATCTCAAGCTGTGCGGCATCCATGCGCATGTCCGTCGCGTCCTGCATGACCTTGTCCATGTGCTCATCCGCAAGGCGCGGCAACGCCACTTGCAAAAAGTTGAGCGTTCGCTCAAAGCTGTCACACGCTGCAATCTCCGACGCAGCCATTCGGATCAGGCTCAGACTGACAGCAAAAATAATCGAGTCTCCACCCACAAGCACCGCATCCATGACGCGCTTGGCAAACTCGACCGAAAAGCTGGTTGAAAAGAAGGTTAGGAACCATGGTGTGGCGTACAGAAAAGGCTCAATGTCATGCTGGTCAAAATGCCCGTACACTTCAGGAACATGGTCATGAAGCAAGCGACTCAGTTGATAGAGTTGCAGCTGTAGCGCCTGCATGTCCGGCATGTACCGCGCACGGAGATTCTGGGTGAACATGAGGGCTTTTAAGACCTCAAATGCCTCGGCCTCGGGGAGCTACATCACGGCAATGACATGAAGGAAATGAAGATGTCGATGGCGAGGAAGTAAAGTATACATACACACATACATACACACATACATACATACATACATATATCCGATATGTGCGGATACATCAATGGGAGAACCACAGAGAACAAGCAATGACGGTGCTCTGCACCTCTCCATCCCAGCATGACTCACATGCATCAGCAAGAGACCCCCGATGAAAGACATGCCCTGACAGTAGCCACACTCGTCGTCCAGCACAGCATAGGCGCGCATACAGTTGAATAATGCCGATTGTCCTGTACCCATTGAGTCTCTAAACAGCGAGTGCTCTGGGAAAGCTCGGTCTACACATGCAACGGTTGTGACCATCACACAACAAGTGGGGCCATGAACTGGACGGTTTGAGCGGCATGCAACCATCTTGATTGGATTGTGGCTTGTACGAAACCCACCAACATCAATCTTGACCGCGTGCAGATAGATACAAGGCTTGACCAGCAGCTCCAGATAGGGGATGGACCAGTCCTCAGGTAAAGGAGGCAGTCGCGCTGCCAGCAAGGGCCAGACCTTGGAACGAAGGTGATTTGGTATGCCTGCAGGTCAGATGCAACACAATAGAAACGATAAGTCAGCAAACCGAACACACCCGCAGAACGGATACTAGACAATGCAGCGAGCCAAGTACGTGAGTACAGCACGCACAAACACACCTACAGCCGCGGCGCGCTCGAGCTCGGTTGTGCTCCAGAGCCAGTGAGGCTCCGCCAGCAGCGGGTTCCAGAGCTCCAATTGATGGTCTTCGCGGTCCAGAGATGCCCGACTCGCAAGGCGGTGCACCGTGGCCTCTGACTCCTGCTCCAGACGCTCATTCTCCTTGGACATGCGGATGAGCAGCAATTGTTGCTGTACTGCCTTGCGCCACCGGCTCCGAACCTAATGAAAAAAAAATGTGCCGATTAGTCGTACTGTCCACAACCCCGAGCATGAACACTCACCATCAGAGGTAAGATAACAGACTTACCAACTCACTGCGGGTCTCGGGAGCACGTGAGAGCCGCCGTTGGCGCTTCACGCTTTCAGAATGGCGACCCGGCGTGAGGATGCGAGGACTACGCCCCGATACGCGCTCGAACAAGTTTTCGCGCCACATTGCACTGTTCATATCTGGTGTCCCGGGCACGTCGCTGCTTCGTGAGGGAAAGGGGGTGAGTGGCAAGACAAAGAGTTGATCTTGGTCATCATCGTCATCCTCGATCACCACATTGCTGTGGTGCGGTGTGGGCATCGCGTCCGGCGTCGTTGTAGTGGCTGTATCTTGTGAAAGTCGAAGCCGCGGGAGAGGGGCTGACTGCCGTCGATCCACGAGGGGCGAAGTCAAAGGTGACGGCTCCTTCGGCGAGGCCGCTTCGCCACCTGTCCACCCAGTGGCCATTTCTGCAGACTGCATCGGTGTTGGAGAGCAGGCCTGATCGCGCCGGCCCTGACGCTCCTAAAGGGATGGAAAGTGCAGGTTGAGTTGCTTCAGCCACGGCTAGCACTTGACAGCAACACTACAAGACTACGCAAATCTACTAGCAAAGGCAAAGAGGTTCACCTTGCGCGGCCCCACTAGGCTCTCCCATGAGGCGGCTAAGGCGGTGCGCAGGCCTCGCACGCCCAGGCGCGAACTCTACGCCATGTGTCACCGGTTGAATGTGAATGAGTCAAACCCCTAGTGTTGCAGAGCCCCCCCCCCCCCCCCAAGAAGCAGCGACGCCTCGCGACGTGCACTGCCTGACTCTATCCCGGCTATCCAACTGTGCTACCGACCTTGCTGGAAGAACGCGAGCGAGCGCGAGACGCTGCGACGACGTGGTGTGCAAACACATCCATAAGCACGGCAACCTGCTGCTCGTCGCTCTGCTGTGAGGCCTTGGTGGCCAAAAACTGTTTTCGAACTTCTGCCTGCATGTGCTCGGGCTCGGTGTCATAAAACTCGTCAAAGGTAGTGATGAGTTCAGTCGGAGTCAGCCCTGTTGCAACGGTACCCATGGCGTGTAAGACGGTCGGAATGCAACGAAATTGAACCGAAAGGAGCAAGCAAGCTTGACTCCGGCGATGCAAGCGACAACGCACAGTCAAGCAGGACTTGAAGCTCTGTAATCCGTCCCTGATGGGCTCTGGCACTTGAGACGGCTCCGCTGGAAGCGTCACGATCCATGTTTCGTGCGCGGTACAAGTGCAGCAACAGCACACCGGCCTGTCAACCAAGACATACGAGTGTCATGAGCGAGGCACAGATTTGAACAGCCCCGATGGCTAGGTGCAGAAGTACATCTCTCCTGCAGCTGGTTGAAAGTTGTGAAGCATGTGGGTCCGTACCGCGATGGCGTCGCGGAGCTCCACCATGCCAAAGAATGACGTATCGAGCGCACTGTCCTCCAGCTCAAACCACACAGTGGATCGGCTGTTGGAATGATGCCCCAGCTCGCCCACCTCTGACAGGGACAACGAGAGCCAGTGCGGCTCGCTACCCCCATTCTTCTGAAGTGAGAGCGTGTCACTGGTCAGCCGCAGGCGCGAGATCTGAGTGTTGACGGTTAGAGTGGGTTGACTTCCCAAGTAAAAGTCCACCACATGCGCTCGAAGATCTGGGTGCGAGTGAGACAGTTCAACCACCATAGCGTGCGTGGCCGCACATTCGTAGGTGCAGTGTGGCGCCGCGTATGGTGAAGTGTGACTCGAACCCAGCGACACGAGTGGAACCACTGGCTCAACCAATGCTGAGCGCTGAAAAGAGCGGCCAAGCACGCTGATGCACCGACTCGCCTGCCACAAAGGGGATGTGAGTGTAATTATGCGAGGATTGAGAAGATTAGGAGCTCACGTTTGGGTTAACTCACCTCCAAGGTTGAGGCTGTGGAGAAGATCTCACACAGCGTGCCCTGACTCACGCTGCGCACCAGGACGAAGCAAGTGGGATAGTGGGTTGTTCGTCCACAATAGGCTGTGTTGAGTTTGCGCCAAGTCATGAGGATTTTGGCGTCTCCCTCCAGTGTTTCAAGCTGCATCTTGTCGCCGTGGCTTGTGATGATGGCACGCGCGTTGACTCGAATCGCTGAGCTTGCCCTGAGACAGGTTTCGATGGCTGCCTCCACAAGTTCGTCGCGTTGCGCCTGCTCCAGATCTTTTATGTGTATGTCAGAGCTCATGACCTCACCCTCGTAGGTGGCGAGCACAAAGAACGGCTGATCGTTTAACCCGGTTTTGGCCTCGGTTGGGGAGCCAGAGTGCGCGCGCTGCACGATGGGGGAGCAAGGGCTCATACAATGGTTCAACGGAGGCGGGTGGGTGCTGGCATTCGTGTCGGCAGGTACAGGAGCCGAGGGTGAGCTTGGGGAGCTACATGGGTCCAGCCCAGGAGCACTAGCACTTCGGGGTCGACCGTTGGGTGCCAGCAGCCTTCCAGCACTCGACGCGCTCATGGTGGCGTTGGTGAGGGAGCGACCAGCTAGCTGGCTTCAAGAGACGATCTTGAAGCAGTGACAGCGTGTGTTCTCACGGCGCCATGTCGCGGCAACGTATCGCTTGCCAAAAAAACTAATGTTTTTTATGAGCATTCACTCGTCCAAAGCATTCAAAGACCGTCACCATGCTCACACCATGATGTCGAGTGCGGTGACGGACGTGGGAAGTGCAGGTCAGCACACAAACTCAGCCCTTCAAACAAACAGCTCCTTGCGCAGTGTCAATCGTGGTGTTGTTGTTTTTTGTGTGCGTGTGTGTGTGTGTGTGTGTGTGTGTGTGTGTGTGTGATTGTTGTGTTGGTTTTCTGTTTTTGTTTTTTTTTTTTGTTGGTTTGACATGGTGGTTGGACATGGTCTGTCCCATAGTCTGAATGGATGTGCCGCCATGTCAAGGTGTTTGTAGCGAAGGCAAGGATGGTGGTGGTGGTGCTGCTGCTGCTGCCAAGTGTTTTTCTCGACAGCCATCGTAAGCTGAGACATATCAATTGCACGGACACTCGAATGGGCACGCTCGTCAACCTACGATTGTTATAGCCACACACTCACGCATGGGTGCGGGGTGCACAAGTCGATGAAAAACTTGTGGACGGTAAAATGAAAAGAGAGGAGGAAGGGGGCAGGGGGTGTTGACAATGTGCCTGTGGCCTGGCCCTGATGGGACTGGCTAGAGTCCATGGGACACTCGACAATTACGGGGCTTGCACTACTGGTGGCCCTTGCTGAGTTGGGGCAGCTGTAGTGGATTCGGCTGCCGCAGGGGGCGCCGTCGTCGTGGCAGAGGCAGCTGTAACGGGGACGGCCGAGGGCTCAACCTGGGCTGGACCAACGGGGTCAACCATGTTGACACCACGTGCCAGTTTGGCTTGAGCCAAGGCTTGCAGCTTTCGCAAAGAGGCCTTGGCCGCCTCCCATTCGTCCACAGCATCCTCGGGCCAGCCTAGGACACGAATGGGGTCGATACGCAAAAGGTCGGCAGCACCGCGCTCCAAAATTTCGGCGGGAGAGAGGTCGCGTTGCGATCCGACCGCGTTGGACATGAGAGGATATGGGGGCGCGGGGGTGGGCACGGGCTGGCTCTGCATCATGGAGACCGCAATGGTGGGCAGCAGTCGGGGATCATCTTCGATGGTTGCATAACAATGCAAAGCTTCACGGATCTGTACGCTGCTGGTATCTGGGCCTACGCGCAAGGCCAGCGCACCCAGCACCTCGCGGACCATGACTGTTGTAAGGATATTCTGGTCCTGGTTTGAGGCCTCGACGCCTTGCATGGCTTCCCGCGCAACGGCAAGAACACGATCGAAGGCATCCGTCAATTCGGCTCGAGCACTTTCCAGTTGGTTCGGGGCCACGACGCTGTTGGCTGGATAAGTAAACGCATCCGTAGCGATGGGAATGGTGTCGATCAGGCGCTGCGAGAGGCAATCGGCCTGTCGCCAGCTGATAGTGATGGTGTCTGGGCTGAGCCGAGACCAGGCTTCGTTCATCAGCTCGAGCGCCTCCAGCATGCTGGCGCGGGCGCCATGGATGAGCCCGCTGTCTGGAGGGGGGTGACCACTGGGATCGGCCGTGAAGCGCAATTGGTGCAGGGTCGCGCCGTTGGGAATGCAGGTGACGGTGCGCTGCAGTAGCATGGCCTTATAGAACGTCTTGAAGACTGCCGTGATGCCCCGGGTCAGGGGCTGGAAGTTGCTGACAGAGCAGGCGGGCAGGAAGGAGAGGTGCACATTGGGGAAGGAAGGCTTTTGCAGCGGGAGCTCAGTCTTGACGTGAACAGGGGCACTGTCAAGGATGAGAATGACGTCCCGCTCACCGTGGCGGGCCTTGATGGCCGGCTGGAAAACGTCGGTGAACCACCACAGCAGCACGTGTTCGTCCACCCAGCCCCGGCTTTGCGGCATGTAGGGCACAGGCAGCCCCGGTAGTTTGGGGAGCGAGACGAAGCTGTACGGTTTCTCGAGGTTGGACACGGCAGCGCACGGAATGGCATGGCTGCCGGTGGCGTTGACGCAGGCGAGACCGGTCAACCGGGCATCGTCGATCATATGATTGGAACCGCTGGGCTCCTGGAATTCCAGTGGGCTGTATAGCCCCTGCGGGGGCTGGTTGTAAAAGAGCGTAAACTCGTCCATACAGTAGATGCGCTCGGCATCGACGTTGTGCTGCTGTGCGAGTTCGTCGATGCTGCTGCGATAGGTCTCCATGGCTGGGCGGACTTCATCGTTGTCCGGCAGCGCGGGGCCGCTCACACCCCGAAGCAGGCGAGCCTTGACACCGTACCGCTTGCAGAAGCGTGCAAGCCAGCCATGGGAGTTTTGAAAGTTGGCGTATTTCTCGTCCCCACGCTCGCAACGAGCCTTGGCAAATGCCGCTGCCTCCTCCTTGAGGGACCGCCAGTTCTGGCCAAACCCCAAGCTGGCCGCAATCATGTGGTCCTCGACGTACTTGCGCATGTGCTCGTCGAGCTCTGGGAACTGCAGCGGGTTGGAGCGGTGCAGGGAGCCGTTGGCCTCGACGAGGTCACCATGGCGCCAGCCGCGAAGCCAGTGGCTCACAGCGGCGGGACTGGCAGTGATGCCGCACGCGTTCAACGCATCGGACACTTTGCACACGCGGCTGCCATTCCGTTGTGGGTCGATCATCTTGCAGACCTGCGTACCTCCAGGCCAGGAAGGAGCGTGAGGGACGAAAAGCGGAGAATATCGGGGGGGGGGGGGGGGGAAAGGATGCCTGTCAGGATACGTCATCATACCTTGACGCGATCAGCTTTGAGGGAGCTTCGGTTCTTGGCTGAACGCTTGGCGGAGGAACGGGCATCGCTATCGGTGCTGGGGGCGTTGCGAGGGGTTTGTGGGGTGGCGGGCGCGTGCGATGCGGCGGCAGGCGCCTCGGGGATGGGCGGGACTGCGGGAATGGGTGCGCGATTCACGGGACTGGAAGGAACGGCGGGCTCAACTGAGCCTACGCCAGGTGCTGAGGTTTCTTGAGGCGGAGCCACGGACACCTGAGGCACTGAGGGTGCCGTTGCCGCACCGTCATCCATCTTGCCTTGTCACTCTTTGATTGCTGCACCTTGATCCAGAAGAAAAAAAAACAAAAAAAAAAGGGCAGCCGACCCAAGCCACTGCTGGTTCGGCGCAGTCTCGTGACCCAGATTCAGATTCAGCGACGCCGACGATGAAGTAACTGCGGACGCGTTTACCGAGAGAGAACGAGAGAGAACGAGAGAGAGAGAGAGAGAAGAAAAAAAACGGTAAACGGTATTTTCCGTTGGAGGGGGAAAGTGAGATGAGCGCAGTTCAAGTTCCGAGGAGGCTGCCGTTTTGAAAATCTGACGCACTCGACGTTACCTTGTGAAGGAAGAAGAACCCAACAAAAGACAAGAAGAAGCACGTCATGCAGCAACAATTGTTTTCTTTCTTCTCTTGTATGTGTGTGTGTGCGTGTGTGTGTGTGTTTTCGTGTTGGGACTTTTTAGTGAATGAAAGACATGGATCAGGTTGTGTGGATGTTATTGACAAGGTGTTGTTGCCTTCCAAGTTATTGCAGATGAATTTCTACTTTGAGTTGAATGTAAATGCCGATGTGCCTTATACCGATGATACTTTATGCAGCAGTTTGCTTCATAAGCGTCGCTCGACAGCCGCCTGCAATTGGTGAGAAAAGGGTTGGAATGGCAACCGGGCGATGATGCGAGTGTGCCGGTGCATAAGGGACTCGAGTTTGGCTCCGTGTCGACTCAATCCTGGCCTCTGATCACGGTGTGTCGCCGACATTGTAGCGTAGAGCATCATTACCTTCTCACACGTTTTTTTTTTTCACGAGATGGGTGTCGTTTGTATGAACGATGCAAATTCGTCATGATCATCGATTCAATTCAAGATGCGAACTTTAAAGAATCAAAGAATCACAGATACGGCAGCTCATCATGAATACCTGACCAACAAGGGCTGGTTACGCGTTCGGCGCCCAGGCAAGAAAGCATGCCATGCCAGTTGACGGCACGAACACCGTGGTAGACGTACGTAAGAAACAACGAAGCGTACCAAGTTAAATTGCGACAAAATTACGTGAAAATTACACAATTATTCCATGTAAATTATGACACAAACAGCACAGCCGTGGCATGGAACATCATCGAGGCACAATGCCCTGCATGATTGCAAGGTCGGCGAGGAGCGCAGCTCCAGGAGCAAAGACAAATAGCAAGAGAAATACCAGTAGATTCTTACTGGCCGGGCCTGGGAATGGCTGATTTATGACCGGGAAAAGCCACTCACGCCAGCACATATTGCCCTTGCAATTACGGGCAGTCCCGCTATCACGCCAGACCCGTCCACGACTCACGGCCGGAGCCAGCTCAACGAACCGTGTCGCAAAGGAAAGCCAAGCCCGACTCTGATCGCGCGGCACAGCCACCCATGTCCGAACAAGGCGCGCCCCCACTACAACCTGAAGTGCACTTTCAGGTCGTACCTGCGTTGTCAGGACCTAGCCGCGGGAATAGTGGTCACGAATGCACGCTTGCTGTCAATGTCCAGTATACCATCCGCATGACGACCCCTGCAATCTATGCACGCTCACCTCAAGTGTGTAGCCAAGGGGCAACATACAAGCACCGCGCACAGAGGCATCCAAGTGGGTTGCCTGGTCCCTGACCAACTATAACGAGAAAGAGTGTCAGAAAGACAACGAGCAATCAAGACACAGTGGCAAAGGGAGTCAGAAAGAGAGGGAGGGAGGCACCCGAAGTGAGGCAGAGACAGGCAAACATCCATGCCCATTATGCTAACCTCCAGATCGGCGGTATATCGCTCTATTACATCAACGGGCCCAGTCTCGGATGGCAGGCCATCGCCATACAGAAGCAATCCCTGTGCCGACAGCACATTGGTCCAGTTGCTAACCTAGAGGCACAGTTCCATATTCACATATTTGCTCGGATTGAGAAGATTAGAACAAAATTGCGTACGCGCGCATCTGCTCACCTGGCTCGACACTCTGGTCAACGCCGCATTGCAATATTGAACTTCTGGAGATTGGCGATTCAACTGAGCTGTATGTAGCGTCTGCGCCGAATTGATGCACAAGTCAATGGCGGTACTCGGCAGTGAGCCGGCCGGAGCGACCAAGACACCCGTCAACGCCTGGGGCAGGACATCACGGCATCGGTAGGTGGAGCCCGAGGACGAGTAGCCTGAAGACATCAGAGTATCAAGATTTCTGCATGCACCAAGGCCCGCCAAGCCAAACTGGGTTACTGTATGTGCTCCAAACAACAGGCGAGAAATCTTCGTCCTCACGGCCCGTGTGAACCTACGCTGACAAGTCTGGTGCCTCCCCCAAGTCAATGCTACAACTAGTTGTCACATCGTGTCCAAAACGAGCACCTTGCCCATCACAAGCCGGGCTTGACGCTGCACGAGGCCAATGCACCGGCACGGTCGCACCACTGGCATTCTAGGAGTGATGGGGAGAAGTTGTCGCGGATCGACATTACAGAGAGCTCGGCAAAGACACAAAGACAGACAGACAGACAGACAGACAGACAGACAGACAGACAGACAGACAGACAGACAGACAGACAGACAAACATCAACGTTTGGCGATGCGCCAAGATTCACATACCAACATGCGCAAAATGCGACCCGGCAAATAACCGTCTTGTCCGGATGTAGGGCGGGCATTAACTAACAACAGACGCACCAACCCGTAAGCCCAGCGAGGCTTCATGCTTGTGGATATTTGTCTCACAGGCACACGCACCATCAACAAACGCAATGGTCGAGCTGACTCGCAAATTTCGGTGCGATACAAGTCCGTGTAGGGGTAACAAGGAAAGCTGTCCAACTGCATTAATGCTAACAATCGTCTAGACGGCACCAGCCGAGCGATATGCATCATGGTTGAGTGTCTCCCAATACCAGTGTCGTGTGCAGTTTGCTTGTGGTAGCGAACAAGGAACAAAGCAGAGCTGACGCAACGCAGGTCGAGATAGAGAGAAGGAGAGAGAGGAGGGGAAAGAGAGAGAAGGAGAGCAAGTGCATACGCCGTTGTCCGTGGTCAAGGTGTAAGTCAGGTCGGCACGACATGAGCAGGTTGCGGGGGTACAATTGCCCGAGGCATCCATCACTTGCAGGTCAAGCTAGGAAAGTCTCGCAAGTGCATTTGATTGAGGACATGCCTCCATGGATGGCATGCCAGCTATTCTCGTACATACACGCATATACGCACCTGTGCTGTCAAGACTGTTGTAGGTGACAGCACGGTCATATTGCCCTCAAAGACGTTACATGTTGCTCCCGTATCAAGTTGTCGAGAGCAGCTTGCCGTTGTGCGACGGCCATATAGAACGGGATGCTCTGATTCACAGTCAAGAGCCCAAAGACTGGGCGGCACAAACATCAACATGAGATGCAGCCCAAGCGCAAAAATCACAGATCCATGCTGACCGGTGGGGTTCTGGGCCTCACAGGGCAGAAGAGCACATACGTCAACAGAGAGCCAGTTCCAGTCAAGAGGTGCTCGCCCTGGTAATAACGTGCAGCATCCACGAGATTGGGCTCTGTACACAGGATTTGACCGGCATTAGACAGCCGGCTGAGGTTAACCCAAGTTTGGCAAAAATATCCAAGACGTACGTTCGGGCTGCTCCGGCACCACGCGGTGTGTACTCTCCACGGTATCAAGAGCAAGCAGCGCTGCCGCATCAGGCTGTCAAGTGATTCTCACATGAGCAACAGAAGAAGTATGCTAGAATCTTCCTCCACCTTCTTGTCAGTCATGAGGCCGGGCATCAAGAAGGCACCAACCTCAGGAAAGAAGTGGCCCAGGAACGGGCTGTTGTCATGCACAATGCGCAGGGCTCGGCGTAGCTGGTACCACGGGCCAGTATCTTCAAATAGGTCGGCATGTTGTGTACCCTGTAGACACATGCGTCAGGCCGAGGTGCTCAACAAGCACACTGCTATTGTTGGACGTTGATCCCCAACCCAACTGTCGCACACACCTCTGGCGCTGGGCACGACTGGAACAGATGATCGGCTGTAGCACAAGCATCGTCGCAGCAGCAGCCTGGATCACAGGCGCCAGCGTTGAGATCACAGTCGCAAGCAGACTTTAGAGCAAGGTACTAGGCGATGCGAAGGGCAGCAGATCGAAGGCATTTGCGCAACGAGCAAGTCGAATGAGAGCCGTCAAAGTTTTGGGCGGATCGGCACAACACAAGTGATGGCCAAACCTCATCGAGACTGTCCAGTTCTGCGTCGTTGTCGGCCACCGCCGTCGTCGTGTCTTGTGCTTGCAGCTGCACGGCAAGCACAGTCAGCAGCAACCCAATACCTGCTGGCCGCAACCATCGCTCCATCATAGCGGTGTCCGCGACGGTGCTGGAGAAGGAGGAGGCAGCGACGGAGGTGACGTCTTCATCAAACAAAATGCTTTTTATGCTCATAAAGCCAAATTTCATTCAAAACTCACACAGGGTCTTTTTTTTCCAAACACATGACGCTCATGCTTGTCTGGTCGATTTGAATTAGGGTTGGTGCTCAGCACAACGTTTCAACTCGCGCATGTACGCGCATCGGTTAGAGAGCGTCAAGACTCTCATTTATATTACACCACTCAGCGCCTGTGCACTCCACAAAAAAAAAGTCCTTTCACATGGTTCTACGAGTTTGCTTCGGCTGGCGATTCGACCTCGCCGTGTGCAATCAGCGCATCCATGCTGTCTTTCAGCGTCTTCTCCTTGGCCGTGAACTCAAACCCCAATAATTGCCGAATCTTGCTGCTGTCAAACAGCGGTTGCTGCCGAAACATAAGACACACACCAGGTCATGGGTGAGCTGATCGTAGTGAGTAATCACAGTGGGGTGTAGCGCCTGCCACCCCTGTTTGTTCAGGCAACTTTGAGCAGGCACGCCGCTCTTCACATCGAGCCTCTCAATGTTCTCACCCGAGAAAGGTATCGCCAGCAGAAACGCCTGCAGCACACGCCGAGAACATTGCAGGAGGCGAGAGCACCGCTGGTTAGAACTTTCAATCTATGAGCTTAGGGAAGCAGGGACCTGGTGCACGGGCCACGGACGTTCGAGGCAAAGCGCTTACATGGTCAAGCGTTTCTCAAATAGAGCGCCGATGTACATCAAGCAGTTGGGAAGCGTCCGCGTGGGAAAGTTGTACTGGGGATAGATGCTTTGGCACGCCAGCGAGATGTCCTTCATACCATATGTACCCTCCACCAGCAAATGGCGCTCTGTGGCATGGGGTTGCTCATGCACGTGAGCAAGGTGGAGCTCGACCAATGGCTACTGGCTGGCAAACGGAGCAAAGGTGCCCACAACTCACCACCGGCAGTGCCTTGCGTCAGCAGTGCCACATGCACCTTGGCCACATCCCGGACATCGACGTAACCAAAGGCCAGTTGCGGGCACATTGGCACTTTGCCCGTCTACGGCCGCAAATGCACACGATAAGGAGGCGTGCGGGCGTGACCAAGGCTCAAGAGCTGAACAATGCCCAGCAAGATATCGCATTTGCCACGGCCTGTTAGTGGCATCCTTCCCAGAATCTGCCGTACCATGAGATCGCGAATAATGGCCGAAGATCCATTCAAATGATGTGCGGCTAGGTGGGGTCCGTAGATGGCTCCTGGATTCACAAAGACAACCTCAAACTTATCCTCTGAGGAAAGCGCTTGTACAAAATCCATGGCAGCTTGTTCAGACATGCGCTTGGAGTAAGGGTAAGGGTCATTCTGGACGGTGGCGCTGTTGTTGAAGTCGGCTTCTGTGAAGACGTGGCCGGCGGGAAGCGCGAGGTCTTCAATGGTCGATACCGAGGCTGTCATGACCATGCGGCGAAAAGTACCAGCCCGAGTGGCTTGCTGACACGCCCGCAAAACATTGCGCACGCCATTGACATTGACGTCAACAATGTCCCGCTGTGGATGGCGTGCCGTGAGTGACACCGTGGCTGCAGTGTGCACCACGTAGTGGGAGCCCATGACGGCTGCATCAAAGCTGCCGTCCGAGGTCAGGTCTGCAGACCAAAAGCTTAAGCGTCCATCATCGCCTTCAGGTACCAAGTCTATCCGGTCGTGCATCAGAGGCCAAGGATCAAAGTGCTGTGAGCCAGCCCCGTTCCGCAGAACCCCTCCAAACCACAGGCCAGGACACACCTCGAAGGAATTGCGTCTTGTCTGCATTCTGGGCATCGCGCACCACCGCCCGCACTGCATAGCTGGTTGTCTCCAGCAGCTCCTTGACCACATATGAGCCCACAAAGCCTGTCGCGCCTGTGACCACTACAATTTCAGCTGCCATCGCGTCGAGTTTCCAGCGCGAGCACAACACGAAAGAGCTCCAAAGTGAAGAAATACAGAGAGAGAGAAATCTGAAATTTTGATGTGTGAGTAGAAGTGTAAACATCGACACTCTTTCTCTCATCAGCTTCTCCCTCGCTATTTTTTTTTTTTTTCAACGAGGTTTTTTTTTTTTTTTTTTTTTTGGGGCGAGGCAGTGTGTGTATGGGTTTGTGCTTGGATGCTGGGCGCGGTGGCACTTGCTCTCGACCGTCATGTCACTTACGCAGGCGTGCGCAACGATAGAATACATTGGGTCCATTTTTTTCTTTTGCACCCGCGTTTCCATAATTTCCCGTGGGAGAAGTCTTGAGCTTGACCTTTGTCTGTGCGGGCTTCTGGCGCGAACGGACGTCAGTCATCGCAGCGCGCTCACGGCCGAGAACCACAACCTCCCTCAGCACCATTGATCCGTCAACTCTATATCGGCCGACGTGATGGAGGGCTATATGAACAAGGCAGTGACCATCGCAACTCAAGATGGACGCCTCTTGACGGTAGGCTATGCCCCAATGTAACTCGAATCTGATCGTCACTGATTGTGGTGTGCCTTGGGGTCTTGAAGGTGGCCTCGTGCTGACTCGGGTGCTCTATCGGGTTCTTGCGCTCAGGGCATCTTGAAAGGGTTTGACCAATCAACCAACCTCATTTTGAATCAGTGCTACGAGCGTGTTTTCTCCCTACACTCGGGCGTCGAAATCGTGCCCATGGGCCTCTACATTGTGCGCGGCGACAACGTGTAGGTCCTGCGATCCTGTTACCCCGTTCTGTTTCTGGCTTGTCCCCACCTGGCCTGCGCGGCTGGTCTGTGCTCGATATTTCGTTTTTTTGGCTGGCTCTTCTCGCCGTATCGCACTCACATGCACTGGGCTGCTCACTCTGATCATGGGGACAGTGCCGTGGTTGGCGAAACAGATGAGGAGACAGATGCGACACTGGATCTGGAGAATGTCAAGGCCGCTCCCTTGAATCCTGTCGTGTACTAGTCTGTCCCCCAGTTCCCATCAAAGCGCCTGCCCCTTTTCCTCTGTCTTTTCCATCTGCTATAGTTTCCCATCTGCTATAGTTGTTGGTTCCAGCTATAGCCATCGGCCCGGTGACGCCAGTCCACGCTCAAATGTGCGCCCCGCGTCGTGTGAACAGCTCCCACGTGTCAAAGCCAGACATACATGGCCTCGTAGGCGTGACAGCGTCACCGTCGTGACCTCGAGATCCGATTGGAGCCCAATTAGCTGCGCTTGCCACCTTCTTTCCTGTATTTGTGTCCTTGGGCTCTCATCTCCTTCCTTTGTCTCCCTTCTGTCCCCTGTTCTCGACAATCAAGTCCAGGACGGCAGGGCACACTGCGCTTGTGATAATTCAATGCTAGAAATTTCAAGTTTTTGGTCCCAGGCGACAACAGCTTCTAGACACCACTCGAGGGTTTGCGAACAGGCAAGCCTGCTTGATGAAAACACCACTTGGCAATAAACAGAGAGATGTGAATTTCTTTCTGCACAAAACAAGGCACAAGCCGACCGGGGGAGAGGGTGGGGTGTATGACATCAAGCACGAGCGCTGAGCATTGGACTGTCGAAATAATGTTAGCAAAGGTAGGCGTGTCATCAGCAAAGGTTAGTTCGCATGTGACAGCTTCAGAGCGTTCTGCCATTCATTACCAGCCCGCAGGACCGTTGCGCTGCTGGCCATAACGCGGAGGGCGCAGCTTCTGTCGGTTGTTGGCCATGTCGACCAGCGACACAGCTCCAGGCTCCAAAGCCGAGCGCCCGCGGCCCTTGCGCCTAAGCATTTAAAGGCACATAGCCACCGGCAACACCATGAGTTCAACGTAACCACCCGGCAAAAAACAGTGAAATCAGGTTCGTTGGTCGGTCGCACCGATCAAGGGATGCCGTGGCGTCCTCTTGCAAAAGTTGCTGTGATCGTGTGGATTGGAGAGGCCCCCGATCAAAACGCTTCAGTTTGTCCTCAAGCTGGTTTGCAAGCTATGCTCCAATATGACCAAAGCCCAACAATGCGAGCATGAGCAGGTGTTGGATTCAAAAAATCAGTACACAAATAAACAAAGGAAAAAAAAAAGAAAAGAAAAAGAAAATGACATCAGTGACTGGGATAGTATCAGATATGCGAGTGCATTGGTTTGGCAATACCATACCTCCGCTTCCCGCTGAGCGATCTTGTGCACCACGTCTGTGGATCGCTTGCCTTGGAAGTAGTCGGTATTGGCGGCGTTGCGTTGAGCCAATTTGTCGCGAAATCTGACGGCGCACAACATGTGGAATTAAGATAGGGAGAAGAGCCCCGCCGAAAGTGCAGAAAGCTTGATCAAAGCACATGACATTGTCCCACGTCAAGCAAGACCGTTTGAGTTTGGTGGGCGAGGACCATACCCTTGGTCGTCATCGTCGTCAGCATCGCTGAATTCGCGAAAGCTCCGTCCAGATTGGGTACGCGACACGGCCGATCCGACTCGTTCGCCCTGGAGCAGGCACACCAGTCAGCCCCAATGAATGCCTCAATTGCGCGGTGCAAAACACAACGCCGCCCTGATGTCCTTGCAAAGCGAGGCCGCCATACCGCTGTGGGAAGTGAGACGCGAGATACCACGACCTTGGGCATGACCCAGCGCTGCTGCTCCTCATTCCACACGGCTACCTTGCGAATCTTCTCCACGTTGGCATAGTTGGTATCACGTCTACACCAGCACGATTGCAGACACCAACGTGGGCACGTATATCAGCATCGCTTCTCCGCAATGCGGGGCGGGGTGCACGGGCACAAGAATGCGCGAAGGATGATGACGGTTGAAGCACGCACCGGATGCAGTCCGACGCCCGTTGGGTGTAAGACTTGTAGAAAAGTAGCTCACGCTCGTTGGCACGCAGCTGATCCAAGAGATGTTGTCGTTCCCTTTGAAATTCAGCCTGCAGATCCTCAATCTCCGCCTTTTGTTCGCGCACCACCTCCTTGGCGCGTTTCAAAAGCTTGGACTTGGCATGAATTTCATCCTAGCAGCAGGGTCAGTCGTGTGCACGGGACGAGGCGTGTGAGGACAAGGCAGCGGGGCATTTGAATACAGCAGGCAAAGCCCAATGATCAACCTGCCAAGCCATGAAGTCTTAAACGCATCCTCGAAAGGCCGAGACGGCACCACGTACCTGCATGGTATCGTAAATTGCCTCCATCATCGTGTCGTCATCAGCAGACTTGGCCTCTTGAAGCTTCCGACGGCGTTCTTCCGCACGTGCATGGCGATCCTTGAGTTTCTTGCGCAGTGCCTTATCCTTGGCTGCACCGCCTCCGGCTACCATCTACGCAAGATAGGGCAGGGGTGAGTTTGGCTCAAGGTCGAAAGATGCACTGCAAAATAAGGTGTGAAGCCAAGCAAAAGAACCACAGGGTTGCAGGCTCGCGCCCTTGATCTTCGAGGCTCAGAGGGCAAACGGGCTCTGAATGCTGTGACACACGTACCGCTTTTTGAAGCTGTGCAAGCTTCGCTTGTAGCTCGGCCACAAGCGCTGGATTTTCCGAGACGGACGCTGGGGGCATGTTGGCTGGCGCAGCTGTTGGTTGCGCCCCCGGGAGTGGCGACACACCGGCGGATGCAGGGTCCGCCGCGTCGGTGCTGCCCTCTCCGTTTGCTGCTGCACCGGCGGTATCTGCTCCCTTGTTGCCCGTGTTGCGAGCAGAGATGACGCTCGAGTCAGCATACACAATGCGCGCATCTGCGTCCGAGTCGCCACCGATCCAAACCGTCGTCTTGCCCGACTTCTCCGGTCCCACTAGACCTTTGGCTGCGTCCACAACAACTGCGCGGGTTGCCAAACCATCTTGAGCGATGCAGGCGGCGCGGGCTTTGCCAGAGGCATCGAGCACAACAGCACAGCGCAACAACAAGCGTGGACAGCCGTGCCGTGAGACAGCGGGCACAGCGGCCAAGCCATCAGGACCCACAATTGGCAACGTCTCGCCATTCTCGTCACGACGAGCTACTAGTTGACCACGCTCAAAACAGGCCTCTAGTGGAAGCCCCTTTTCATCGACGACGGCAATGGCCGGGGAACCGTCGTTACCTACGACCACGGCGTTGTTGGCTGATAGATCCAGGCCAGTCGCAGGTGTGCCATCGCTATTGCGCAGCTCCACTAAATCACCGTCTTCAGACATGACGGCTTCAAGCACACCCGCGGCAGAAAGCTGCGCAGCCAAAATTTCGTCATTGGGCCCCGCAACTGCGGCTTGGACATCGTCATCCACCAGTGCAGCGATAGCCTGAGGTCCACCCCCTCGGCGGCCGAGCACGGGCTTGTGTTCAGCCACCCGGGCATTGCGAATGGGGTACACGTGCCCTTTCTCATCCACAATGGGGTGGAGGTGGCCATCATCACCCAGGGCAGCACGATAAAAGGTGCGACTGCCTGCTTGCCGCACGGCTAAGCGCATTTTGCCCTTGTTGTCCAAGACCACGTAGCACTGCGGGATGACCTCGAAATCAATTTCGGGAGTTGACACACCGGCACCGGTGGCGGTTCCTGATTGACCAGCCGAGTCAGTGCCTGCATTGCCGGAAGCATCGGTGCCTTCGTCTGTGGTTAAGCTGATGGAAGCACGTTTGTGCGCCAGTTCAGTAGCAATCTGTTGCTCGGTATTTTGCTTGAGGTCTTCGCGCTTGGATTCGTACTGCTTTGTGGCGCGCTCAAATTCCTGCTTGAGCTCTGTCTTGCCGAGTTTCTTGTCTTGAAAATCCAGTTGCAAGCGCTCCAACTGAGCATCATAGTCACGTTTCAAGTCTGCTTCCAGCTGCTTGATCTCGGCCTCTTTCTCAGCGCGAAGCCGCTGCTCAATGGCTGCCACCTCGGCCGCTGTGAGCTCGGCATGAACGGCGCTGGGGCGCTTGGCAGGGCCGCCCTTTGCAGGTGCTGCAGCAGGCGCGCCACCACTCACGCCGCTTAAGAGCATGGCCGCTTGATCGGGGGAAAGCTGGCCGGCCAAAAGAGCCTTTAGCTGCTCGATCTCCTCCTGGTATTGGCGCAACAGGGCGTCCTTGGGATCTTCGTTGATAATGGCCTTGTTTTGGATGTTTTTGGCACGGTTGGCATAGCGTAGGGTTGAGAGGGTTTCATCATAGTTGTTGTCCGCCGGGCTGAGTGCACACACCATGAGCGTTTTGGTGTTACCACCCAGGGAGTCCTGGAGAAGGCGGGTCAGCTTGGAGTCACGATAGGGAATGTGCTTAGACTTGCCATCAACTAGAGCAGAGATGACATTGCCGAGAGCGGAGAGGGAGAGGTTGATCTTGGTGGCCTCCTTGAGGCGGTCGCCGGTGGCGCCGGTCTTGCCTTGGCGTTCACTACCAGCCAAATCGACCAAGTTGAGCTTTGAGGCTCGTAGCTTCTCGTCACCCTCAATGGTCTCGGCTGCCTCAACCCAGACCGTGAAGATGGAGTGGGAGCGAGACGAATCGGCATTCATGAGTGTAGCGCCGACAGAGCGATTCTTGGAGCCTGCGGCCATTAGACGCAGAATCTCCTCCGTGCTTGAGACCACGTGTTCCGAGAGATCTTTGACATAGACACCCTTGTCTGGGTGCTCCTTGAGGTCTAGTTTGGCATTGTGGTCTTGACCAAGGAGGTCACGAATGTTCTCGTTGTAGATTTCGAGGTATGACGCTCGCACCAAGAACTTGCAGTTTTCACGCACCGCCACCTATCAGGTCAGGGAAGCATCCAAAAGCGAAGGGCACAGTGGAGTGATGAGGTGGGGGAGGAAGGAAGGGAGTGCCCGACTGCGTCAATGGATGACCATAGGCCAAAGTGGAAGGTTGGCGGCAAGGCGCAAGGGATGAGTGGGTCGATTGACATTGCAGACCTCTTGAAAAATGTGCTCAAAGGAGCGGGGGGTAAGACCGCGATGTTCAGGTGGGTCTGGAATGCCTTCCATGGTGAAGGACTTGCCACATCCTTCAATATGCGGAGCGCGGGTGAGGGCATGTTTGTTGGCAAACAAGGTGGCGTGTTGGCTCACGCGTGAGTGGCAGCAAGTGCAAACAACTACAGGGCAAGGGGCGCACCAGTTTGACCGTAGGCAAAGATTGTTCCTTCAGGTGAAAATCAAGCACATGTTGGGTCATGAGGGGGAAGCAAGAGTAAAGAAGTGAGAGAGTCAAGAGTGTTCATACGGCTGCTTTGCGGGGGTCCGGTCGAGATGCGCACCATTGTAGCCTTCCAACACACTCTCAATCAAGGGAAAGCCAACGTCCTCATAGATCATCTGGCTATTGCTATTCTGGTCGTAAGCACCATCAAAGGTGAACTTTTTCGGCGGGTCGTCCGACCCCGGCTTGTGGAGCTGGACTTGGCCAACATCAGTGAAGGTTTCCACGACTGTTCCGCATTCGAGGGCCTTTTCTCGCTTGTTCAGCGGGCGGCACCGCACAATAACCTGGACAGCTTCGCCCGGCATGGTGACCGTCACAAGCTGGGCAGATGGGTGCAACCCAAGAGGTGAAAATCAATGTTCTCGCCCTGGTTAGGATTGAAGTTGTGAGACCCTCAAGGCTTCGCGAGTTAAGGAGGACGGGGCCCAGCTGCGCAAGAGTGTGGCCGTAACGGAAATAGTCGAGCCCTAGGCAGCCAGTGCAAAGAGAGATAAGGCAGAGGGCGATTGTAAAAAGAGAGAGAGAGCGAGAGAGAGAGAGCGAGAGAGAGAGAGAGAGAGAGAGAGAGAGAGAGAGAGAGAGAGAGAGAGAGAGAGAGAGAGAGAGAGAGAGAGAGAGAGAGACGCTGATTGGGCAAGAAACTGGTGGCTGATGGATCCCAAACACGGTGACGAGGGGTCAAATAACCAGGCTTCTCGTCCTTGACATCATTGCCACGCCATCATGGAGTCACCATCACCAAAAGCCACACTCATCTAGTCAAGGAGCACTGCCAAATCATGCAGCCATTCACTCACCCGCTCGGACCATCAAAGGGAAAAAAAGCTGAAAAAAGCAACAAAAAATTTGAGAGAGAGAGAGAAAGAGAGAGAGATGTCATCATCTTTCTGTTGTCAAGTTCGAGTGTGTGACAGTGTGACTCTTGATACAATTCAAGGTTGGCTGGGGTTGGTGTGTCTTGAGGATGGGTCTGGGTGGTCTGGCCTTTGATGGTCGGTCTGGTCTGTAAAAGCTTTCAATTTCAACGTCTGGTCAAAAGGGAAACCAAGTCACAATCTCCAGAACAATAGAGAAGGACGAGAAAGAGGAGAGGGGCTAGAAAAAAAAGGACAGGAGAGACTTGGCGAGGCGCGTAGCGCCCTGACCCAGTGGCACTCGGTCAAACACAACAGGGAGGCTCAACTGCGAGCGCACGCTCGGAGAAGAGGCCAGGAGAGTCGGGGAGATGAGGAGTCTAATCCAGCTGAATAGAATTGCCAAACTTGGCCTTGAGCACGCCCTTGAGCTCGACGAGACGATCATCAATCTCGCCAACCTTTTCCCGGAGACCCTCCATTTCGGCTTCAGCCGCTTCCTTGCCCTATGCGTGCAAGTCCCAAGCGTGAGTCTTTGATGGGGCCAAACAGACCAAATCAAGTATCAAGTTCAAGTCTCAGCAACGGCCAACGCTCTGTGTGTGCGTGTGTGAGTGTGCGAAGAGAGGCAGAGGCAGAGAGAAACAGACACAAAAATAACAAGAATAGTGATAGAGATAGAGAGGAAAAAGAGGAGGGGTGAAGAAGAATAGAACTGAAGCAGGATGAAGGATAGAGAGTGATGGAGAGGGATGGCGAGATGGAAAAAGACATTCAGAGGCCAACAAACACCGAGGGCAAGTGCCACCGCGCCGGCAGCATCGAAAACGTACGTTCTCTAGCAGCTCGTTGGCCTGGTCCGTCTCAAGCATGAAGAAGCAATCGCCCACCGCAATGGGAATGCTCTCATCGTCCTGCAGCATCAACTCCTCTGAGGCATCGTTATAGCCCTCAGCTCGGTCCTGTCGCGATATCCCCGTCAGTGCACACCCGGAATGGAAAATGAAAAATGGATGAGTCTAGACAATGCCCTTGCCAGAGGGTCTCGAGCCTGTCAAATCTTTCAAGAAATGGCTGTCGAATCAAGCAAGGATCAGGCCAATGCAAAAAGTCAATCCCGCAACGAACCTGACTGGCTTTGTAGTTGTCCGTGAGTTCAGTTTGCTTCGCATGCAACCGAGCAAACTCGTTGATACGATCCTGATCTTCCTTCAAGATGGGCACATCCCGCTCATCCTCGGGGTTCTGCCGAGTTTAGATATGACACCATCATGAGGCAAGGCCACGGGTCGAGTCCCGGCTCAAACGCTAGACCAGCAGAGCCATTGCACCAATCTCCGACCAGCTGACGTACCACAATATGGCTCGATAGCGACATGGCCCTGGTGCCTCGAAACCGCGCCCAAACTCGAGGAGAGAGAAAAAAGAAGATTGAACTAGCTCTGCCTTACACAACAACTGTTCTGTCTGCTTGAGTCTTTGTTGTCAATGGCCACAACAACTGTTCCGTTCATTCTATTTCATTCGAATTTCTCTAAAACGAACAACATGAAAATAGAGAAGACCCAATTTCAACAATTCGCTGCCATCGAGCTTGCTGGCATCACTAATCGTTCAATATGAATCAGTTTATGTAGATACTTTAACCTTGTTAATGAAAGAAAACGTAGAAGTATGAACGGTTTGTGTTGCGCCGAGCACCGTGTTTTTCTCTCGCTCTTTCTTTTCTCTCTCTCTTTTTGTTGTTGCTGCTGGCGACGAGGAGGAGAAGGGTCACCCTGAACGGATAGACAAGCGCGTGACTGGACACGGCCTGTGGCTTGAAACGGGGCTCGTTGTCGACCCATTTTGCACCCACGCACACACTGCGGCTGTTTATTTGCTCCTTGGTCTCGTGGCTGACGTTGCAAGAAACGGGTGCGCTTGGAGCGGTTTATTTTGACCAGAACCAGTCAGCGAGCCGTTTGCCCTGCCGGATTCAGTATCGGGTTGCCAACGTCATCTCGCGCCCTCTGGCGCGTCCCTGTGCTCGGCTCTTTTTGGCATTTGGCTTGCCCCCCATTTGCGCTATTTTTTTTTTTCTCTTGGGACGAAGGTGTTTTGAATCCAGATGCCTGGCCTCCGGGCTGGTGGGCAAGGCACCTGACGACAGGTCGCGAGGTGTCATCTGTGTTGAGCTCTGCTTCTCGCAGCTTCACGCTTATCGAAGCACGACGTGTGACCTTGTCCCTTTTTCTTCTTTCTTATCCCCTAACCAATCAAGAGGGCCGCCGTGCGCTGCGGTCACAATGGACATTTCTACCTCTGGTCTACCTGCCTCTTCAGCCAGCCCGACATCGGACTTGGCCATGGACACGGTTTGTTCTCGCGCTTTGACCTTCGCGAAGCGCCTGGGGTTGGGTTGTGCAAAATATTTCCAGTGTCACGCTTTCTCAACTTGTATCTTGCTTTGGCCCACTTATATTCTGATGGGGTGCCGTTGGCCTGGACCCTGGCTCCAACCGCAGCGTCAAGATGAAGGTGTCATGGTCAATTTGCGCTCGATGACGAGTAGGTTTCATTCCACTTTCTGGTGCTTGCAAGAGCAAGCACAAGAAGGCATGGCCGCCGTGGAGGGGCATGGGGATGGGCCACATTTCTTCTTCCTCATCGAACAATGGTGATGCTCGTGATGGTGTGACCCGCGTAGGCAGGGAACGAATTGCTTTCCTCGAGGATGCACTTGGCCAATGCCAGGAACACGAGCTTCAAACCATTTTTCGACACATCAACTCCATGCTCCGTCATGACTTTGTTCAGGACCTGCCTGGTATGTTGGCCTGTGTTGGCACTTGTGGCTACGCTTGCGTCGCACGCCTCGCCTGTCCTGACGGCCTCATTTCTCTCTCCCATACTGCCTCTCATGGTCATACAGCGGAAGTTTGCGCGCGCATCTTTTCCCTCTTGGATGAGCGTACCTTGGTTCAATGCGAGCTGGTGGGTCTTGCCTTCCATTCCACCCTTGTCTTCAAAGTCCTTTGAAGTGCCTACATCAGTTGGGTGTCCCCTCCTATGTTTGACTCGCCCCCACTTCTCACATCGACTCCCATCTTCTCAAATCTCCTCACGTCCAGGTGTCCAAGGCTTGGCGCAATGTTATTGTGTACAGTGATGTGTGGCGTATCGTCTTCTTGCGACGACTTCGCTCAAGCTCATTATGGCAAGAGATTGCGTCTGCCGTGAATTTCCGGCGACCAACCACCACATGTGGATGGAAGCGCGCCTTTTCAGCCTTTGCTCACGTATGGCTCGTGACATTGCGGTTGCTTCTTCGGGTTCCAACCTATCCTGCCCCAAACAACGACTTTTTTCCTTTCTTTTTTTTGTGCTTCAGTCAGTCACCTCATCAGACGTCATCGCTTTGCTATGTTTTGCACCGCATAGGATGCACACCAACTCGAGCATCGCTGGCGCTCAGGTAGCGCTACCCGCCATGATATCAACTGTCACGGCGATGGTATCTACTGCCTCCAGTACGATCAAGAAAAAATTGTTTCAGGCAACCGTGACGACACGGTCAAAGTGTGGAACATCAAGACGCGCGAGCTAGAGTTTCAGATGGCGGGCCACCAGGGCTCAGTGCTTTGCCTGCAGTACGACGAACACAAGGTCATCACGGCCTCAAGTGACCACACTATTCGGGTCTGGGATCTGGCGACGCACGCCTGTCGCACTGTGCTTCGCGAGCACTCCGATTCGGTGCTCCACGTTCGGTTCTTGGGCGATACCATGGTCTCATGCTCCAAGGATCGCACAATCCTTGTCTGGCAGCGCACCGACGAATTTGGCTTTACCTGGTCCTCCAAGCGGCGCCTCACGGGCCATATTGCCGCAGTCAACGTTGTGGAGTTTGATGAGCACTTCATCGTCTCTGCCTCGGGCGATCGCACCATCCGACTGTGGAGCCTCGAGACAGGGGAATGCGTGAAAATTTTGCGCACTCACACCCGCGGGATTGCCTGCCTTCAATATCGCTACCCATTCATTGCCAGTGGCTCCTCTGACGAGACCATCTGCATCTACGACATTGAGCGTGACCGCAAGCTCCATGATCTCACCGGTTCGTGCCATCTGTGTGTATGTGCGAGGGCTGGGGGCTCAGTTATTTTGCCCCTGGTACTCTTGCTCCTTCCCCTGCTGCTCATGGCCGCCTCGCTCCCTTTGTGGACGACCTGCGTGGCTTGCATCGGTGCTGAATCGCATTGCACCTCGCTTTTCATCAATCCAATAGGCCACGAAGCCCTGGTGCGCTGTGTGCGCTTCAATGAAGAATTTGTCGTGTCCGGTTCTTACGATGGGTGCGTTTCGTCGCCCTTGTCCGTGCGCGCATCGCCGAGTTATCTTAACATGGACGCATCGGGCACGACTATCTCATCCTTGACTTTCTTTCTCTTGGCTTGCATCACTTTGTATGATAGGAGCGTGCGAGTGTGGGATTTCAAGACTGGGTCGCTGCTGAGTCGCCTAGTCGGCCACTCACACCGCGTTTTTCGCGTTCAGTTTGATCACCTGCGCATCATCAGCTCGTCTCAGGACGACACGATTATCATTTGGGACTTTTACGGCGACCTCAAGGACAAACATGAGCTTACCTATGACCAGCCATTGGCCATCATGTAGAATTTCATTGACCGGCCTAGCAGCACAGCATGCGACTGATGACCCCCTCCCCCTTTTTTTTTCGAGTTCTGAAAAAAGGATTCACTTGGCTGCATGCTTTCCTTCAAGCGTATGAGTGTCATGTGCTTGCATCTTCCATGCTTCCTTTCCTTGCTCCGTTGTCTTTGACCGACGTTGCTATTTGGTACCGGGTCTCGACACCTTTTTTTGTTTGTTTGCATGCAGTGATGATCAAGGCATCTTGTGCTGTTTTGAAAGCTTGGCGACACCAGCACGCTGTGTCCTGTTTTAAGAGCACGCCTTGTATACAGAGACCCAAAGTCTGATTTTCAATTGAAGGGAAATTTTGTCTCGTCTCGAGCGGTCGACGCGCTCCACGTTCGTCCGCCCAGCCTCATTTGCCTGATACTCTGGGCTGCCGCCATTGTCCTAGTCGTTATCTATTCCAGCGATTCTCATCAACCTTAGTACACAAATACACCCTGTAAAAAGCACCGCGCAACATCGATGCTCTCCTTGACGTTGACAGTATCACGTCGTACGTAGCCAACACGATCCGACTACAGGCAAGCGAAAGAATCAGCCCATGAATGACAATCACCTCCGCCTGCTGGTGTAAAGAGCGACAGAAAAGGCCACCGGTCAGACGTACTTTGAAACCACGGCTTTCAAATAGTTGCCGAGCCTCATCTTGGCGGAGAAAGTAGGTGCGAGTGCCGTCTTGGCGCATGTAGAATCGATCGCCCAATTTATGGCCCTTCTGAGCTCAATGCCACATCGAAAGAAGGAGTATCAGTACAGCGGAACGGTGAATTCGGGGACATACCGATGCGGCCACGTATGTATATACGGCTGCCTACCTTGAAGCGGATCATGGCATGATCGAAAATGGCGTAGTCACGAAAGCACACCTTACCCCCCGGAGCCATGATTTTTGCTAGACTATCAATGACTGTGCCCATTTGTTCGAGTGACAAGGCCGAGAAAACAAAAAAAGCTGTGATCAAATGGCAGCTCCCAGCCGGTACATGGTCGAGCACGTTGTCCGTAGCCAAGTTGCAGTGAAAAGCATGCACATTGGCCGGGTCGTACTCCTCATGTTGCTGTTCAAGCAGCAATCGCCCAGACGTGCAAGGGTCACCCCGCCCCATTCGCCCATAAGAAGGATATTCGAGAAGCGAAACAAAGCGCACGGGGAAGCAAGTGAGCTTATGTGCCTGCAAGGCCAAACAGCGGCTCAATAACATCTTCACTTGACATTTGCCAATCAAAGCCCCACGTGCAACCGGACTAGTGGGCACAGGTGCACACAAAGCGAGCACATCAGGTTCCGGGGCTTCGGACACGAACCCACCTTGACGTGCTCGACAGCCCGAGGACTGAGGTCGCATGCGTGCACAAACAAATTCGGATTCTCACGCCGCAGCGGGAAGATGGTGTTGCCGACGCCACAACCCAGTTCAAAGAGCACGGGCCGCGAGGCCGTTGCTTTTTCACCTTGTTCTGCCTTGGCCTCAGGAACAGCTTGCAGCATCAGCTCAGGAAACTCGCGCAGCAACCAGTTGCGGTCCTTGAAAAAGTTGGTGGTGTTGCGCTTATAAAACAGGTCCCAGTGACGCTGCTGCTCTCGGTCGCACTTTTGCACCAGAAACTCACGCAGCGGCGCCTCTTGCGCCATCCGCTCCTTGACCGCATCATCGACTGCAAAAGGCAGCTCTTCACTCAAGGGCGGTGGGGGCGGCAAAGCAGCAGCATCTTCCGCAGCCATTCTTGCCCGTCAATCCCAGATACCAACCAGACCTTGTTTTTACCAGAGGACTTGGCTCCTTGGTTCTGCAAAAGCTGACGCTCGTCCAGATGAATCCTGAGCCGCCGATCGGGTGTGTGTGTGTCTGCGCGAGAGCACAAGGAGATATGAGACAGAGACAGAGAGAGAGAGAACACACACACACACACACACACACACACACACGAAGACACACACACACACACACACACACACACACACACACACACACACACACACGAAGAGAACACACACGTGAAACTGCACCTTGACACTTGACCAAAGAAGCTTCTGTCGAAGAATTCAAAGTTGTTGCAGTTCTTGAGAGAGATGGAAGTGAAAACAGCATGGTCATTGGGGGAGTTGATGTAGATCTGGATCAACTTGCTGCTGTTGAGGGCGCGATTGTGCAACAGTTTGTTGTTGATGTTGAAGGGAGCACATTGTCAGTCAGTTGGCTCCAACTGGCAGCGGCCGAGGCGGGGCATTGGTGGTTGGGGACAGAAGGGCAGTTCAGCAATCAGGTTGGTGACCAGGTGGGTAGAAAGTGCGACTCCATCGGTCCAGGCTATCATCGTGTTGGTGGGGTGGGCGGTGGTCAGCCAGTCGCAGCTCGGTCGCATTGAGCACGTCATGCTGGGTCTACCGTCCCGCAGGCTCGCGCCAGCAGTCTGTTGGAAAGGGCCTGTTGTGAGCAGTCTACTGGTCCTGGTCCTGGTGGCTCAGTCCAGCACAGCTGTCCAATCCCTGTCCGGATTGCAGAAGAGTGATCGCAGCTGTAACTATACCGGTTCGTTTGCATGGCCGAATGCTGCCCAGCACGCTTCGATGTATGGGCGCCTCATCTTCCCTGGCCTCGCGCTTTGGATATAAAAATATGCAGCTTGGGTTCACGAAAAGTCTCGCTCCATTTTCTTCAACATTACGGATGGATTTGACTGTCAAAGCCACCACCGTGCCCCAGCGGTTGCCTGCATCGATGCGACTCTTCGGTGTAACGGTACGAGCCTGTTGACTGCCTTGCGCTACCATCCCCACCAGTGGGCTGCTCTGTCATCTCGCCGATTGGGGCCGGCGCATTTATATCAAATCTCTTTGATGCCATGCCGTGCTGCAATCGGGTCTTCAGGCATCAACGATTGCGGCAACAACCAAGATGAAAAAGGCTGCCCAACGGGGTCTGGCACTACTATAGGGTTTTTGGCCGCCGGACTTGCCTCGATCTGCTTTGGTATGGAACCCTTCTTGGCCTCGTCAGAGTGGCACAGCCATGACACTTTTGTTCATCCTGCTGCACAAAGAAGATCTTTGTGTCTTTGTGCGTGCGGGTGTGCGTGCTTGTCAAATGAGGTTTTTGGTTTCGCTTGCATTGAGTGTGGTTCTAGGCAGCAACTACGTACCGGTTAAGCGCTTTGAAATGGGCGATGGTATGGTCTGCCTGTCATGCATGTTTGCCGCCAGCCCTTCTCACGTCCACCGCGCATGCCCATCCATTTATTTCTGTTTCTCGATGTTCGATTTCCTTAGGTGTTTTCTTCCAATGGATCCTCTGCATCACTGTCTGGATGTGTGGGGCGATCCTGCAGTTGGCTGTGGGTGTTTCTCCCTTTGTGCCACTTGCTGCCACTGGAGGCATGGCTTGGTCCATGGGCAATCTTTGCGTGGTTTTGATCCTCCGCACCATCGGACTTGCTCAGGTTTGGCTCGCTGCCTTGCCATGCCCCGCCCGGCCTTGGTGTGCCTTGGTGTGCCTTGGCGAGGCAGGGAAGGCAGGCAGATGGCCCTGGCCTGGCCACGGCCAGTCTAGGTGCAATGTGAAGGCCGTGTCCTTCTATCCTCGTGGACCACCTGATTCTTTCAAATTTGAACTTGATGTTAGGGCATGCTCATTTGGGGCACAGCCAACATGATCATGGGTTGGGGTGCCGCCCGTTTCGGCTTCTTTGGCATCACTCCAGAACTCCCTCAAAGCCAACTATTGCAGTACCTCGGCGTGGCCATGGCAGCTCTCAGGTCGAAATTGATGCTTGCTTGCGCCTGCCTAGCAACGCTGAAACGAAAAGCTCTTCATGCCAGGCCGCAAGCTTCTCATCTCGCGCATACGCCGATTGACAGCGTGCTTGTCTTTGCAGCCGTCAAGCCGTCCGTGGATGAAGACCGCACCAGCAAAAATGCATCAAACGGGGAGACGGAAACGAGCAGCCTTCTGTCCAAGAACTCGGCGGTAAATTGTTGCTCAATTGAAGAGTGGGGCAAATCACGGTCAGGGCGCACGTCTGTTTTTCTTACGCGTGAAATGGCTCGTGGTAGGCGCTCTCTATCAACGAGGATGCAGATGTTGCCGCACTCAGTCCACCAACACATCAAACGCACATGATGGACACTGACACGATGGCTTGGTGTGATCGCCTCTCAGATCACACGCGCCGGGCGATGTGGGTTCTCTGGTTTTCCGTCTTTTGTGGCGCCAAGCTAGCTGGTTTCGTCTCAACCTTGACCCCACTTGCGTGGCGGGTGCCCAGGGGGTTGTTTTTATCGATTTTTAGCGGCATCATGTACAGTTTTGCCTTTGATCCTGCCCAATCGTACATGGACCGAACGCTCGGGGCGAGTCAGCAGGCGTTCCATTATGTCTTTTCTCAATTTTCAGGTCTGTCTGCCGTCAATGCGACTCGAGGTCTAAGAGCATCGATCCTAGCCTCGCAACGAATAGCTGATCCCTGCGTTCTCATAACCGTTCGCCAAACTGTGCCTTGAATATTGCTGGCATCATCAACACTACCGATGACAGGCATCTTGATGGGCTCTACTCTCTGGTTTGTCATCTACAGTCGTACGTTGATCGAACGCGCAGCGGCCTGTATTGTCGTCGTGCCGCGCCCCTTGCTTGCTGTACCATACATACATCCTAGCCAGCTATCTGATATGTCTGCCTTGCTGGCAATTTTGTGTGCCATGTGGCGTGGTTGCTTGGGCTCTTCGAAACGACCATGCAGTCGCGACGCGCTCGCGGCCCAACGTCTCCCCTGAAGTCATTCTTCCCTCCATGGCCAGCGGGGTGATGTGGGCAATTGCACAGACCTGTTTTATGGTGGTAAGTAGGCTCGGTTGTCGGGGCGTACTAGACAGTACTGTGCACATGCAGCTCCTCTCGCTACTTTGGTGACTTGTCTGTGCTTCGTCCCTTCTGCACGATTGCCACAGGCTAATCAACACTTGTCACAAGCGATTGCATACCCCATTATTACTGCGGTATGTTGGTTGTGGTCGTGATCGAGGACACCTTTGACCTTTGCTGGAACTGCTACCCCACTCAGACTTTGCTCCATGCTCTTGTTTCTCGTGGCATGGGTAATCATTCTTTCTGCAACGCAGGTACCGGGCACGATTGGCGCTTTGTGGGGCGTCTTGGTGTTTAAGGAAATTCGAGGCCTGCGCAACATGCTCGTTCTGACCTTGGCATTTGCCATTACCTTTACTTCCGTGGCGCTGACGGCAATGGCCAATGGTGCATGAGATGCATGAGTTTGGAAAAAAAATCAAAAATCGATTGTCAGTAACTCAGTGCCGAGCAGTGCGCGGATCTGCTGTGGTCTTACGGGCAGAATCACCGATCCTGGGTCAGTCTCGGTGTGCTGCGTTGCCATAGCGCTGCACGCGCCGGCGAAGCCCACGTTTCCGGCTGAAGAGATCTTGCAAGGAGGCACGGCGCTCCTCCAGCTCGGCTGGCGAGAGCGTGTCCTTGCCCTTGCCCTTGCCCCGGCTTGACGCCTGGGTCGTTGCTGCTTCGGCGGCCAAAGCCTCCTCAACCGCTCGAGCAAGATGTCCCTCATCCGCCGCCAAGAGGGAAATGGCTAGATCAAAGCATGTAGCAGTGGGTCAGGAGACTTTGAACGAGTCACGCAAGGACAGAAAATACAGCGTGCTTCGCCTGGACGCACCTTCTCCTGGTGCAAAATGACGAGCTGTCCGCCCGATGCGATGCAAATATATGGAGACGTTCTGTCGATGGGATGGCGGGGGTAAGATTGCTTCTTTGATTGCGGATGTCACACGTGAGCACGGAATGAGCAAGTTGCTTACAGTGGCAAAGTAGGCCTGAATCACCGCATCAACGGGCAAGTCAAGACCCCGGCTCAGCAGATCCGTGCTGACAATTGTGGCCGTGGGATCGGCACAGAATGCCGCCAAGCGCTGCTCGCGAATGGCTTTGGGAAGCTTGCCATGGTACTCAATCACTAAAAACAGAGAGGTAGGCAATCATATTTGAGCGATGCCTTTCTGGGCATAGAGGGAAAGATGCAAGGCTCGGCGCAGCTCTGGGGCACGGACCGTTGGTGTCCTGCAGGTTTGCGCAGAGTTGAGTTACTTGCTTGACAGTGTTGCAAAACACGATGGTGCGTTTTCCAGCGCACTTTTGTTGCAGTACCCGTTGGACTTCTGCCGCCTGCTCAGTCACGGTCGGACCAAAGTGTAAGGGGTTCCAGCAAACAGCTTTGTCAGAAGTCAAGGCGGTGTCGCGCTGATATTGGCGTACGTACACGAGCGCTGTCAGAAAGAGCGGCATCCTGCAAGCGAATGAGCGTTTGACGCAGGCGCTGTCGCGGTTTGTGTAGTCTGCAGCGATGGCATGCAGCGGGGTGACATTGTTGCCAGAACGTGCAGTTCCAAAAGGGTTGGCCATGGCTAGAGAATAGGCGTACTGTGGGGTGCGGATGATATGTAGACCGGGCAGTCGATATTGGAGCAAGCTCATCACACTGCGGTCGCCACGGTCGGGCAAGGTGGCTCCAGTGAAGAGGACGCGCGTTGCTGGGCAGTAGAAAGGCAGGCACACCAGGCACACGGGAAGAGGTGAGGAGCCCGACGCTGCGATTGCAATAGTTTGGTTGGGAGGCACCATCACAATCTGCACAAACGTACAAGAAGCGTCCTTGCGGCGGCCATTGCGAAAGGCATGGGGGATGGCACGCTGAAGCAGTCGCCAGGCGCCTTGGTCATGAGCGCCATCAAAAATGGCATCAAACTCATCGATTACAACCATGTCCAGGCCCGCATCGGTCAACGGCCGCCAATGACCCTGCAACAGGAGGGCGCACGGTGTGAGTAGTCTTGAATGCGAGGCGGATATGTGAAAGGGGCAAATTTGTGGGTGCACCTGGTCGAGGGCACTGGCTGTGGTGACGAGAAGATCTGCGAGGCCAGCATGCATTTCGAGGTCATCACGCGGGAGCAGCTGGCGAGCTTGCAGCCCCAGGCCGGCAGCTAATGGTTGAATAAAGTTGAGCACCTATGGAGCATCGGGCAATATGCGGCAATATGCGGCGATGTGAAGTCGGGGCGGGGTAGCCGGTCGACCGAGACAGCAGCAGGCGTTGAACGACCTGTTGGCTGAGCTCCATCGACGGCACCACGACAAGGGCACGTGGAAGTTTGGGTTCGTCGCTGCTCTCGCGATCGCTTTGAGTGCCGGAGGAGCCGACTCCGGCCTTGAGCTGGGCCAGCAAGGGGATGGCATAGGCTGCATGGGACGGCCCGCAAGCGCAGTTGTGCTGAGATGAGGGCATGACACGAATCCAGGGTGAGTGCAACTTGGGGGCGAGGGGCAAACCTAAGGTTTTGCCGGAGCCAGTTTCAGCGCCAAAGGCGCAGGCAACGTGCTCAGCCGGGGCATAATTGCACAGGAAATGGGCTTGTGCCGGGGTGGGCAGCTTGAAGCCTGTCGAGAAAAAGCGGTGCGAGCAAAGACAAGCCGGATAAGGGAAAGCGGCGGCGGAGGAGATAAGGGGAGCAGAGGGCTGCTTCAAATATTGCCTCACCTTGTGCGACTAGCAGGGGCTCGAAGGGCTGGCAGGGAGGGGGCAGTACCTGAGACCAGGTGGCCAGCGCCTGCGGCTGGGCTTGCGTGCTGTGACGGCGCGAGGGCGCGTGCAGGCGGCATTGGCCCAGCCGAGAGCTTCCCAGCGGAAACAAGCGCAGGCTTCCCTGGCCGTGTAATAAATCTTGGACTCTCTGTGCCTTGGCGCACCTGACGCTGACCAAGCCGCGCACGGTTGTGCCGCGGACGACAACGGCGCCCAGCATCTCGTGGCGGTCAAACAGACTCAAATGCTCAAACGCCCAAAACCGCTGACATCACATCCCCATCAATTTATCTGACAAATGTTTTATCTGACATCTTGCAGCGTTCATCTCCTTCACAGTTGCACGGCCATCCGCCATATGATGACAACAACAAAGAGAGAGAGAGAGAGAGAGAGAGAGAGAGAGAGAGAGAGAGAGAGAGAGAGAGAGAGAGAGAGAGAGAGAGAGAAAGAGAGAGAGAGAGAGAAAGAGAGAGAGAGACAGAGACAGAGAATGAGAGAGAGACAGAGACAGAGACAGAGACAGAGAGAAAGAGAGAGACAGAGACAGAGACAGAGACAGAGACAGAGACAGAGACAGAGAGAAAGCAAGAGAGATGAGAGCAGAATGTGTTGTTGATGTGTTGATGTTGCAGTTGTGTGTGTGTGTGTGTGTGTGTGTGTGTGTGTGTGTGTGTCTTGCTCAGGAAGCCGGGGAGGGGAGGCGTGTGGAGGTGGCGCGTGCCCAAGCAGGCTCCACCCCTTTCTCTTGTGGGAATTGACTTCGTGCATGTGCCTTGTCCAACCACTGTAGCATGGATACTGGCCATGGTGGACATGCCAAGTAATCCAAGGCCGTGCCACTTTCCCACCCATTTTCGCCCAAGCTATGCGCTGCTTCCTGCCCCTAACATCTTGAGCGTGGCTGTGAGCTGTGAGCTGTGAGCTGTGAGCACGCCGCATCGCAACATTGCTCACGCATGTGCCACTGAGACGAACCTCGTTGCTTCATCTTTGGGGCACGCGTTTCTTTACTTGTCGCTGCACCCGCACACCATTCTCATGTGGGGTGACCAGATCTTGCACGAGCCGCTACAAGTGCGACAGGCCTGTGCCCTGCCTGATTGCGTACGCTGCCAATGCTACCAAGAGCGTCGAGCCCTGAGCGTGGCCCGCTGGCGTGCCCAGCGCAGCGCCACCTCTTCTGCTCGTTTGGAGACAGCCATGCGGCTCCTGGCTCTGGGGCGCGTCACCCGTGATCCTCTCGAGAGTTACCGGCCCACCTTGCTGCACATCCCGGAACTCCGCGCGCCCCCACTCATGACCGAGGAGTCGTGCACGTCTTGCTGTGCACATATGCTTCAGGCAGCCCGTGCCGCAACGACGGCCCTGCAGATGGACTATGAACAGCTCTTGGCCGAGGCAGACTCCAATTCATCTTCATCAGGACCCTCATTCTGGAAACACAATCAAACAGACCAAGGCCAATGGCTAGTAGCCATGTTAGTGGACCAAGGGCGCTGTAACAATGAACTTTGGGCCGCTTGCCCAGGCGCCGCAGCTTTGTTGCGCCTGCTACAGTCGGACGTTTGTCGCTGCGTGTTTGGCAACGCCTTCTTCTCTGTGCTCGACCCCGGTGCCAAGATTGAGCCGCACACGGGACCAGCCAATGCTCGCCTTCGCCTGCACATTCCGCTCAACGACACCCCTGCAATCCTGCGCTGCGGCGGTACTCAAACGTTCGTATTCGGAGCATCATTTCGATTTGTGTTTGATTGCCCAACCCTACGTGCATTCCCTTTTTTTTTTTTTTTTTTTTTTTTTTTTTTGGGTGTGAGCCCTCACATCTGATTCGATTTTTCTTTTTCAGGCATTGGCGAGTTGGTGAGCCCTTTTTGATGGACGACAGTTACGAACACAGCGTTGAATACTGCGCACCTCCCGATGTACGTGTATCTGCCTGGCAGCTCCTTTAAGCCCATGTGCGTGCTCACGATTCTGGTTTGGGTCCTGCGTAGGCACCACAGCGCGTTGTCTTCATCGTCGATGTATGGCAACGTGACTTGACTGCAGCTGAGCGCATGTGCTTGAACCGTTGGTTCAGTTGAACGCGGTCGCTCCAATCATCAAGCGCTGCGCGCAAGCCTTCACTCTATGCCTCCCCGCCTCTGCCCTTGCCAGACAGCTTCCAGCCGGTCACAGAGATGCTCTGAGTGGTCAGATTCTTGCCAAAAGGCCAGCACCTTCTCGCTTACCCCGGCTCGAACACCAAAAACTTTGGGCACAAGCAAACCATAGTGTCATCGAAAACCGGACGGCTGCCTTTTACAAGTCATCAATCATTGTTGCTTGAGCTCTTGTTGAACAAATCTAGGCCTTATATCTCTTCAAGCTTTCAGATGATGAAGGAAGGAGAAAAAAGACGCGTGCCTTTTGTCAAGTACATGCTGCTGGAGTTCAGAGTGTCCAAAAGCTGTTCATGGGTGGATTTGGATCTTAAGCAAAGTTTGTGGTCAGGCACCAAGAAATCCAGGCATGGCCCATCTGGCAGCATCAAACTCAACATTTCGGTCTGAGTTTCGAACAACACGCAGCCGAACAACAGATTATTCTTCGATGACAGGTAAACAATATGGTCGACGTGGTTTCTAGGCGAGTAAGAAAGGTGGCTCTGGCAGAGCACTTTGGGCTAGGAATAAAATGACTGAGCGATGTTGAGACAAACGTCTGAGTAGTGACGGGCATCCCTATGCTGGCACGCACAGATGCTGCACACTCATTTTGAACGTAAAACATCACATTCACATGAGTTTCAGCGTTGATCGAAAGGTGTTTTGCTGATGGGGCAGCTTCTGTTGGGCCGAGGGCGAAGGCTGATCCACGACGGAGCGCATGCCCGCAGTAATTGGAGCCTGCTGTTCAGATCCTAGCAACAGTCATCGGGATTCAGCGCGCCCAACATCACGTGAGGAGTCAAAGCGCCATCAATCGGGTGCTTGAGTGCCAGGCAGAACGGTGCAGTGGAAAAAGGACGAGGTCGCGATGTCCCGAGTCAAACACAAACCTAGATGGGTCGCGATTTCAGCTCTCTGCGTAGTCTGCAGCAGAGGATTGGCTGCAGCGGCTACGGGTCTTTGATGTCGCACAGGTGCCTAACACGCACAGCCAAACCAGCAGTAGTTCCTGAGTCAGACGATGGAGCAACAGCCAGGCGCGCTCCATCAAGGCGGAAAAAACAAGAGGTTGGGAGAGAGAAACAGGGAGAGCAGAAGGGCAAGGGCGAAACCGAGAAGGTGAACAAGTAGGCCACTTCAAAAACGGGAAGAGGGCTTCTTCCTTACCGGTGGTGGCACGTCTTGCCAACCGGGGGCTCGCAGCTTCCTGTTCAAGAAAGCCAGTCATTGCGCGTGAGTTCCAGACAATAGGATGAGCACAGGTGAAGGTGAAGGAGGGGCGAGAGAAAGAGAGCGAGAGAAAAGCTTTGGGTGAGCACTCTCGTGCGAGTTGGAAAGCACACAGGCCAGCAGGGCAGCAATTTGAAGGTCCTACCTGCTTTCAACAGCCTCGGCGCTGACTTCCGGGGTGGCGTAGTGGGAGCGGCTCGCTGGGATTGTGGTCATTTTGATCGAAGCATCACCGTCTTTGGCAAACGCCGATGAAGTGGGCTGGAAATGACGTTCCAAGAAAGGGCATGAATGGCTCACTGCTAGCAATCCCTTCATGCTCGGTGTGGTGGCCAGCCGCAGCTTACCTTGTCCGTGCCGCGATAGCCGCTACGCTTCGCCCAGGGCGGAACCGCCGCCATGACGACGAAGCTGTCCGTTGTTTGAAATTAGAGAGTGTTTTGTGAGATAATCTTCATGCATGCTTTGTTTTGACAATTTGTGTTTTTTTGTGGGGATGACGATCAAACATGACGATGGACGTTCGATTGGGTAGAGTCTTGATCAACAAGATGCTAACAGCAGTCGGTTACACTGTACAGGGCGCACGAGACCTGCTCGGCGCTTCACAACGATATGCCATGATTTGTTGTTTGTCACGCAAATGGCGGTTGCGGGACGAAGGCGTCGCAACAGAAAAAACTAGAGGCTTTTGATTCAAAGCCATACCACCGCAGTTGGTTCTGATTAGTTGGTTGTGCTACCGGTCAGGGTCAGGGTACGGCTTTGAAGATATGATGATGGAACATAGCCTTCGTGGCCCTTCGCGTCACGACAATATAACCAGCCAGGTGTGGTTGGCATGGGGTCGTCCGAGGTGAGATATTCGCCGGCCCGCGGGCTCAACTCGTCCGTGGTCGTTCCAGAGTAATCATATTGCGCAACAAATGTGTACCGTGCCCCACGCACGGCTCCTGCTGGAGCGTCATCCGTCGAGCTTTCCTCTGTGTGGCCGGCATTTTGCAGTGATAAAGTCGGGCGCCGCTGCGCCGCTGCTGGCGTGGTGAGGGGGCGAAGGTAGGATGCCGGCACGTAGCCTGCTTGGCCGCGATGACGCACAAACCACCAGTCGTTTTGAGGCGCATCAGATTCAAGGTTGACCTTGTCCCCGGCCCGAACGCTGAGTTGGGTCGCATCCGTGCCAGCGTAGTCGTACAAAACCGTGGCTTGCATCGCGTCTGATGCTGATTGAGTAGTATGGGGCTTTGGTTGCGATACAACAGTTGGTTTCGGCTTTGGGGCTGGCTTTGGCTTTGGTTTTGGCTTTGGCGTTGGGGCAGGCTTGGCATGGGCCGTGGTGTGGGATTGAGCTGGCGAGGCCGAAGACGCTGTGGCAGCCCGCCAGGCAGGACGTGGGGACACGGGTGCGGCTGCGGGTGCGGTGCGAGTCGGTGTCAATGTAATGGCGCCCTGAGGACGAGCAGGGGCCTGAGGACGAGCAGGGGCCTGAGGACGAGCGGGGGCCTGAGGACGAGCGGGGGCCTGAGGACGAGCGGGGGTCGGTGGTGCAGGTGCAGTTGATGTCGTCATACTCGTGGCCACACTGGCATTCGGGCTGGCGGTGGGGGTCGGGTACGTGTGAAGCGCTGTCTCCATGGGACTGGAGATTTGATTCTCAAGCTTTCTGGTGCCAGCTGCATGACCTCGGCCGGGGCTGGAACGGCCCTGTCGTTGGCGTTGCCACACAAAGAAGCCCACGAGGGCCACTACGAGCAAGACGGCTACTGTAACACCTATAGCAATGCCAGCCACGTTACCGCCCGATTTGCCTGTGGATCCAGCTGGCGTGGTATTGGCAGCATCAACAGGCGCAATGACGGTCATTGTGCTGTAACGCGAGTCAGAGTTCTGAATGGCATCGGAGACGCTATCAAGGCGCTGATACAGCTCCCAGTCCGAGACCAATTCCGAGGCGTAGACAATGGTGGTAACACCGCTATCATAGGCATGCTCAAGCTCGTACACGTCGGCAACCTCGCCGCCAGAGCGCACGAGCTTAAGCAGAGTCTCGCGCTCTGCAACAGTGAGGTCCACGCGCAGCGTGACCGTCACGCCGCCGCAAGTTTCTGTTTGCGCGGTTGAGCAGTTACCAGGACCAGCAGCACGCGTGCGACGCCGCCCGTGTGCTAGGCATTCACCCCACTGAGACCAAGGCAGGCAACCCTGGTCGTCGGGCTCAACGCACACGGCCGCAGAGCAGAGTCCACCAGGACACACAGTGCCGTCGGGCTGGACATCAAAGATACACCGATCTTCCACACAAGCCCCGGGCGTGATGTGGCAAGGGTTGGTGCTGGTAGCACAGGAATCGGCGCAGGCCGTGTCAGACGTCTCGTAGGCACAACCACCCACGGGGCAAGCATTGCAAACTCCGTTGCCGTCACATTGACCATCTGTGCCTGAGGCGGTGCTGCAGTACGTGCCCTGAGCCGAGTAGTCACACTCAGGCAAACTGAAATACGGCGTGCTGGGGAGCTGACATGAGCGGGAGACGGCCGCACAGACTGAGCTGCTTGGGTTTTGGCAGGTGCGGACGCAGGGAAAGCTGGGCAAGGTACACCCGTTGTTGTTGAGGTTGGCGTCGCAAAAACCGTCGTGCGGGTGGGAACAGGTGCCGCTCAGACAGACCCCATGGGTATCATCCGAGCCAAAACAGTATGCATCATCTTCTTTAACGGCCAGAGGACAATAGCCATGCTCACCGTCGCATTGGGCGGCGGCCTGGCATGGATGAAGGGGGTCTTGTGCACGACACAGGGTCCCCTCTGGCTTGAGTGCTCCTTCGATGCTCAAGCAACAAGGTCCACCAAAGCGACAAGCGTTGGGAATCTCAAGGCAGGCGCCCTTGGCCGCAATGAGGGTGTTGATGGAGGAGATGGAGCAAGGAGAAAGAAGGACAGAGTTTCTGCTGGTCGAGCTCGTCGAGGGATACATGAGAAAGCGGCCACCGTTTGCAGCAGTACGGACACATCGGTGGTCGGCGGTGCTGCTGCAGAGCGGGTACACGGATGTGTCACAGCTAGCATCTTCGCTATCACAACAGTCTGGGACAAAATAATGTGTAGGCACCCACGGCGGAGACACAACCATCCAAACGTCAGGGAAAGTACATTCTTACGGCAAGGGCAAATGGCCCGTCCTCACGCACGGGGCTAATGAAGCCAGCAGTCTTACCGTGCGAGGCGCCTAGATTATGACCCAGCTCATGTGCCAAGGTAATCTAAACCGGTCATGCCCCCACCGAAAGGGGTGAGCTCATGGCGATACCGGGAACAGACACAAGGCGGGGCAAGCAAGCTCTGGGACCAGACGGGATCCCAGGGCCAGATTGAAGGGCAAGAGCTTCATGGCGAGTGAGCCTACCGCAACCGTGGTCCAAGAGGGCACGCCAAATTCCAAAAGGGTCGTCACATAACCCGTGTTGGTGGCACGTGGCGTGCTATGGTAAGGGACGGGGCACGGAGACGCAAAAGGCAAGGACAATCTGGTGATTTGCGGCCCTTGTATCAACCTCCAGGGCAATGCCCCGTGCAGTGGAGCACAACGAACCTTTTGATCACGCGAAATTCACAAATGCCACCGACGGTGTTGCCAGCGGTACTCGCCAGGCTGGCCCGCCCAGCCACATTCTTCGTGTTGACGTGCGTTAGCAAGATGTTTGTGCATACATCTTGGAAGGTCAGGGGCTCGTCGTCGGGTCGTACGGAAGCAGCTGTGTAGGTGTTGCCGGAGAAGCTGCCCCCAGTTACGAGCCAAGATTGATATTTGTTGAGAACCTCAGAGGCGCTTTGAGTGGAGGTGGTAAAAGAGGTGGATAATTGCGAAACGCCGGCAAGCTGGAACTGAATGTTGAGGCCGCTGGCACTGTACATGTAATTGGCTTGATGGAGAAGGTCTGCAGCACGGGCCACCAGGCGACCAGCGCGCAGGTCGGCACAGTCGCTGCTCGAGTAGCTGTTGGGGCACTCGCCTTGCCATTGAGTCACGAAGCTGGCGTCCAAGTCGAAAAAAAGGGTGCAGATGTTATGACGACTGGATGCCGGGCCTTCGCGGCGGGCGCGGGCGCGGTCTCCGTGGTCGGGCGGTGAGGCCAGCTCGTCGGTGGCATTGACGAAAAAATGTTGGCCATGACGGTCCAAATCCCAGGTGCTATCATGTTGGCGCGCGCAGGCGCGCAGGGCATGGACTTTTGACGCTGGATGGGCCTCAAGCTCCCACATGGTCTGATCGTGTTGAAGAAAGCCAGTCAGCGTGCCCTGCTGATTATCCAAGGTCAAGGCACCCTGTACCTCGCCTGCGAGGTGAAAGTAGCGCCGATGAGGCAGCAATTCATGGTGAGGTAGGCTATCTTGGGTGACCGTGCCTGTCCAAGCCACCGAGACGTTTCTGCATCCAAGACGAGGTGCGTGCGCGCAAAACGAGGCGTGAGTGTCTCTACATCATGGTTCGGGTGTTCAGTTGATGGAGTGTAGAGCGAGACGCGCGAGGCAGTGGGGCCAGCTGCGCTTACTCAAATTGCACCGATAACTGCGTGGCCGAGCTGAATGTTAGTTCCACGGTCGGTTGCTCAGGTCCACAGGCCGAGTCGGCCTGTGCCTGCGCCAGCATCAGTGCAATCATCAACACCAGCGCCATGGGGCCGGCTAGCTGGTGAGCTGGCATCCTGCCGGCAAAGAGCCAAATCGTTGGTGATGCGGCAATCAAATGCGGCGTCGGGCCAAATCCGGGTCAATCATGGATCGAACGGTCAGGGCCACACACAAGCTCGCGCCTTGGGGGGCAAACGCCAATGTCCAATGGGAACAGGAAGAACTCGGCAGGAAGGACACGGTGGGGTCCAGCGCTTTTGCTGTGTTTGTCCCTTGGCGAATGTGTGTGTGTGTGTGTGTGTGTGTGTTCCTTGGAAACATTGCTCTGCTCCAGCTCACTTCTCTCGCTTACCGCTAATTGTCAGACTATTTGGGGGCGCAGGGAATGTCATCATAATCGACTGGACTGCTACCAGATGTCAGGTCGACTTACCACACGAGCACTCGCGGGCCAAGCGTGTGACACACCTTGACACACTTCAGATATCGGAAACACATGTTGTTGACGCTTATGGTCCATGAGGTTTGAACTGATCGACACTTTTTTTTTGGTCCCACTGCCAAGGTAAAGGTTGACCGCGGACGATCAACACACGCTCAAGCGACTGAGCTTGCGCGCTGGTTCAGCTCGGCAGCGCGGCTTTGGCTGCCGTTCTCCCAGCACAGCTCCCACCTGTTGCATCTGGAAGCCCTTTTAAAGAACGGGCGACGCTTGTATCAAAACCGTGGTGCGCTGTGCGTGGCTGTCCACACCGTCGCCAATCGCCTCAAAGACCCTCGTGCTTTTTGAGGCGTGTTGGCGTCGGCTATTGGCTCAGTCATGTCTAGCAGGCCATGCCAACGGCACATGATACTTGCGTTCAGACGGGATGCAGCTTTCATTGTTTTTTATCTGCTTGTCCTCGTCTCGGTCTGGCAACTCGATGCCGTTGTCTGGACGACGCCTTGGACCTTGCTTGATGCTCGATGGTTGTGTCTTCTCCGGTTGTATGCTCATGGCCATGGCTGTTTCACGCGTGCCTTCGCGTCGGTTTTTTTTTTCTACAGATGACCAGCCGCAACAAGAAGACCCGCAAGCTTCGCGTATGTTGACTCATCTCATGTCTGAGTTTTATCTGTGTGACTTGACGATTTGCCCAAATGAAGTGGACATGCATATTTTTTTCTCATCATTTTGGGCATTCTCCCGGGCCTCTCTCGTGTAGGGCCACGTCAGCCACGGCCACGGTCGTATTGGCAAGCACCGCAAGCATCCTGGAGGTCGCGGTAACGCCGGTGGTCAGCATCACCATCGCATCAACTTTGACAAATAGTGAGTCGATTTATGCTGGCCAGCACGCGTGCTCGACTGGCAGCTCGCCCGAGCTTGACCATGTTTAATGTTGACATCGCATCGACTGTCACCGTGACGTGTGTGTTGCTTGGTCTCTTGTCTCATCTTCTTCACGTGTTTTCTCTCTATAGCCATCCTGGCTACTTCGGTAAGGTTGGTATGCGTCATTTCCACCTGCTCCGCAACAAGGACCACTGCCCCACCGTCAACATTGACAAGATCTGGACTTTGGTGCCCGAGGACGTACGTACTAGCATTCTCACTTGTGTGCTTCGCTATATTGATGTGGGCCAACGTGGTCTGAGCTGTCATTCCTGTCTCACGTTTTTTTTTATCTTGTGTAGAAGCGTGCTGCCCTCATCAAGGATGCCAAGGAGAGCAACGCTGCTGTGATCGACGTGGTCCAGCACGGTTACTACAAGGTCCTGGGCAAGGGCGAGCTGCCCAAGGCTCCCGTCATTGTCAAGGCTCGCTTCTTCTCGCGCAAGGCCGAGGAGAAGATTAAGGCCGCTGGCGGTGTCTGCGTGACCACGGCATAAATCGATCTTTTGGACCTCCTAATTTTTACTCTCCTTTTCACGTTTCATGCTACGGCTTTGCATCGTTGCTTAAAGTGCCTTGAGACATTAGATTCAACATCAAAAAGCCCAGCTAGGTGCTTGGGGTGCTGGATGACTTTGCTTTGCATTAACATGTAAGTTAATTATGGTGGGGGGATAGGTAAGAATCTGATAAGAATGACATACACACCCACACACACACACACACACACACACACACATCGGAAGCATCAGCACAAGGTAACATGCAGCAACATGCAGCATCATGCAGTCAGGTGTCAGATGACAATCATCGGCAACTTAGGCAGGTGGGGCGACACGGAGTTGAAAGCGAGACGGGAGCTGGGCCAGAATGTCGGCTGCTGGGGGCCGCAATCGGCAGTCTTCTGCCCACATCTGTGTAAGCAGAACCCCAAGTTGTTGCTTGCAAAGGCGCACGGTGTCCCGGCCGATGGTGGGGTCACGACACTCGGCGTGTTGAACCGCGAGTGCAAAGTGCTGTAGAAGCTGCGCTCGGAGGGCGAGCCACGGCGCCTCGTCGGCGCGCGCAGCTAGTTGGCCAATAAAACCTTGGCCCAAAGGGAGGCAATTTTGTGTGACCGTCTCGTACAATACACAGCCCAGGCCCCAGATATCACAGGCCCACCGAAAGCCTTCGTGGAAAAGCTGAAAGTCAAACGCTTCTGGCGGCTGGTAACACACGGTGCCGCGTGGCGTTGAGAGTGGATGGCCGTGGCCTTGCGCTGCACCTGCGTCCCGGCCTGGTCCATGACTGTCAATCCGTGAGGCCTGTGTGCGAGTCCGCGCCGCGGTGGCTGCGGCTGCGAGGGCACGGTCAGAGGCCGAGAGCAGCGACACGGGCGTATCACCTCGACTGGGCTCGGGGAGGAGGGCGGCATGGTCGTAGGTGAACAGGGCCCGCTCGGTATCGGAGAGCAACGTTTCTTCGGTGACATTGTGCAGGGGCGGTGCACAGATGGAGAGAGGCTCGCGCCGAGCGATTCCCCAGTCTCCAACTTTAACAACATCGCGTTCCGGTCCTCGCCGCACCAGCACGTTTTCGAGTTTGATGTCTGCATGAACTACACCTTGGCCATGGGCATAGGCAAGAGCAGCGGCAATCTGTCGGATGGCATCCACCATCCCACCAAAGTCGATGCGGCCCTCAAAAACAGCGTCTGCCAGCGTGCCCAGATCGCACAACTCCATGAGGATGCATACAAAGTTGCCGCCGCCCATGGGCACCTGGTGACCAAAGACATCGAGGTAGCCCAGGATGTTGGGATGCCGCAGGGCCATGAGATGCTTGGCTTCCTCGACAACACGCATCGTGGCTGGAAAGGCAGATGCTTCCGTGCCCACTTGAACCATCTTGAGCGCTGCTGGCTGGTTGTTCACCTCGCAGCGATACACATAACCAAAGCGTCCATTCCTGCAAAAGGGGCACAATTGCTTGGTGAGGATTCGGCAGCCCGAGGGGCGGTGGGGCGCTTGGGGCAGTCCAAAATCTTGTCGAGGAAGAAACGTCAAGCATTGCCTACCCGAGAATCTGGTGGGGCAAGCACTGCACCACACCGCGGTCCAGAAGCGATAAAAGTCGAGCGTGGAGAAAGGCACTGGCGCCCCCGCTGCTCACAGAGCGTGTGCTAGTGGCAGGGCCATCGGCACGTTGCCCAGATCTTGCCGCAGTTGAGGGCGTATCAGTACGCGTGTGCGAAGCAGGGCCTGGATGCGAGCTTGCGCCAGTGTCTGGGTGTACGGGCTCATTTGGAACTGACGAGGCTGAGGAGGCGGCACTGCCGCCCATGCCAAAGGAGGTCACGAGAGACTGTAGCTGTGAACTACTGAGGGTGGCAAGGTCAGCCAGTGTGCGCACATTGACTTCCTCCAAGTCATGAGCTACTCGCGCCAGAGGCAGGTGTCGGATACGCGCCCAGGCATCAGCTAGATGGCGTGCCAATGTGGAGAAAGCGGCGTGAGATTCACCGTCAGCAAACTGCTTTTCGAGAATCGCCTGCACGAAACCGCTGGCTAGATTGGCGTGAATGGAGCGACGCGGGGCGACAGGACCACTGCTGCTTTCACTTCGCAACATATTTGGAGCGGCTTCAAAGCCCGCGCGCAAGCTTGATGGCGGCTCCCTCTGATGGACAAGTAGCGGGGTGGATGACGCTGGACTGGCTTGATCCACGCCAACGTGTGGGGACTCTGGTTGGGCGGGCGCATGCGTCAACGATGCAGCTTGCGGGGTTGCGCTGTCAGCAGGGGCATCTTCATCTAGCACGGGCTCCAGGGGCATGGCTAATTCTTCTCGACAAGACGTGCACAGTCTGAAAATGTCGAGCTGAATTTGGACACCCTCTGCACGCAGCGGCCCCAACTCCTTGGCTGGCTCGAGCTCCACGGCAGCCGTTTCGAGTTCGTCAATTTCAGACAAAAGGGCTGAACGATTGGGGTGGGGCGTCCAAAATACACTGTGGCCCTCATGCGTTTGCTGCTGCTGGTGCTGATAGTCCAGAAGCTCGTGGTGCAATTGCTGGGCTCGCGCCCAGATCGCCTCCAAGGCCAGCAGTACGATGGTGCTGTTGTCACTCAGAGTACGCTCGCGTGAGCTGGGCCAGTTGGTCTGTGGCGGTGTATCGCTTCTTTCAAACGGACCACGACCTGGGCTAGCCTCTGGCGACGAGTGGTGAGGTGGTGCCATGGCTGGCTCACTCCCTACTCCGCTCCCGCCGGTGGCGGCCATGTCCAGCGGCACAGGGTTCGAGGCTGGTCACCCGCTGGCCTGCCCCAAGAGGAGGCTGTCAGTTGCTTTACGCCACGACGCCGCTGAATTGCGTGGCTGGATCAAACACTGAGCCGCTCTCTTGACCCTGATGGAAGAGGAAGCCACAACGCCACCCGGTACTTGACATCCGACAATGTTCCTTCTGTGCTGGTGGCACCTGCGCAAAATACAAACACGACGAAAAAAAGTGTTGTCATCTTTTTTTTTCCAGATTTTTTTTTTTGTTTTGTGACCGTTACAAAAGAAAACTGTGTTCCAAGGGTGGGCAGGTAGCGACGGAGATTTGCGCGTGTGGGGAGACGGTGCCCGCGAGCGTTTTGGTGGCGGTGCGAATGAAGATGGGGGAGCCGGATGTGCAACGGCTTCGCGTGGTTACGGCCAGTGTGGATGGGGTTCAGCAATACTTGCTGCTGCAAATGCAAGGTGCCATCGAGACAGACTATTCTGAGCTGGCGGGCCACGAACTTGGGCAACTGACGGTCACGGGCAAGGTGCGTTGGGGTCTTGACTCGCTTCCAAAGCAACTGGTCGAATGTTGTTGAAGCTCAATGCCTTCAAAGTATGCGGGGCCCTTCTTCTTCTTCGTCTCATGGGAATGTGCCCTTGAACATAGTCTGCTGAACTCAAGATTGGGAATCATCTGTTGCGGGTACGCGGTGCATCACGCAAGGCGTCTGTCTTGTGCCGGAACGACCGAGCTTACATTTGCACCCGTGTTGGTTTGTTCCAGGGGAAAATGCGTCCTCTTGAAAAGCCCATGGCCGTCATGCGCAAGGTCTGGATCTCGCGCGGGGCCTGTCCTTTCGTTGCCTGAGCTACACGTTGTAGCAGTCACCAGTCTTTCTTGTTGTCGCCTCAAAACTGATGTCTCTATCGGCTGAGGTCAGACTGTAGTTCCCGTTGAGGCGGCAATCGGCGCCATGGAGGTGGACGACATGGGTCCGGGCCATGATGCCAACGTCAGGTATGTGGTAGCTGGTTGGAAGATGGTCTTGGCGTCTGCTGCAAGCGCAGCTGTGCTGACCAGTCTTCTGACCTTGTCTGGAGACACAGGACGGAGTACCACGTGGAGGCGATTGTACGTCACAAGCTCATGTTTAGTTTGCGGCCTCGGCCTCTGGTGTCCCAGATCTGAAGGATTTTGACGTGGCCAACGTATGGTGTCAGAATGTTGGTTTCAAAACGGGCTGTGCCCCTTTGCATATTTGTGTCTGTGTAAATTGTGTGTGTGTGTGTGTGTGTGCGCGCGCGTTTGAATTGGATGTCGAGCGTCATGTCTAGCCTTTTGATTGTAGTATCAAGGACAAGGTGCGAGCAGTGGTGGGCTCTACACGGCCCAGGACCTGATCGCGGCATCAAGGCCAAGGTGCAAGCATCGGTAGGAAAGTTTATTCACATCGCATGCGTTAGGAGCGTCGGCCTCCATTTGGTTTCTATCTCCCAGCCGCGCGCACGAAGATGAAGCAAACGATTCAGTGAGAGCCTTTGATCCAAGCGCAAGCAGTTTTCGTCTCTTCCAGCATGTGAAAGTCGATTGGCAGAAGCAGGGCCACAGCACGAACCAAGTGCGCGGGGCGATTGTCCTTGCGCAAGTTTTTCTGTTTGGAGCGCTTCTTCGGGCGCTTGCGCTTGGGCTTTTTAGCATCTGCTGTACGGTATGCCAGCGGCCGGGGCAAAAGATGAGGGGTGTGACCATCCGTTCGTGCTGCCATGGCATGTCCGCAACAGGGCAAATGACGGACCGGCCGTAGTATCCGCCGTCTCGTCCTTAGCTGCTTTCGCCTTCTCCTTTGGGGCGGGGGCAGCAGGGGCAGTTGTGGTGGGGCTGGGCTGGGCAGGTGCGTCGGCTGTCTCCTGCATGGCTTCATCGCGCCAGTCCGACTGCCAGTTGGTAGCAAAGGCATCCTGTTCTGCATCTGCATCGAAGGTAGGGTCACTGAATGGGTTTGGGCCGGCGGGGGCGGGGGTGGACGTCGTCTCGGCCTCCTTGTTGTTGCGAGCCTGTCGTTTCTTGCGACGTTTTGCGGTTTTCTGATGCCAGGGGCGGTGTATCATGAGGACCATCAGCAAAGACTTTCTTAGCGATCAGTACGGCGCTACAATGACTCACAACCACACAACCACATGGGCGTGCTCGTGCTCGTGCTCGTGTGTGTGTGTGTGTGTGTGTGTGTGTGTTGGGTATGGTTCACACCTCGGCTTGTTGTTCACGCAGTTGATCAACCACATCCAACTTGGGCTGAGCTTTGGTCACGGTCGCCAGCTTGGACTCCTCATCGATGGTCGTCTGCGTCACATCTATCGAGGAGCCGCACGGAACGGATAGGGGGCAAAGGTGGATTTCAGCAGTCAGGACCAGCTTGCCAGCGAGGCGACAAGTACAAGGTGCGCCTGGCTCAATACGAGCACAGATGATTGGCTATGAGTGACCTCAATGCGTTCACCACGCACCATCTTCCTCCTCCTCGGCTTCGTCACGGCGCTGTCGGCGCTTGGCGCGGTGCAGACCCTTGGCGACGGCCTTGGTGGCTTGGGAAGGAGCCGGTTCCGCTTGGGCCCCAAGCCCGAGCTTCCCACGATGAATCTGAATGACAGGAGTCGAGGCTTCAGCCGATGAAGCTTGAGCAATGGGCTCGGCAGGTTCATCGGCGCCAGCCTTGTGTCGCTTGGCTGCCAAGCGCGCCTTGAGCTTGTTGGCCGCGAGCGAGGCCATGCTGCTTGGGTTGTGGGGGGATGATGTTGTGAGAGAGTGAGGGCCTGAGCGATAGTGTGCTCTTTTCCGCACTTTCAAGCAACATCAGTTGTCAGATACTAATAGTTTATAATTTCTGTCTGACATGATGATGGCTGCTGGCGGCTGAAACTGCGGACCTTGGAGTGCTGTGTGCATGATTCGGGGCCGTGCACCCTGCCGACAGCGCAGCTTTTGATTTGATAATGCAGGTTCCGGACTGAAAAGGGGCCGTTGATAGCATGGTGTTGCCGAACGGTACGGGAGGTTGAGCTGAGCTCCACCCTGGTTTTTCATTTTCCCAATTTTTTTTTCCAGTGGTCGCCCCACAGTCTGAATCAGGTCTTGTGCTTGCGTTGCCAACCCAGTTGCCGAAGCTCTTTCTTTGGCTAGTCCGCTCGGGTCCCCATAACCGTCGCGCTCGCTCTCACTCATTTTTGTTGTCCCTACAGCTGCCATCATGTTGGAGTTGACTCGCGAATCCTTTGACCTGCTCGTCAAGACGGACCCGGTACCGCATGTTTTGGTGGATGCGCGCTGCCGCAGCGACTCGAACGATTTGACCGTGCCAGCATCGACCGTGGTGGTCAAGCCAGCGGCCTTTCAGACCAGCATGCTGCCCGAAGACGGTTGCGTTTGCATTGTTTACGACGCAGAGCCCGCCCTGGTCGACACCGGAGCCCTCGCGTGCGTTCAGTTCAACATCAATACTGCAGCCCGTGAGCATGTGCCCGAGCTTGAGGAAATATCTTGCGACACCGTCACGGAGCAAGGTATGTGCCCATGTGGGCGTCTATGGCACAGCATCCGTGTTGTTGGCCACCTGTTTCCCTGCGCTTGGTTTAAGTTTCTCTTCTCATGGCTTCTTTGCTTTTTTTTTTTTTCCGGCCCAGGCGAGCAGAATTATGTGCTTGACGTTAGGCGCACTGACGAGGTCGACAACTTTGGCAAACTGCCCCACGCTGACTCCATTCCTCTGCACTTGGTACTGCAGCAGCTGAGTGCGGATGACAAGTCACCAGCCTTGACCAACATGTTGAGAAATGACAGGACCATCATTGTACGTCGTGTTGAGTGATTCAATAGCCCTCTCTTGGCACAATGGGTCTTGGGGGTATGGCTCACGCTGCTGGCATTTGCACCTCGTCCTTAGGTGGGCTGTCGCACAAATCGGCGGGCTCGCTTCATGACGCAGATCCTGCTGGATATGGGCATGAAGAGTGTCAAATTTATCGACAAGGGTGCCTGTGGCTGTTCGCAAATCCCGTCAAACGACATGAAGTGCTATCCTTCATATGAGGTGTCAGATCCTGTCCCTGCCCCTAACAACTAGCTCCAGCCTCTGCGAGGCCACGCATCCTGCTGCCACATTGCTCCAACGCGCAGTTGCAGTTTGCGCGTTAGTAAAAGGTGGAAACCGCATGTACTATCTTGCTATATAAAACCCCAATACTCAAATCGAAAAACCAATTCAACGAACCAAAAAGTGTCAAGGTGGTGAGCTAGCAAAGCAGTGCCGTGTCAACATGTTGTTGTCGGACCGGAAAAACAAAAACAAAAACAAAAAACAAAAAAAAAAAATAGACGATTGATTTGATACATTCATACGGGGTCTCGAACTACGGTCCGAAGCGTCCGTCAGCTGGGTGGTAGCTAGCGGTTACTTGATAAATTTGTCCATAAACTTGCGATGATACTCGCTGCGCAAGGTGTCGTTTACGAACGTTTCCTTCTGTCCAAGTCAAGGCCAAAAAACCAGGGTATTCGAGATGAGGCGAGTGCCAACAAAAAAATAGAGAGTTGGCTGGTATTCAAAAGAGAAGAAGAAGAAGAAGAAGAAGAAGAAGAAGAAGAAGAAGAAGAAGAAGAAGAAGAAGAAGAAGAAAAAAGCCTTCGAAAAGCACATGCATCAAGGCCTTCACGGCTGAATCAGACGCACCTTGCCACGCTCTTCAACCTTGGCGCAATTCTTGAACACGACGTCGTCATCCCATCTAGGCCACCACAACGAGGGCTGAGTGAGCCCACCAATCTCGAATGCGACAAGACTGAGACAAAAAAAGTTAACGTGGATGGGATGAATGTAGAAACACACCGACGCTTGACGGTAAAGTCTGAGGCTTGGCCTCGCAAAAGAGGGTTGCCTTGCAAGGCGGATTCACGGCGCTGCTCTTCGTCAGCCGCGATGCGCTCCGTGTCCTGAATCAAGAACATCATGAGCGCGAACCATGAGGCTTGGGAGCGAGGTCGGTACAAACGCTTTTGGGTGATATGACATGGTGTCGATGCACAAGGGCGGTGGGTGCGGCGAGGTGCTGCTAACCTTTCGCGCCTGTTCATCGGCACGCTCCCTTTTGATCTTTTCGAGCTCGGCAAGGAGCAGCTCTGTATCATCGTCGTCATCACTGTCGCTCTCATCGCTGTCGCTGTCGGCGTCGTCAGCGTCATCGTCATCGTCATCTGCATCTAGGGCATTGGCTTCAATGTGGGTGATGCGGGGTCTCTTCTCAGCAGGAAGTCCGGTACGCCCTTCTGTAATGGCTGCGAGACCTTCTGTCGTGACCAAAGACAAGAGCCAAGCAAGCATCGAATGCAAGGCACGAGACCCGGGGAAAGGGCGACAAGGGACGCTGGTGAGTCACATATAGATGATAGGGCAGCTCTTGGTCGGATGCATTGCGGGAAGAGGCGAGTCGTATGCTAGGAGGGTTGCACCGAACCAATTTTCTGTTGTTCCTTGAGCTGCTTCTCGTGGTGTTCGCGTTCGCGATCTTCCAACTCTGAGCGAAAGTCTTTGAGCGAGTTTTCAAACCGCGTGCCTTGGCCTTCCTCACTGTCACTCGCAATGGTTGGTCAAATAAAGACGCAGACGTGCATGGGGGACAATAGAAAGCAAGTCCATGAAGGGTAAACGGGTGCATGGGTCCTGGTTCAAGCCACTCACCGAACTTTGAGCTTGGTGTGGGCGACCACGTCACGGACTGAGTACTGCTTGGACATGGCTCCCAAAGAGCTGTCGTATTTGCCCGTGCCACCCTGGGCCGGGGTCCATGTTGGGCGATGTGCTTGGAGCGAGGCAAGCAGAGGTCAGGGATATGCAGCTTGTCGGGACACGCGAGCAAGTAGGATGGACAGGTTTAAGCGCGCATCCCCGGGGTCAGGGCGTACCGGTCGTCATGTCGTTGGTCGGAAAGGAGCACGCCGCAACAGCAGGGGCTTATTGACAGACACGAGCGTGTCTGACGCGCGGCACTTTAGCAAGAACACTTTTATCCGCACAGTCTACCAGTTGCGGGCGTTGAGGAGAGGATGTTGCGTCGTATTTGTTTGGCCACCAAACCGGCGGCTGGCGGGTCGATCGAGTTGCTTGAGGTCACACAGGTGGCTGACCTGAAAAAGAGAGAGATGCTCGCTCACGAAAAGCCTGCAGAGCGCCACAACAGTTGTTCTACTACAGTTTATAGGCGACGGCGATATACTACCAAATGTTATGTCAGACACTCACCGGCGGATGGGTTTCTATATTTACCCCTCTATTATTTAAGAAGTTGCATCAGGATCTGGGTGCCGTGATGCAAAGTTGCACAACGGACAGAATTGTAACGAGAAAACGCATGGGCCAACATGATGAAAGACTTCCTCAAGCCGATTTCATTGTTCCAGAGCCTAAACCTACACTCAAATGCACAATCAAGGGCTTGTTGAGGCAACATCGCAATCACGTAGCTTTCTTTGAAAGTGCGTGGAACAGACCATCTTGCACACGATTGACGGCATCCAATCATCAAGCCCATTTCTCAAGAAATCCCATACTTTTCGCGACACCATTAAAATGTTAACCAGAACAAAGGACGTTTGTGGTCGCTGCCTCTTCTGGCGCTGGCGCGTTTGAAGCTGATGGTGTACTCCTTGACGCAGTGAACTGGGCGGCTGGAACAGACATTATCTGGAAGCTCGAAAGCAGCCCTCACGCAACCTTCCCATCAACATGGAAGGAGCCCACCTTCCCTTTCTTCGCTCGAACTGATGCGGGCTCTGATGCTGATTCCAGCGACGAGGCGCGTGCTCGATCGGTTTGGTTCAAGCGGCCAGTGCCTTTGGAATGTAACACATGTAACTTGGCCACCCGTCGGTGTGTAAAGGGGTTTGGTTGACGTCATGCATACGTCCTATGATCCTGACGGACAGCGTCATAGATTGGCGTGGGGAAGAAAAATCAATAATCTCTTCGCCTTGGTATGCTATGGGCCAAAGAAAAACGACAACGACTCGCCGTCTCCCAACATATCCATGCCCGCCCGCGCCGCTGTTTGTGCTCGTGCCGGCGTGACTTTTGAAGCGAATTGGACACTTGTGTTCAATAGGGATATCCGCCAAAGCAACCTGCTGCTGCCCACTCTTGTTTGCTCTGCTCGTAGGAGCTTGTGGCGTGCCCTTCTCTCTCTGCGGCCTGTTCAACGCCCGGGGCACCACCCTCCCTGTCGCTGCTGCACTTGGCACAAACAAACCTTCAACTGCAGGCTTCTGGTCTGGTCCACAGTATCAAGCCGAGACGATGAATGTTTGTTTGTCGCGGCTGCTGTGTAACCAAACCAGCTTGCAGCGTTTGGCAGTTTGACGTGCGTCTTACCCTTGTCAAAGTTGACATGGCATCTCTTCGCTACCGAAAGCATGCTTTCTTCGATACCAAGCCATCATCCCCTTCACCCACAGATCCCACTCGTCGGCTTCACGTCAAACACAGCCCTTCTGCGGTAAGGCATTCATGATGCTTTCAATCAGCCCCTTCCACCCTTCTTCACTCACCCTTTTGTTTGTTCGGGTGGAAGATCACCACGCCTTGTGGTGTATTGGGCCTGTCTGTTGGCGGGGTGTGGGTGGGTGGGTGGGTGTTGGGGGGATGGCTGGGAGGGTGGAAAGGCTTGCATGAGGTTCCATGAGGCTTCATTTTCCTGTTCAGCCGCCCCAACTCCAACATCAAAATCACACTGCGCAGCCCATCCAGTTTCCCGACCATCACAGTCGTCAGTCACTGGTGGCCGCATTCCACAGACTTTGATCCACCGCAGCTCGAAACATCAATTGCGTAGTCGTTGCCTTTGCGCGCCATCCCAACCTCTGCCACCCAACTTTCTCTCTCCCTTGTTGTTGGCTTCCACGCCATTTGGTCTTCGTCTTGCATATCGGTTGATTTACTTGTTGGGTCAACAAGTAAACCCTCTTTTCTCCTCATCAACCCACTGACGGGGCCATCAATCTTGGACCCCCTGCGCCTCCTCCTTTCCGGTCGTCCTTATCGTCACCCTCGGGTGGTCGGATTGAGCATTTTCAAAACCAGCTCTCTCACGTCCATCACCCACCAGTTCAACCTGCTGACTGCTCTGTGTGTGTGTGCTGATACGCGCGACCCATTCAAAACCTCCAGTCATGATTTGCGATCCCGACTTTGCTCCAGGCAGCCAAATGTGCTGGCACCATCTGCGCAGCAGCCCACCCCTTCTGGGCGCTTCAAACTCAATCCGTTCAGCCAAGGCCTCGGCCACCACCCGCAACACTACCGTCATTCCCTTTGATGCCAACGCTCAACTGGTCTCTGGCCTGCTCTCCTCCAACGTCTTTGTGGTCACCAAGGCTCTGCAGGCTGGGGCTGATATCAACCTCAAGCTGGCCGACACCCCCGCCTTTGAGTACCCTCTGGCCATTGCCATTGCTCAGTGCCTTTGCCCCCACTGGGTGAGCTTGGTCTGTGATTACTATCAGCCCAACACGGCCAAGCGCCACAAAACACTCGGCGTTCAGGAGTATCGCGATGAAGTCTTTGCCGTCTCTCGATCGCAGTTGACTTCTCAGACACAAATTAACCCTCTCCGCTGCCTCGAGCTCATCTTGGCTGCTTCCGACCTCAACGTCGATCAGTCCTTTCACAATCAGGCCATGCACGTGACCTCCCCGCTCCTCCTTGCCGTATCCCACCGCGATCTGGCGCTCGTCAAGCTGCTCCTCGACCACGGGGCTGCTGCGCATACCACCACAGGCGATGCCCTTGCCATGGCCATTGCGGCCGGTGAGATGCTCATGGCCGACGAGATGCTGCGCCGCCTGCCCAGTCTCTTCACTGCCCCTTTGGCCTATCAACAAAAGTGGCGCTCAACGTACACGCTCTGGCTCAACGCCGCTGCTCAGCTTGGCTTGCTGTCGACCGTCATGCTCTGCTTGCGCCTTGGTGCCCCAGCCCTCCTGGACCGCAAAGTTTCAAGCAGCATCGGCCTGCTGGCCTCACCCCGTGAGGGCTCGACTGATCACTTGATGGACTTGACACACAAGCTCGTCGACTGCTTTGCCGAGCATGGTAGCCAAGCCAGCCTTCAGTGGAGCTGCTTTCTTCGCGCCGCGGAACAAGGTCTCCTGGCCTCCCCCGCCATGCAGCGCATGGTCACTCAAATTCTCGGCGATCGCGTGCGTGCCGCCATGGCCGTGCTTCAGCAATGATCAAGCTTGAGCGAGGCCGCTCGGTTATTTTTCGTCTGTTTTCTTGTTGGTTTTTTTTTTTTTATCTAAACATGCTGGTCATGTGGTATTTTCTTCATCCCTTTCATCTTCTTGTTACCTCTCGTTGAACGAGAGAGGCCATCCGTTGTTGACACACTTGGCTCTCATTCGAGTTTTTTTTTTTTATTGTTATTCGCAAAGGCTTCTGCTTTTCCATTCCTCTTTACCTTCGAATTCGAAGCGATCAGGCGCTAAGCGCCCCTGGAACCATTTTTCAATGGGCAGAAATCGATTCTCAATCCTGATCAAACCTATTTTTGTTTTCATCATCATCCAAAATCTTTATGGTGTCTTTACAGCACAGCACAGCACAGCACAGCACAGCACAGCACAGCACAGGGTTGTTTTTGCAGGCGCATGCCGGCCCCCAAGCTTTTGGCTGTTACAGGTTGGTGACGCACTTCTGGCGGTTTCACTCTCACTCTCACTCTCGAATGCTTACACTCTATGGAGGGCCTCTTGAAGCTTCGAGCCTGCGAGCCGAACACCAACGTCATGCCTTCTCGTGTCATTGCTTGGGGAAGCGAGGTCTTACTCCTGCGAGGGTATTGCATCTGCGTCAGAAAAACGGCAGCGATACGCTCACTGCATTCTTGATCTGTATCATAGTGAGAGAGAAATCACACTGTCGCAGAGAGCCGTTTCGTTGTCCGTTTCGACTCGAAGCACCACCTCACCATCACCCCATCACCATCAGATCAGCCTCACTCCTCCTCCTGTTGAACACAACGGGTGCCTGCTGTGCCGAGGCACGCCAGGGGCTCACGTGTGACGCAGCGGTGACATCTTGCTAGTGATCCGTGCGACCGGATCACAGGCGCTGTAACCTGGCCGGTCCTCTCATCTCCCCCTCTTGGGCCGACCGCGAGCAAGTTGGGAGCTTGTTGCCAGCAAGGAGCTGTGGGATCAAAGGGAGATTGGACTTGGCCACTTTCGGCACCAGAGGGGGGTACACTCGGTGGTCAAGCGCCTGGCGGGGCTCACGCAGGGTCCGTGCTTGCCGCTGGCCCAGGGACGCATCCCCTGACGGGGTGGTGGGGCATGGTCAACCTTCTAGATATGGCCCTGCACGGCGAGCTTCTTTACGCCTGCGAGGCGAGCATCCTCCCCACGCCAGGTATACCGAGCATCCCCCCGATCAGGGGGCGAGCGATCGCTGTGTCCCCCTCATCATAGCATCCGAGACGATGGCGACCATCGCCATGGTGTCCCAACGCTCTTGCTCGCTCGGGACCCAATACTGCCTTGACATATAGAGACAGAGCTGACCCTTGCGGTTGTTGTGCCAACCTCTCGCTGGATGTTTCGCTTGCAGCCGTGATCCCGCCCCTTGGAGAGCCCGTGACCCTCGATGCGAACCAGCCGGGCCAAGTGTTATTTGCCGGTGGAGGTCGCGTGACCAGCAGATCTGCCCAGCGCGTCACGCCGCGGCAGGCCCGACACGCGCGCACACGCAACAACGCTGCCGCTGTTGGTCAGTCAAACGCCAATTATCATAAGCCTGCTTTTCGTCAGCACCCTGAACATGGCCTTAACCCACGCGCTGCCGGTGCTCGCTTTTTTGCAGCCACCAAAACTACGTATGACGTCCATAATCTATTGTGGGCCTGTGCTCAGCTGGGGCAACAACAGCAGCAACAGCAGCAGCAACAAGAAGCTCCGGACCATGAGCTCGAGGGCGACGTAGCGGCAGATGCACCCTTTGCCTTCTCCTTTCGGGCTCGCCTCCTACCTCAAGATGCGCAGGCCTCAAAGCCGCATTTGACTGATGTTCCAGCTCCACCCCATATCTTATTGCTCCATATCCAGTTTACCGGGCCCACCTTGACCTTGGGTCAGCAAGTGTGCCGCCGTCGCCTGTTGCCTGCGCTGCGCATTCTTCTCACAGCCCTCAATTCTTGGCGACTGTGCAACCGCCATCATTCAAAACCACTGGCTGTGCTTTGGGACGAGTTGCACAAACACCAGCCGTTGTCTCCAGACTCTGTCACCTTTGTACGAGCCCACCTGCTCGACCCGAGCGAGCACTGTAATACCTTGATCGACGTGTATGCGCTCTCCCAAAAGGCGCACGTTGTCTTTGACGAGCCACATCACATCCTGCCCGCCTCGCTCGACCAGTCGTTCACGGATGAGCCCCGCCTGGATACGCTACCCGCGGAGATTCTGCGACGCATCGCAGCCTTCCTGCCCGCTCGTTCGCTCAATGCCTTTCGCTGCACTTGCCGCGCTGCTTACCACGCCACGGAGGACTGGGTACCAGGCTTGCGAAACGTCAAACTCTTCCCCCACCAAATCCGTAGTGTCAAGTGGATGCGCGCCCGTGAAGCTGGTTTACACGGTCGCTTCGATAGTCCACAACACATGCCCGTGGCTGCTCGCTTTGTTCAACACCAGGAACGGCACGGATGGCAGCATATTTTCTTCGTCGATGCAGAGACTGGCAACGTCGAGCCCTCACCCGAAACCCGCCAGTCATCTCGTGGCGGCCTACTCTGTGATGATCCCGGTAAGCCAACAAGACAACTCGGCGCAACCGTCCGCGCGTCCGCGTCGCGGCGTCTAATTTCACCCACCCCTCACCCGATGTGGTGCGATCTGGGTTATAATGCCTGGTGCTATTCATGGGTGTGTACATCGCGCGCAGGCCTGGGCAAAACATTGTCCATCATTTCTCTCATACTCAGCAGCCACCGAGACCGATCCACTGCCGGCCGAGAAATCGACCACAAAGCCGAGCACTTTGCGCAACTTGGTACGTTGGAATGCACGTCACTCTAACCGAGATTTCGCTGGGTTCAAAGCGTGGATGCGGATGAGGTCGTAAAGGGGTCGTAAATGGTCCGTGCATGCCGAAAACACAACCGTGCGACACTGATGGCATGATTTATCACGCCAGGTGCTCGATTTGCTGCCTGGCCAGACCTGGAGCGGGACGAATTTCAGTGTCAGCTCTTGGGTGTACGCTGCCGTCCTCGTCCCCATCTAGTGCTGTGTACATCATCCGTCCTCAAGTCTGTGCCCACCTGTCTAGCTTGCTAACACCTGTCTCGCAACAATGCTTTCGTCGTGTTAGGCCTTTCGGCGCTTTATGAAAGAGGAGGCACGAATGCGCGGCATTGATGAACGTGCGTACACCCTGTCCCAAGCACACACTCCGCTGGCTCTTTGACGAGCCAAGCTCGTGGCGTTGTCTGCCCACACCCACCCGAGTGGGGGTGTTAGGATTGATTTGTGGGCTTGATTTCATCACGATGCTTGCATCTCGCACAGGTTTATTTGACGAGCCCGTGGACCTGTCGCTCTATCCAGACTACACCCATACGGTTACTCGACCGATCGCTGTGCGTAACATTCGAGATCGGCATTACACATCTTTTCAGGTAATGGATCTGGATGAGGCGCGCGCACGCGCGCGTGCACCGTGATCGCATGATTCAGGCCATGAGAGGTCCTTGATGGCCCCGACGACCATGATCTCCCAACCCCACCGTGATGGCTTGATTTTGTGCGCGCCCCCGCGACAGGCGGCAGGCACAAGACTAACTTGACCCTGCTCCCTCATGTGGATGCACGTGACCAGGCTCTGTATGATGACCTTCAACTCATGCTGGCCAATGGCGCACAATACAATCACGGCACCCCGATCCAAGAACTGTGTCTTGTGCTCCAGCAGCGCTTGCACGAACACATCCTGTCTCTCCCGATCGATCGCCGCGCCCGCCGGGTACGTTCATAAAGGCAATGTCTGCTGATTGACATCAACACCATGCGTTGGCAGCTTATTCCCGCTTTTGGCCAACTTGTTTAGCGCTCAGGCCGGGTCGACGTTCGGCCCATGTACAACGCCACGCTCATCATAGCTCCAACCTTGGATTTGGCCCGACACTGGGAGCACGAGATTGATGCCTACACTGCTGGCCCTCACGTGCTGGGTCGCGTAAGTCTCACATACATCACATCCACACTTTGCACAGCAGATGGAGCTGGTATCCCTCACTGGAGTGCCGGGCGTCTTTAGACCTGCATGCTTTTGAACACACGCGTGCTTCCAGAGACATTTGAAGACTACGGCGTTGTCATCACCACTTTGCACACATTGAGCCGCGTGTGTAGCCTGCCACACCACTATGACCTCTTTCATCAACGTCGTTGGCACCGCATTGTAGTGGATGAAGGCCATACGCTAGGCAAAGGTTTGTCAAGCTCCCACGGAAACTTCCTGGCGTGGGAAAGGCAGGCCCGACTCAGATCGCGTGCTGCACAAAGTTGGTCCGTAGACAGGGGCACAGGTGTTTTGCTTTTTTGTTCAACACGAGACTAACGCAGCCTGCTTATGCCATGCCGGGCCCGGCACGTTTGCTTCTGTGTGTGCAGGAGTTCAAAGCCGAGCACGGGAGGCCATTCAAAGCTTGGGTACGGATCACATGTGGATCGTCTCTGGTACTCCAACGCCAGACTTGTTGGCCAGCAGCGGTATCGACTTTATTCGGGGATTACTTATTGTGAGTTGAGTACCTATTTGTCGCATGTCTCCTGATGATTTCATGGTGCGGCGTCCTTTTGCTCTCATGTCCCAAATTGACCAGCCATTGCCTTGTCTCATGCGGCATTGTGCACTCCACTTGCTGGACTCATTTTTTGCTGCAGACCCTGCGAGAGCCTCCCTTTTGCGAGGGCAACACACGCAATACATTTCGCAACTTGCTGACACGGCCGTTTGAGCGCCATTTGGCGACGGACAGCGTGTGGCGATTGGCACAAATGCTGCAGCGCTGCATGGTGCGGCATTCCAAGCTGGAAACGATGCGCAACGTACCGCGGCCTGTCTGCGAGACGATCCTTTTGCCGCTACAACATCACGAGTGGCGCTCCTACAACACTTTGCTCTCATTCTTACGCGGCAATATTGTCCTAACCTCACTCGTCGGTGCGTACGGCGCGTGGGCATATGGTGTGGGCTTGAGCCGCTAGGCCGTGTTGTAGCGGGTCTGGCTCCGCCCAAACTCTTAGTTGGGCCTCTACCGCTTGCCGTCGAGCTGATGTCAACGGCGGCGGTATGCTGTTTTGGCTGGATAGGCAATGAGATTTCCGGCAAGCAAGACTCCATTTTGGAGAGCCCGCGGCACTTGCGGGAGGCCATGGAGAACTTGCGCATCATTGCCAACGGCATGTGGCTTTACGTGGTGCGCGTGACAGATGGTATGGCAAATGCCTTTGGACACCATGCCAGCTGTCTTGCAGTTCTTCAGGGGTGAACGAACAAGCGGCACCTCAATGTGCATGCTCTGTTCTGGTGCCCGCTTCGTAGTGAACGTTCGAGAGACCAAGGAGATGATGGAGGCGTTTGGGCTGAGTACTGAGCGCATTGCTGCCTTTGATACCTACATCCACGAGCTGCGTGCCGGACGGACCTCGGTCGTTTGCCAGCAGTGCCACATTGGTGTTCCAATGTTGATGGTTCTGCCGTGCTGTGGCTTGCTAGTGTGCTTTGAATGCGTGCAATCTGGGTACGTTGAACAGCTGAGACTGACTCGGGTGGTGCTCGAGTTGATATTCTTATGGAAAAGGGGAGAAGATTAAAGCGAAAGCAATACCCCTCACCCCCTGCCTTTTTTTTTTTTTTGTTTATTTTTTGATCTTTTTTTCAATTTGATTTTTTTGCTTGTTTCTCGTTTCCCTCACGCCACTGCGATTTTGGTGTCACGTGTGCATGGCCTTTTGTGTAGGCGCTGCCCTTTTGGCTGTGCGCACTTTAATGTGGACAACCTTCAGCGCTTACAGCCAGGTCTGGAGCTGAGTGACACGCGGGAACCAGCAGAGGTAGAGCACACCTTTCCCTTGGGCCACTATCGACGCTGCCTGCCGCGATTTGAGCAGGCCATGCAAGCGCAGCGCGCTCAGGCCACGCCAGAGAGTAGCGATCCACAAAACCCTTGGCATGTGCTGGACATGCAGCGTATATACGGACACGTCCTGCAGGGCAGCCAGGATGGCGTGCGGTCATCCCCCCACTTGCCCGTTGCTAGCGAGGGTCTGTTACCGGATCTCAAAGCGGAGAACGTAGCCTTGGAGCATAGCAAGGTGGCGCATATCGTCTTGAGCTTTGCCCAGCACGTGGCGCCCTTGGAGGAGCGGGCGCGCAAACTGGCACAACACGAGTATAGCCAATTACTCATGCGGCGCGACCTGGAGGACCGGTTGGGTCAAGCCGAAGGATCAGATCTATCAGGAGCGCGGGTTGCGAATGGTGGCGTACTCGGGGCCGGTGTACCCGAGGCTAAACGGGTCCGGTTTACAACAGATGCACATGAGCACAGCGGGCTCACTCCTGGAGGCGGTGCCGATCCAGCACTCACGAAGGCAGCGCTGGCTGCGTGTGCCAAAGAGTCGGACCTGCCCCTCCGTCACCGCTGGCGCTGGTTGGTGCAGTTGATGCGAGAGCAGCACATGCCATATAAAGCGATAGTTTATTCGGCACAGCGCAATACATTGGACAACACGTACTTTCGGCTGCGCAGCTTCTTTGGTGACAAGGCCTGTGCCATGTATCGAAGCCAGCAGAAGGATGTGCATGAGATTCGGCGCTTTCGCCAAGACGACCAGTACGAGAATCGCACGAGTGCTGCTGCTGGGATTCAGGGAAGAAGGCCCAAAATGCGTTGTGGCAATTGGTCGCGTGTCAGGCTCACCTGCCACCCATGTGCACCCAGGTGCGCCTTTCTATGCTTGGCGCAGGAGGGAGCGGTGGGGTTGGACTTGCATTTCGTGACCCACATCTTTTTGTTGGAGGAACCCGTCGATAAGGTACGCCTTCACCTCACCCTGTGATGAAGAGGGATGTGCAATTACTCGCAAACCTCCTCACTCTCTACGCATCCACTTATGCGTGTGTTTGTGTTAGTCCTTGGAGGCGCAGGTGATTGCACGCGCCTGGCGAATCGGTTGCAACCAGGTCGTTCACGTCCAGAAGGTGAGACGCCTTTGTGGTGTTCAGCTGAGTTGCGCCCATCCCTGCTTTAAATCATAACAAACACAAACCCTGTTGTCGTCTCGTGCGCTTGTCGAAATGGGTGGGGATGTCTTGAGCCGTTGGCGCATCTTAACACCAGCCTGCACTCGTGCGCGCGCATATGTGGACGCAGTTGGTGATGGCGGAGACGGTGGATGACTTGCTCTGGCGCATCAACTCAGGCCAGGACCCGGCGTTTGAGGAGGACATGGCAGCCACCCAAGGGGATCAAGACGCAGAAGATGCCACGGAATATGATGGTACAGATGCGCGCAAAAGCACGGCGAAGAAGGATCGACGCAAGTCCTCGACCGTGCGCACCTGGGCCTTGGATGCTGTCAAGAGTCGATACATTCTCAGCCATATTGGCTTTGTGCGTCGTCCCGAATTTCAGGCGCAGCATCGTTTCTGACTTTGATTTGTCAGCATGAAACGCTGACATTGACCGAAGCTGCTTTGAGAAATCAGGAAGCGCTTTGCCACCACTTAATCGACCCCAAACAATAGCATTTTTTGCAGAGTACTCTTACACATGTAACCTCATTTGGGTCCCCGGCGCTACCACCAGATATTCTCCATCACATTTGGTATCCTTCTTTGTGCCGATTTTGTTTTGTTGTACCCTCCCATACCTGTTGTGTGTGTCTCTCTCTCTCTCTCCTCTCTCTCCACACACACACACACACACACACACACACACACACACACACGGATTTGAGCGCCGGTTTGTCTGTCCATTTGCCACCTTGTACTCTTGTTTGGCAGCCGCATCAGCGCTTGGTCCATCATCCGCTCTTCCAAAGGCGCTGTCTGCACGTCACTGATTCAGGTGGGTACTTGCCTCTTTCTCCTCTCGCCTCTTACTTACAGGCATCGAACTTAGAGGTGTTATTATTTTCGCTCGGCATGTCGCTCAAAATGCTGCTGCACACACCGTTCCTCTTGAAGCTCCGACTCGTGTGGTCCCAGCCAGCCAGCCAGCCTTGACTGCGCACCGCCATCATGTCTGCTGCTGGTGCCGTGCGCGTCGCTGTGCGCGTGCGCCCTATGAACTCGCGGTATGTTTTCATATCACAGCCGTCGAGCTGATTGCCCCGAATCTTCCAAATTCCTGGACCAGCTCAGCTGGCTCTGTTCTTTGCGCTCGCTCTGCTCCCTGTACCCACCCTGGCCACATGCCCCTCGCCTCGATGGCCCATCCTCACTGTTTGGCACGCGGAATATGTATGGTGCGCATGGCACGCAACGCGATCCGACGCAGCGAGCATAAAATGAACGCCAAACTCATTGTGGACATGAAAGGCCAGCAAACCACCCTCTCAAACCCGGTTTGTTCATCCTGCAGTCAAGCTTAAGCGGCAAACAGTGCGCCATTTTGGCATGGATATGACAACTCGTGGGACTCATGGCCACCGTCATGTTTGCTTAGCATGCAACTGGCCAAGAAGACATCAAAAAGTTTACCTTTGACCATTCGTATTGGTCCTACGACCGCGACGACTCCCATTATGCTACTCAGGACCAGGTCAGTCCCAAGCATTGACCATGAGTCGAGGGTCCTCGCTTCCACCTGATATCCCCCCCCACACCCGTGGCCATGTCTTCACTCGCTTGCTGAATGGCGTCTCCCTCCGATACACCTAGGTCTTTGATGACTTGGGTGGCGACGTCCTCCAGGCCGCCTTTGATGGTTACAGTAGGTTCCACACTTGTACCATCCCAAAAGTCGAGAGCCTTGGGTCTCATCATCCAGTCTGGATATCATGCTCTGTCGTTGTTTCCTCTCGCTGATTGCCTGTTCCCTCCTGTATCTCCGTGCCCCGCAGACGCTTGTGTTTTTGCCTATGGTCAAACCGGTTCTGGCAAATCGTACACGATGATGGGCTACGGCGTACGTAGGATGCTACCTGTCCAAACACCCTTTGAGAAGCCTTATAGACCTTGTCCATATCGTGCACCTGCAGACTCATCCTGCCGTCAAAACTATGGACAAGACAGCCCCTTGACTAGCTCACAGCACGCCCTTGTGTTTTGCTCTGTGTGGCTTTCTCTGCCTTCGCGCCAATGTCGTCGCTGCCATTCGTGCATGCCCGGCGCCTCGCTTGCATGTAGGAGGACATTGGTCTGATTCCCCGCATTTGCGAGGCTCTTTTTGATCGGTGCACACAGCAATCTGACTCAGACACAAAGTTCAGTGTTGAAGTGAGCTACCTTGAGATTTACAACGAAAAGGTCAAGGACTTGCTGGTTGACCCGAAGATTAGCGAAAAGAAATCGCTCAAAGTTCGCGAGCATCCCAAGACGGGTCCCTTTGTCGATGGCCTCTCTTCCCATGAGGTTAAGGACTTTGACGCCATTGCAGCGCTCATGGAGCAGGGTAACTCCAACCGTACCGTCGCGGCAACTGGCATGAACGACACCTCGAGCCGCTCCCATGCCGTCTTCACCGTCATTTTTAAGCAGGTGCGCGCCACATCTGCACATTGTTCCGCCACGAGCTCCCTCGTGTCACCTGGCTGCTGCAAATTTGCGTCTTGCCGCATGGTTTTCTTTCCATGACAACTGCAACTTGATCCTCTTCCGACCCTGATATCTTTCTTCGCATCTGCCCGCCCTTGCTCCCAATTGTGATGCTCTGTACTCATCAACCTTATCCTCTACTGATTTAGGCCTCCTTTGTGGCGGGTGTGCCTTCTGAGAAGACGAGCAAGATCAACCTGGTCGATTTGGCTGGTTCCGAGCGTACCAGTGCCACCGGGGCCACGGGCATCCGTCTCAAAGAGGGCGGTAACATCAACAAGTCGCTCACCACGCTTGGTCTCTGCATCTCTGCCCTTGCTGAGCGCACCGGTGCAAGCAGTAAGAAGAAGCAGGGCTCTTTCATCCCCTATCGTGATTCCGTTCTGACCTGGCTTCTCAAGGACAGCTTGGGTGGTAACTCCAAGACCATCATGGTAGCCGCCATCAGCCCAGCCGATGTTAATTATGGTGAAACCCTCAGCACCCTGCACTACGGTCAGTCGCCCGTGCACCAATCTGCTCGCCTCCATGTCGCACCTTCTCACTTACCGTATCAACATGATCTGCAATCTGCTCGTAGCCAACCGAGCAAAGAACATCATCAACAAGCCCACCGTTAACGAGGATGAAAACGTCCGTCTTATCCGTGAACTGCGTGCTGAGGTCGACCGCCTCAAGGGCCTGCTCGGTGGGGACGAGGAAATTCAGCGCCTCGAGCAGGAGCGTGCTGATGCTCAAGCCGCCCTGACAGCTGCTACCACCGACGAGGAGAAGGCCGAGGCTCAGGAAAAGCTGAACCAGGCTGACAGCGCACTGTCCGTGGCCAAGAATGCCGACGCCAACGAACTCAAGGCCAAGATTGAGCAAAGCGAGCAAATGATGCAAGTCATGATGGGTGATTGGAAGAACAAGTTTGATAGCATGACCCAGATCCTGGACTCGCGTGGCATGTCGCTCAATCAGAGCGGTCGGGCAGTGAGCGTCGAGTCCAAGCAGCCTCACTTTGTGAGCCTCAACCTAGATGACCCGCTCTCCACGGGCATCGTGCTGTATTACCTGCATGAAGGCTCCAACACAATCGGCAGCGGTGGCGACGAGGTGGACATCCCTTTACCCGGTGCCGCAGCTGATATTCTGCCTGTGCACTGCGCTGTTGAGTATGATGGCGAGGAGCACGTCATGCTTCACATTGGAGAGGATGACAATGGCCAAAAGGCCCTGGTGACCGTCAATGGCGTGCAGGTGGACGAAGTTGTAGAGCTGCATCAAGGCTTTACCGTCACCCTGGGCCAGTCCACCATGTTTCGTTTCAACCACCCTGTTGAGGTGGAGCGTCTGCGCTCAGGCAAGGGCACCTTACCGGCCGACGCCAAGAGTCTGGGTCAGCTCCTGTCAGATAAGATGCGACAGGATGACGAGGAGCTTCGGCAAGTCCGCGAGCGCCTCGAGATGATTGAGCGTGAGCGCGCCGAGGCCGAGGCGGCTGAGGTTGAGCGCCAGCGCCAGATTGAAGAGCTTGAGGAGCTGCGTCGTCAGGAAGAGGAAGTCCGGCAAAAGGAGAGCGAAGAGCGCATGAACGCTCTTCGCGACCAGATTAAAAATATGGAGCTTGAGCGTGAAAAAGCCGAGACTAACCGCGCCGAGGAGCAGCGCCTGTTGGATGAGGAGCGCAACAAGATGCTACAGTTGGAGGAGCAGCTTGTCAGCGAGCGTGAACGCAAGGAGTCTTTCTTGCGACAGGCCCGTGAAGAGGCCGAGCGTAAGGCCGAGGAGCGTGCTGCCGAAGAAGCCCGTAAATTGGAGGAGAAGCAGAAGGAGACGGAGGCTCAGCTGCGCCGTATGCAGGAGGATCACGAACGCCGTCGTCGCGAAATTGAGGCTGCCGAAACCAAGGCTGCCGCAGAAGCGGCTGCTTTCGAGGAGAATGTTCGTCGCCTACAGGCCGAAGAGGAGCACGCCAAGCAGCGGCGAGTGCACGAGGAGGCTGAATTGCGACGACGTGAGGAGGAGAATTCCCGCCTGCTTCAACAGAAGGAACAGGATCTGATGAAGATGCAGCGTCAACTGCAGGCCAAGGGCTCCTCGCAGATGCAATTTACCGACGTCTGGGAGATTCGTATTCCCGAGGTGAGGGCCACAAACTTGCGCAATCATGCGCAGCTGCCGACTTGTCTGCCCTATGTACTTGAGCTTGCATGCCTCACCCGTTGCCGTGCACTTGTATTTAGTACAAGCTGCGCGTGGAGCATTACGTGTACAAGGTCGAAGTCTGCCTCCTCGGCCAGCGTTGGTTCGTGTGGCGCCGCTTTAGGTAAGTGCCGCTGCGACCCCTTGCAATGGCGTTTGCGTACTCTTCTGCTTATTTGTTGGTCATGTTGGCTTCTCGGCTTGTACTTCCCTCACCCGATCATCTATGGTAGCCATTTTGAGGACCTACACAAGATGCTCAAGGCCAAAATGCGTGGCATCATGCAGTACATTGCCTTCCCCTCCAAGCATGTTGGCCACGTTAGTGTTCACGCTTTTCAAAAGCACATGCGTCCCACCCTGTGAGTTGGACTCATCTGTGGCCGATGCCCCTTGTCGCAGTCTATGATGAGCAAGATCCGCCGAGTTGGTACCACCGACGAGCGCTTCCTGGCCCAACGCGCCCAAGAGCTTGAGGTGCGCCTTCTAGCCAGTCCTGTTTGCGCCTGTCTACCTGAGCTTGGTGGGGACCGCAACTCTGTCCTGGCCGCGCCTTTTTGACATTTTGTGTGTTGCATTGCATACGTAGACATATCTCAATGAGGTCATCCAGAAAACTTACAAGCTGCCTGGGTCCCCGTTCTTCGAGGTGGATCGCAGCATCTTGGAGCGCAATTTTGCATTCTTCCGTCATGGTTCTTTCCGAAACTAGTCGAGTGCCGAGCTAGCGTCGTGCGAGTCAATGGCGCTCTTGTTAGGCTTGCGGTAACTCTTGTTTCCACGCCCTTCCCCCCCTGCTCATGTTCAATCAACTTTGCATGTCAAGGGCTGGGGCAGTTACCACTGCTATTCTACAAGTGGCACATCCGCTTTAGTTGTTTTAGCTTCACCCGTCAATGCAACCATGGTGCATTTGCCGTGGATTAGGATTGACGATTCTTTCTTTCTTTTTTTTGCTCATGACCAGAACAGACGTGTCTGTTTTCTTCCTGCTTAATTTTTTCTTTTTCTCTTCTGTTGTTGTCTCTTGATCTTGCTGTCTTGTTGTTCTGCTTGTGGCGCAGTTTGCTTTGCATACTTTCTGTGCCCCGCTTCTTTTCATGTCTGGGCTGGCTCCCGGTGATTATCAACTGGCAAGCCAGGTGGATCGTGACAAATTGATGCGCCTGGCAATGTTACCAATAAGAATGAGAAAGCTATCCTCGGATTCTCGTCGTGTCTCTCTTTGATGTGGCGTCGTTTGGAGGGGAGGGGAGACGATGAGCTTGAAGACTGAAAAGAGCGATAGCCGCTGTCCATTTAGAATCAAAATGCAAATCAGAACCACGACGACCGCTTCATCTTCTGAAACGCAGCAAGAGAATCGCGGGCTTCCTGGTCTGAAAATTGCAAAATAGTGGCAATGGCCCGTAGCTTCCTAGCGAAAGCGCGTGCAATCATGGCACCGCACGTGAGACAGACGTGGTGACAAGGCCTTGAGCACTGATTTGGATGGCATCAACAAGAAAACGCACTGAAGTTGCCCCACGTCGTTGAGAAGAAACTGCAAAACTACGTTTTTCAAATACTCCAGGTTGGCCCCCTCGCGGCGACTGTTGCGCTGCAACCGGTCCGCCTCGGCCTGCAAGTATGACACAGAACTGAGACGGTTGCGCAAAGCATGGAAACATGAGCTGCGCGCACGGAATTCACCTGAACAGATTGCATCTTCTCAAGCAGGTTAATGCGTTCGTCCTATAGTGCGATAGCGTGAGGCCACAAACGAGACATTGACAAAGAAAGGATGCTCAGTAATTATGACAGGGTCCTGTGCTAAGTCCGACCTCTTTGTGTACTAATGCTTGTTCCAACTCTTCCACTTGGGCCTGCAAGAACGAGAGACGCTCTCGCATCTCGTCCTGCTGGGCGAGGAGATGGAGCTGGGGCTCCCCCGTTGCCAGTTGGGGAACGCTGTCGCCATCACTCGGTGTTGAAACTAAACCATGGCATGAACCTCAACATCATCCAAGACAGGCAGGGGACTAATCTCAACATGCGTGCGAATGATTGAAGAGCCACAGTATACGCACCAGAGTTGTGCTGGCTTTTGCGTCGCAAACGCGCGATTTCAGCGTCCTAAGACAATGCACGAGCGGTTGAGGCGCCCGCATGGCAATGGACCACGCCCTACACTCTTTCCTCGTTTATCCTTGTGCTCACGGGTATGAGCTCACAAGCATGTGGCATACTTTTCCCCAACACGCGCACGCACGCACGCACACACCCAACCTTGTCGCTTAAAAGAGCCATTGTTCGCTCTCGGGTTTCCTGCTGAGCTTGCAGGGATGCCGACATGTCTTGGTGAAGCGCTTCGAGAGCCAATTTGTGTCTGTGGGCAATGAATCGTAGGACATGAGATGCGTCTGCTGGGGATCATCAGACATGCCAGCGGCCTTATAATCGTACTCTGTCCGCAGTTTGTCCACGGTCGCACGCCACTCATTATCAGCGCCCTGAAGCTGCTCTCGTAGTTCCTGGCGAACCTCTTGGACCGTCTCGGACAACCGCTGCTTCTGGTGCTCCATGGCAGCAGCTTGCTCCTTGGCTGATTGCAGCTCCTCTTCGCATGTCTGAGAAAGGAGCGTTTTTGAACCAACGGGGTTGGGTCAGCCGAAGTGCACACTTGACCACAAAGATGTTTCCCCGATTGCAAAATACCTGAAGGCGTGTGTAGCATTGGTACGCAAATAGTTGGTCTGGGGAGGAAAAGGCACTATATGACTTCTTCTGCACGATTACATAGACAATTGAGGAGGTGCCATGTTGTCAAACGCAAAAGAGGCGAATGCAACCCCAATACACAATGGTCTCAGCTGAGTGCAAGCAACCTAGTCACCTGATTGTTATTCAACAGCTGCGTCAGCCATGGCGGTGGAACCAGCGTGCCCAAAGCAGCGGGGTCGGCACTTCCCGGTTTGGCCTCATGAACAGTATGTGGATGTGATTGATTGGCAAGGAGCTGTTGCTCGAGCTCTTTGACCTGCATGAGGTATTAAGGCACGCAAACAGCCGGGCAGATTCATTCATAATGATTCTCAAGTTTGGGTGGTCTGCTAGACGTGAAAAGACCCTCGTCAAAAAACAAAACAATGCACATCAAAATCCACGGGCTGACCTTTGCCTCGAGCTGCGCCACCACTTTTGAATTCGCTCCGTTACCTGAGGAGTGGAGTGCCTGCGAGCCGAGCGTGCAAGGTGATTTCAAAGCATGGTCAAAATGACATTGCGTTGCGATACCAAGCGACTTTAACCAGCGGACGGACTTCACACATACAGTCAGACGAGTCTCTAGGGCATCATATCGCTCTTGCATATCAGCCAACTGCATCCGAAGCTCCTATGTTTCGCAGTAGGTGGGCCAAGGAGGATTAAAGGTGGAGCACCAGGTACGATTGCGCATGGTCGAGCATACAAACGCATCAAGCCAATTCGCACGCCATGATTCATAAAGAGTGTGCAGGGTGCGCGTACCTGTGCCACGCGATCATCACGTTGTCGCCACTCTTCATAACGCCCAATGAGATTGGCGTGTTCTGCAGAATGGGCCTCCTAAAAGTGACCATCACAATGGCAGGCGTCGGCTGTGAGGAGTCATGCTACCGAACCACTTTACAATCACGTTCAAGGCACGCCACAGACGGGACGCAAAAAAGAACTTTGTTGGTCGGGCGAGATGAGACGTACGTAGGCGCTTCGCTCGCGATCAAATTCAGTCTGCATTTGAGCAAGCTGCTGCTCGCTTTGCACAGCAGTCTGCTCCATAGCAAGAATACGCTGCTGTGCATCTTCGAGCATGCGTGCCTACAGCGGCAGCCCGCAGCAAACCAGACGACATTGTGAGGTTTTGCTTTTTTAAAAAAAGGGGGGTAATTTCCTGGCGTTTGCCTGGTGGCAAAAATTGCACAAGTACTTTGTCTGCGGCAGCTTGCTCGAGCTGGTCCTGCAAATACTCGATTTGGTGGCGAGCAGCACGCAGGTCCTGAAAGCCAGTCACACGCGCACACAAAGTTGAATCACAAGGATGAGCGGCAACGGGCGGGCGGTTTCAGACGCAAGATTGCACCCACCTTTTTGTAACGCAAAAGGATTTCGCTTTCTTTACGCGCGTTGAGGCGGTCGATTTCCGCCTGCAAGGCTTGCTTCTCAGCCTCACGCCGCGCGATGGCCACCTGGCGGCAGGACGCGATCCGGTATCAGGCGAGAATCGAGGCCTCTGTCGCGAATTCAAAGAAGCGCCTCGTCGACCACATACCTCGCCCTCACGTCGTGCTTCGTCAATGCGGGCCAGGGCATCGAGTTCGCGCTCACGAGCCATGCGTACTTGCTTTTGCAAATCAGCAGACTGCAGAGCCAGATCTGAGCTCGCAGCCAGCTCTGCTGCCTGGCGCTCGAGTTCACGGGCATGCGTCTGTGCCAAGGGCGATGGACGCAGACAGCTAAGAGATTGATCTAGCTTCAACAGAAGGACGGGACTGATGCTAACTCACCGCCTTGATGGAGCGTAGCTGTGTATCGGCCTGGCGCAACTCCTCACTTCTGGCGTCCAATTGGGTGCGCAAGCTTTCAATCTTTCATAGGTTGATGGGGTCATCGACAGCAGGGTCAGGCACCGCAATTCATCGGAAGGCAGCCCAGAAAAGGCTTGGATTGGTATGCAAAAAAAGGTAGTGCTGATTCACCTGACGATCACGTGACGCAAGCACTTCATCACGTTCGTCCATCTCCTGCGCGTGCTTGGTGGCTTGCTCATCCAGCTGTGATGCGATGAGAAGGGGGTGAAGAGAAAGCGTCCGTGCGTGACGTGAGATCGTTTGGCCGATTTTGACACGGCATATGCACAAAAGAAGCGCGCAGTGACGAGACAACCGAGGCACGCACGTCAAGACGCAGCCGCTCCACGTCTTGGCGGTGTTGCTCTAGGGCCTGCCGCTTATCAGCTTGAAACCTAGCCCATCGCCACCGCGAAGATATAGAAAAACATGCAATTAGCGTGGGAGGTATGAGCGCGAGCGTACTACTCAAGGAGCTGCTGGTTATCATAGATCTGTCCATAAGCTGTATGTTCACTCTCGATCCTGGATCATTCCCTGCACCTACCGCTCAGTCATGACTTTTTTCTCGGCGCTAAGGGTGGCCAAGGCCTTCTTCAGCTGTGACACACGGCCCGACGCATCCTCGGCCCCGGACTCAGTTGTGGCACTAAGATTCAAGAGGATTACAAAGTAAGGAGATTCACGTGCTCACAAGTCAGTGGTGGCTGAGAGTGTTTGGTAATGCTCGCGCCTGCAAGATCAGGTAGCAACGTGGACACGCACGATTCTGCTTCAGCGGGCTCGCCCGCAGTGACGGAGGCGGTGGCAGTGGCAGTGGCATCGTCAGCACCATCATCATCTTCCCCATGCCCACCATTAGACGTCAAAGCCGTGACCTATGCCCGATAAGTGATATGAAAGGCGGTCTTCTACGATCTGATCAGGCGAGAGCACGAACGGAGCACCAACCGTCCCCTCCAGAGCTTGTTTTTCCTTGAGGATGCTCTTGTAGGCTTGCACCACGTCTGTCCCACACAGAAGAGCATCCGCATGAGCAGATGTGTGCGAGTTTGTCAAGGTGCAGCGCAGACGTATGGCGAGCCGTCTCGCATGGGGCTACGCGGACGCTGTTGCAGAGTTGAGATGTTACAAACCTCGAAAGCGCAGCTCATAGCGCTCGTTACGCTCCTTGAGCTGGTCGATCTGCTGGAGTAGCTCTGCTTTGGATAGGCCGCGCTCCTGCAGCCCAAATGACATTGTGATCAGCCTGGTGATTCCGCTCTCCACGACGCAGAGACGAGCCAGAACGCCGCACCTACCGTGGCCGGCTCGGGCTCGGGCTCGGGCTGAGCGGCCCGGCCCAGGCGAAGATCAAACATGCGTGACATGACGGCCTTCAGCCCGGGGCCATCGCGCCCAAGCTTATCGAGTGCGACAACTGCTCCAACACCAGCTTATCGGGCCTCCTTCCTCCTCCAACTTGGTCCCAGCTGGTCACAAAACGCCTACAGACTCGATGCACATCAAAAGAGAGAGATGTGTGTAATTCCGACTAAAGTTGTCGGGAATACTTGTGCATGCATGTACACACACACAACCTTCTCTCTCTCTCTCTCTCTCTCTCTCTCTCTCTCTCTCTCTCTCTCTCTCTCTCTCTCTCTCTCTCTCTCTCTCTCTCTCTCTCTCTCTCTCTCTCTCTCTCTCTCTCTCTCTCTCTCTCTCTCTCTCTCTCTCTCTCTCTCTCTCTCTCTCTCTCTCTCTCTCTCTCTCTCTCTCTCTCTCTCTCTCTTTCAAATTGTCAGACCAGCGTGCACGCAACGTACCAAGCGGCACACTATTTTACCACCCTTCATCACCGTTTAGCAGGCACCACGATTGGAGCCGTACGAAACGTGTCTTGTTGCGCCCAATTCCAGGAGCGGGAACGGGCACGACAAGGTCGGATGGTTATTATCCTTCGAGACTGGCCCAGAGACTCTTTGGTCGTGAGCCCCACGTTTTGACGTTCATCCATCCATCGTTCCCAGAGAGCCTTGCGACCTCGGACATGGCGAGAGCCTTGCACGCGCGCATCGAGCATTGACACGAGGATCAATCGACGCCCACCTCAGTGGTCGACTAGACAGGCCCAACCATGACCCCGGATCGATGGACCGTGGTCCTTGGCGTGGCCCTTTTGGCCTCTGCCGTCCTGCGCTATACGCTGCCGTCCTCTCTCTACTTGGTCATTGCCTTCTGCTCGGGATGGCGTGCCCCTTTTACTGGGCCCCTCGTCTGCTATGCGGCTCTGGGAGTGGCCGCCACAGCCCTCCTGGCCCAACTCATCTTCCAAATCACCTTGGCCAGCCTAGACTATAACAACTACTTTGATGCCAATGCCATGGTCCTCTTGCGCCAGCTGGGTCTCTACGTCTTCAAGGACGCCAAGTGGTATACTGTTCTGCGGCTCATCGTGCCAGATGTCGCCGTCCTCGTCCTGGCTGCCCTCATGCTCTCGGCCCGGCGCAAACAGAGCCGCGTCATCACCAGTCCCACTCCCCGCACCCATGATGCTCGCATCCACCCTAATGGCAGACTTGGTTCCAATGCCCATCGCGGCGGCATTTTCGCTGACACCGAACTCGAATGGGATCCGGACCATCTACTTGCGCCAGACGAAGCACAGCCACCTAAATCAGCCCCGGGCGCACTTGGCGCAGCTGATGTCGACTCAAACATTGCCAACGATCATGCCTCACGTACCGTCTCCCTTCCGCCAGATGTAGCTGCTGCCGCCGCTCGGCGGCATGAAGCTACGCATCCTCCCACGCCACCACCGGCCTACCGTAGCCGACACGTCTACTTTCTCACTTGCCTGCTGCTGCTGCATGCCGCCTTCCTCCCCGGCATCATGACGGGCGTATACCTGGGTGCTGCTGCTCTGATGTGGATAACCCTGGCCTACTTCATCTATCGCCACGGCACTGTCCTCTCTCGCCTGATGCGCGCCCAGTCCCAAAACGCCGCCCTAGTGCGCGCAGCACGTCGGCTCCTCACCACCCTCTGGATCTTTACGGTCCTTTACGCACTTCTGGAACACATTGTGCAGGTACGCTCAATGCCACCGAGCCGACCGGTAGCATTGCATTGGCCAATGGCCTCCCAACCACAGCACCTTTCCAACTTTTTTTTCTTCTTTTTTTTTTTTTTCCTTTGATGTTGTTCTATCGTCTTTGACGCCGAGCCGTGGCAGCGATTGGATCTGGCCTCGCATGAAACCTCATTCAAATACATTGACCTTGCCCGTCTGCCTGAATGTAGTATGATGCCGTTCAGGCCGGGACGAGCATTGAAGTGCGTACATATCTCGGCACGCCGCGCATCGTGCTCACCAAAACGGAAGCCTATGACCTAGAACTAGCCGCCCCGATCAATGGCCTGCCCTATTTCATTTGGATGCACATTGGCATGGTCTTGGTCACGCCTTTTGTCTTGGTGCGCTCAATCTCACTTCTTGGTCCCACCCCGGCGCCATGTTCCAACGCTTTCAAACACTGATCCACCCTCCATACCTGAAACTCCGCCATACGATCCCCTTCCCCGCTTCTTAGGCAGTGCTTCACAGTCACTTTGCTCAGAATTGTCCTGGTGGTCCTCTCAAATCTTTGGCCAACATTCAAGCCAGCACGCATGACCTCCTTATCTCATCAATTCTCATGACGGCGGCCATTGCGGGACTCTTGATCTGGGTTTACGCCTTTCCCAGCATTTTTGGTTTTTACCTCCTCGTCGTGGTCGTCATCGTGCTCCTTCTGCCCGTTCGCCAGTTTGTGTGGTTCTGGCCCTTGGTCTGGGTGCCTGCGCTTGCTTTTATTATCTTTGAGTTTATCTGGAATATTCCCAACAGCCCCTTGCGCGAAGAAGTGCGTTTTCGAGCCCACACCGCGCCCCCGGAACCTTCGCCTATCTGGCCTATATAAACTCAACTGGCAAACGCTCATCCCTTCTGTCGCCCGTGCTTTGTGGCCATGGACACACGCAGGAACTCGGAAACCTGGACCTGAAAAGTGATCAAGAATATTTGATCACCCTCCCTTACCTGGCCATCAAGGCCGGCGTCCTTTGCATCCTTCTCGCGCTTCAGGTGAGGCCATCAATCTACTCGTGTCCCACGATGAGGAGCACCTCTGACAGTACGCATATCCAGACTCTCGGCGTTCTCGGCACATGGGGTCAGCTTGCCAGACCTGTGCGAGCGACCTAGCTTGCCCAGTTCTCCTCATCTTTTGGGACATTGCCACCTCCTTCCTGACGCTGGAACCATTTTCGTAGGGCTCCTTATTCTTCATTCGAGCGACAACAAGCAGCTTTCATCACAAAGTGGTGGGCTTTTACGAAAACGCCCGCGAACGTGGTCGGCTCAGCACCAATGTGGCCCCGCGGCCTTCAGTCATCAACCAACAGCGCCGCGCTTCGCGCGCCACTGAGCCCTTCCCCCAACAGTCGGTTCGCACAACAAATGGCGGCGCTTCCCGGCCACCACCGCCACCACTGGTCACCGAGCATTCGACCCGAGTGTCCTCTCGCGCGACGTCAACAAGCAACACCACGCAAACTGATGGGGCCCTGCAGCGCGTGCAGGCCTTTTTGAAGCGAGTAGCTCAAGTCATCATCAGGCACGTCAAAGCGTGCATGCATACTCATCCTTGAAAAGACCAGCTTGAGCCGGTTGGCCCACCTTTTGGCTTGTCCTTATTGTCCGTTCTGGCTGCGGCTGCTCTTGTGTAGCAACGTGCACTTTGTAGTGCTGGTGGTGGTCTATGTAGCTGCCCTTCACGACGTCAATGTTCTCAATGCCATCTACCTTGTCTTTGCCATGACATTTTTCATATCACCGCGCCTTTCACGGTATGTGCTGTCTGAGGCACAAGCTGCAAGCGACAAAGGAAGAGCCCTGCCAGCGACTGCGCTCGTTTTGGCCATCGAACCCCCCCAGATTGGCCTCCAATTGCAGGCCTGGGGTGCGCTAATAGCTGGTTGCTTGCTACCTGAACCCGCGGTTGGTCGAGTATAGAAAGGCTTGGGTTGTCCTGCAGCTGTATGCTTCTCTCGTCATCCTCCTCCTCTATTTGTGGGGCTTCAGCTTCTTGAACGGTGTAGACCAGCGTATTCTGGATATCATTGGCCTGCGCGAAGATGCGCATGACAGTTTCTGGCAGGTCTCCAACTGGAATCTGGGCATCTTGCTGTTGGTGGCCGTCCAGTACACCATCTACACCTCGTTAAAACGCGTGCACATGACCACTTCGCTGGAGGCCCATGAGTTGCAAGACAGTCAGGCCCTTAGCACTTCCACCATCTCTCAGGAGAGCATTGCCGATGTGTCTCACCATCAACATGTACCCAGTACCTTTCAGCGCCTGCAAGCCTTGCTCGTCCTTGGTTGGGACTATTTCCTGCTTCTCGCCTTGCTTTTGTCGGCGCTGCTCGGCGAGCGCGTAACCCTCATCAAAATGGGCTACCTCATCAACGCCTTTCTGTGGCTTTTCTTTATGAATGCTGGGCGAGGTCTACGACTGTTTGCGCTGCTTATCGATACCATCTTTGCCTGCTCTATTCTAGCCGTCCTCTACGTCGTGCAGTTTGATGACTTTTGGGACCTGTACACAGAGAACACTTCAGCTGACTTTCGAACCGATGCAGGTCTCGATCGTAAAACGACTCAGAGCCAACTGTTGAATTCGTTGGCCCCGGCATCCGCAGTTGTCATCATCGCTGTCATCAACACCCGTCTGATCAAGAGCGACCTTGGCGCGATTGCCTCGCATCTGGTAAAAGCACCCCACGCCCATGCTGCATTTGACCATGCCTTTTGAGAGTTTTGCCCGC